AACAAAATACTACTTGGAGGACATTCACGTAAATAGACTCTAACCGCTCTGTATGTGGGAAAGGTAAACACAGTGGCGAATTTACCAACTCTGTGGTCAACGTCTCTCTCATCCCACCTAACACCAAAAAAAAAAAAAAAACACGAGTTAGAAAGAGACACGAATATAAAACCAATGTACTCTGGCTACTGTCTCTATACACAAGTCCTACAAACAAACACAGAAGACCCCACAATCCCACACACACAGACCTGGCTACTGTCTCTACACACAAGTCCTACAAACAAACACAGAAGCCCCACAATCCCACACACACAGACCTGGCTACTGTCTCTACACACAAGTCCTACAAACAAACACAGAAGCCCCACAATCCCACACACACAGACCAAGCTACTGTCTCTACACACACGCCCTACAAATACACAAACATACACAGGTGCTCCACAAACGCTAGAAATCTCTTCCAGCGAGAACAAAAGAGATTCAACCAACCCGTATAAGTCTCTGTAAGTCGACACGGATATAACGGGCCCTAGCACAGGAAACACTTAACTCGTCCACACCTACACACACATATAGTATATATATATACATACAGTACATGCATATAGTTTATTATTATTATTAATTAAAAAATAAGATAAATTTCTTGATGTCTTATGGAAATTCTATTCGTAAGCCACTTGGGTGACCAACACGACTATGTGACCTTATGACACACCTGACTGCTACCTGTATTCTGATGGTCAATTAATTAGGTTAGTATTTAACGCCTAGCTTTAATATCCTTATATATTATAGTAATGTACTGTATTATGATGTATGGATATATTATTTATTTTTATCTTTTTCACTGGATGTCTTCTTTGCACATTATCTCTCACTCTCATGTGAGTTAGGTGTGGTGTGGTGTGGTTCCTGTTTGGTTTGGCCTAGTTCGCTTTGGTGTGGTTTGATAAACACCATAAACATTACCATTAATACTCTTAATCATCTAATCATCATTAAACTACATAATTAAACGAGGCAGGGGCGGATCCAGGGAGGTCCAGGGGGTCAGGACCCCCCTTTTTCATCAGAAAATTCCAATACTTTTTCTTTACTGTAGTATTGAGCCCAGGCGATTTTGTAGAGTAAAAATTAATTACCATTGTCCTCAGAATATCTCCTGATATCAAGTGCATACGACTTTAAAATGGCCTCAAAATGCCCATGATATTGGTCAGATTTTAAAAAAAAATAAATCTGGGGATTTACAGCACCACCCACCCCCCCAACCCCCGAGCTGGGTGGGCTCGCTGTGCTCGCCATGTTCCCCCACCCACAACTTCTTGGACCATCCCACCCCCTTTTGGATATTCCTGGATCCGCCCCTGCGAGGTGAATTATTTCCTCTAATTTTTGGAGAGAAAAGCCCACGTCATATATCTATTTACCTAGCGAAAATGTGGCTTCACACAAATTACACTCGCGCTATAACCTAGTGTAAGTTCATCCTCTCAGGTGTAAAATTAGTAACAAAAACAAAGTCAGCGAAACACAGGTCTGGATGTATGCGAGTCAGGATTACGACACTATTCAAATGGGATTTATCATTTAAATGAGAGTAATTATGTAAAGACCCAGCGGCCATTACGTTCAGTTGATTACTTGCAGAGAATTTAATTTGATCAAAAAGAGACTACTGCTGTCCCTTGTGTTCTGTAAACACAACAATTTAAGAATGTAAGATAACCTCAAGACGAAAGGGGAAGAACCAGCAACTCCCAGACACAAGCCAAACAAATTCAAGACGACAAGACCGTCTCTGGTATCTCGCCTTACATCCTCTCGACATCAAACAGCCACCAGCGAACGAGACTTCTACCGCCTGGTGATCGGTTAAACTTCAAATCAACACGTAAAATCTGCCTTAAATTTTTTTTTTTTTTTACTGGGATTAGCCCACCCGGGCACAGGTCACTGACCCACATCAGGGCCTGGGGGGCGAAAATGTTATAATAATAATAATAATAATTATAATAATAATAATAATAATAATAATAATAATAATAATAATAATAATAATAATAATAATAAAAATAATAATAATAATAATAATAATAATAATAATAATAATAATAATAATAATAATAATAATAATAATAATAATAATAATAATAATAATAATAATAATAATAATAATAATAAAGAACCATAAAGAAATACAAAAATAATAAAAAAGATCAAGAGTGAGAAACATTATATGTATGTTGTGTTGTCAATGGTAAGAGAAACAACTGAGACCCTGCATTTGTGTGTATATGAGGCAGAAAGTCAGATTAGCAATCACAATTTTTGTGATGCCATATGGCAGCAGGGTTTACCATTATACAATACATAATGCCTTCAATAATTATCTTCCCAGGAGGTAGTACCTCTGTTTGGTAGCTGCCTACTACCTACGACCTAAAATGCTGCATTATCGAGTTTATAACATTTACCATACAGCATAAAGAGGTCAAATGCCTTTGAAATGTGGTGTTATGGGCGAATGTAAAGAATAAATTACACTGACAGGAAAACAAATAAAGAAGTACTAAGGTTAGCGCAAACTTCAAGAGAAAAAAAATGATACTTTGGTCATATCATTAGGGTCTACGTTCAGTTACTGTCTGAGCAGCTCCCATCCTTATAATGTACAGTAAGAAAAATATTTAAAAGCTTGAAGTGATACAAAACGAAGCCATGAGAATCGTTTTAGGTTGTCAACGGAACACTAGAACTGAAATAATGAGAATGGAGTTAGATCAACCAAGTATAGAACATAGAGTAAAGGAACTTGGCAATGTGTCCAAGTATGTGATGGATCAGAGTTAAGTAACGGTCAAGCGGGATGTGGTGTTTTTATAAAGGAATATATTATCAATGAGTGTTGTGCAGATGAAATAGTTTGTAAAAGAATTAGTAATAACACCTCATCCACGCTGGCTGAACTATACGCAATTTGTGAAGGACTCCAGGTTGCTATAGAGAAATGTAAAGAAACATATTTTTGTTGATAGTAAAAGTTCATTGGAAGCCTTGTAGAGTAAAAACATCCAAGTAACTTTCATATTGTTAATATCTGTAAAAGACTGGTCATAGTAATTCAAGAAATGGAATACACTGTGCAGTTTGAATGAATTCCATCACATGTGGGGATTCATTTAAATGAAATGGCTGACAAATTGGCCAAAAAAGCTGCAGAAAAGATGTACAGTATATAGATATTGTTAGCAATGTAAATATTAGAACGATAAAGAGGGAAATGAAAAGAAAGGGAGAGGAAAGGGAAAAGCAAGAAGAGAAGTGATTGCCATATGTAGCGAGAGTTTTCAGCACTATTAGTATGTTTTACAAAACACCAGTGTAACTTATGGGACTAACTTACCATCTGTTGATACTGTTATAATGAGACAGATTGGGATACACATATTACTGGCAGATAAGTGGAGGGGCGGGTCAACCTTGTCAACTGTGTCGTCTTAGGGATGCACATACATTACAACATTATGTATTAGGATGTGAAAAAAAATCCAACCATACAGGAATAGTGAGATCACTGCATTAAAGAAACAAGTTTGTTGGAGGATTAATAATGGAAAGATTAACATGTATAAGTTTTGTAAGCCCCAGAAGGAGATGGCAAAGGTGAGGGCAGGAGTAGTATACTACCCTGTCCTATTGATGTAATAGTTTTGTTGTCAATGAAGTATTTAAATTTCAATTTCAATTTCAATTAGGGGTGAGGGGATAATAGATATTAATAGGTTGTTGTTGTTGTTATGATATTATTACTGTGCTTCAACAAAAAAGGTCTCCAAGCGCGCATTAAGGTTAGTAATGCACTAGTCCAACAACATTACAAATTATGAGTTAGAACATTTTACTTTACGTGACTAGTAATTCCAATCCAAGAAGGAGGTCGCTTTGGTGATGTGTCTTATGAATCCAATAAAATTTACAGTTTCCTCACCCCAACCTGAAGGTTTGACTTGACCTTAATTGCAATCATATTTAGTAAATTTATGTATTCAGCAATTGGATGTGTAATTAACGTCAATACCTATAAACTGTATTAATGATATAATTAGAAGCTGTTCCAGAGATGAATTTCTCTTTAATTATAATTATTGATAATATAATTCGGCCATTTACTACTAAATATAAGATGCAAATAAAATTTCATTTCCTAGCATCAATAATGTTCCAGGTACTGTACTGTACAACCACAGTACAGGCATACTTTTTCATTATCATTTATAATTGTAGTAACGAGTGTGTGGCCTCACGAAAGACTACACACACACACACAGGAAATTTTAAATGACTTTGAGACAAAACTTGCGTTCCTAATGGGTAAAGGGATGCAGTAAAATACATGTTTAAATACATAAGCTATTGACACTCAGTAATACATTTTAACTTCTTGACATATAAACTTGTTTTTCTAATTTAATTTAACTTTTAATTTGAATTTGATTTAGTATTGATTGCGTCTTATTCTGTTGATTTTCAATACTACTTCTACTACTACTACTGCAATACCAATAATAATAATAATAATAATAATAATAATAATAATAATAATAATAATAATAATAATAATAATAATAATAATATCACTTCAGTAGTTGTTTACATAAAAGACAAAGCTATTGGCTGACAAATATATCCATTAATATTACTATTTATTTACCTATGTATGATAATCAAGAATATTATTAAAGACTAAATATAAAAATGTATAAATATACTTAACTAAACTGCTTGTCATTAGTGGCTAAATATATAGTTATACTGTACAATATTTCATTCCATTAACTCTTAAATCAAATATAAAATCAATAATTCTCAATATCCAAGGGAATAACACTACAGTTTAACATATATTACCATTAATAATAACAAGAAACTGTGTATTAGTGTGAAGAAAATAAAGAAAAATTGGGATAAATAAAGGAAAACGAGTCTTGATGTAGTTCTAGGTCGTCATCTCTCAGTGGCCTCAGACTTGGTGCTAAGAGAGGTTGTTATTTTACGGCTCTCCTCACATCAACGTCTTATTTTTTTTACTTCAAATGGCATATACAGACAAAGAACTCTCACTCTTGCTTATGTTTATGGTATTATGGCCGGGTATATGGTCCTTATCACCTCCAAAAGTGAGTGAGGAAGATAGTGTAGCAGATAACGACTCTGGCAAGACTGTTCATTTGTTAGATAAAACGACTATTGAAACGAGTACAGCTTATGAAGGTAAGTTTAATATAATGTCCAGTTGGGGTTTTGTCATGGAACCGTCGAGAGGATATTGGTGGATTGAGTGAAATATTAGACGAGGATGAATACATAATTAGGGAGTAAGACTGACAAATGGAATGGATTGTCTTGAGGTACTTGGTTTGTGGTATTTCTTGTACAGGTATATGTATTCCTATCGGCCCCACCAGTTGGTCCGTGTTTGTGGCTAGTATTAAGGTGTAAAGGCCTGCAAATGACTTATTGTGATTTGTACAGGTGAACCTACTGTGATTTGTACAGGTGAACCTACCTAACCTACCTGCAACCATTTCCTTAGCTTGAGTGGGTTCATCTCTTCCCCTGTAAATAATACAATGTAAGTTGCTGGAAAATTTTTGTATATACAGAAAAGTGTAGTTTTGTAACCTGTTTACCTAATGGCCACCAACTAGAGGTGGCCATGCTGAGGGAAGGCAGCCACTGGCCAGTATAATATCCCTCCACTGGTCTGACTAATTACCCAAATGTAGCCGCAATGAAGTCAAATGATGATCCTACAAGAATAAATCGGACTGCCAATCACTTCTCGACTAGTATTTGGTGTCAGGAAGTCACAAAAAATTGGTAAACTTAATTTAATCTGAGTTAATAGATCGAGTGCATGTACCTAACCTAACACAACTCAGATTAAATTAAGTTTACCAATTTTTTGTGACTTTATGACACCAAATAAAAATCGAGAAGTGATTCACAGCCCGATTTACGCTTGTAGGACCATCATTTGACTTCATTGCGACTACATTTGGGTTCATTTGGGTAATTACTCGCTCCCTCGGTACAAGCACTCGATCTATTAACTCGGTTTAAATTAAGTTTCCCAATTTTTTTTTTACTTTGTGACACCAATTACGAGTCGAGAAGTGGTTGGCAGTCCGATTTATTCATGCAGGACCATTATTTGACTTCATTGCGGCTACATTTGGGTACATTTGGGTAATTAGTCGGACCGTTCCTCCACTGTTCTTATAAATTTGTCAAGGGTTATTTTGAAGCCCATTACTGTTCTTGATTCCTCAGTTTGGACTGGTAGACTGTTCCAAAGATCTACCAGCCTCTGTGTGAAGTAATATTTCCTTATGTTCGTTCTGCAGGATAGCTTGTTGAGCTTGTAATTGTCCCCTTGTCGCGACCTGTGGCATAATGGGCAGCATGCTCGCCTCGTAAGCGAGTGCACCCGGGTTCAATCCCTGGGCAGGGTGAAACTATGGCCAGGTTTCTTTTTGCCATTTGCCTCTGTCTACCCAGTAGTAATTGGGAACCTGGATGTTAATAGATTTTCGTAATAAAATACTAATTCAGTGATGGTGCTTGTCAACCTCTCAGTGCAGCAAATACATTGGTTATGGCATAATTTTTTTTTAAATTCTGGACTATGTGGCCTCTTGTTTGTGTGTAGAATATTCAAAAACTATTTGCCCAGTAATTTTTATTATGGCTACCATATTGCCTCCTGGAGAATATAGCTACTGGAGTATGTCTCTGATTGAACCATAGGCTATCTTGTATTGTTACCATGTCGTTGATTAATTTTTGTAGTTTGTGAAATGTTATTAACCGTATTACCATAACGAGAACAAGTGACTTGTATATTTGGGTAACCTGCGCGATTTAGCTGTTTGGTAGAATTTCCATTTGCTAGCAACTGTAATACAGTTTTAACCCCTTCATTATGGGGGCACCACTTTTAATAGTCCTTTCATTTGGGCTTGATGGCTGATGATTTTATTCGGCTCTGTACAAAAGTGATTAAAATTCACAGCAGTACAAACGTGATCCAGGAGTGGGTGGCCAATAGCTAAATAAGGTAAATGATTTAAGGACATGGATAACTGTGATTACAGTGCAGTACAGTAGATCCATTAAATACAGGAACACTTTTGAATGGCCATTTTAAAGACTGCCAAGATAATATACAGTTAAGTATTATGTAGACCAACAAAATGGTATACTGTACAGTATGCTATGCACTACAGTTTCATTGGTCTTAGTAACTTTAAGTTTACAAATGATAGGCCAGGAAGTTCTAAATCCAATTGCATATGTTTTACTTGGATATGAACAAAAGCACTTTATGACAACCAACATTTATTTATTTTTATATATTGTAAATAAACTTCTATTTTTATTTATTTTTTCTTTATTACCAGGTACTTTCTGGCAGATTACGGACATTCACTGGGACCACAAGTACAGCCAACAAGGGGATGCCACTAGAATGTGCCACGAGGGCTATTTATCATCCGACTCCAACGGTGTGTACGGCAATTACCTGTGTGACTCTCCGTGGCCGCTTGTGAAGAGTGCCCTTGAGGCCATGGTGGAGATTCACAACAAGCCGGACTTCATATTGTGGACAGGGTTAGTGTGCTGAGGATTAAGAGAAAATATGAAAGGAATTAAAAAGGTATCGGTAATGTAAATACAGTAACCATGTGTATACAAAGTGATCATTGACTTTGTTAAGGTAAATCTTGTATATAATAGTAACTCCTGCTTGATAATGCAAACGGTACAATTGTAGTAATAATGGTGTTTTTGCATATTTAATTGTTGCACTGTTTTAATAGACAAACCAACTTTCAGGGATAATGCACCTCATACTGACGACCCTGAGCCTGACTTCACGGTAATATTTCAAACAGTTGCTAATATTACTGGCGAGCTGAGGTCCAGATTTCAGGAGTCCATCCCAATTCTTCCAGTTTTGGGTAACCACGATGCCTATCCTCGGGTGAGTTGATAAACTGTATTGCATTGTAGAAAATGACTGTGTGTGTGTTGGGCTATTAGTGTTTAGCTTCTCGAATATTGGGCTTATTCTTTTTACTGTATTTTAAGAGTGTGAAATTACTCTAATTTTATTAACATAGTACTATGTGAAATAATATTGATCATGTTACACAAACAAACGATAATTATATTTCGATATGGAAATCGGTATTGGAATAAATTGGTAAAAAAAAGTGACAATTGGATGTATAAAACCATTTCATGGGGGGATTCAGTTTTGGACATTATGAAGCTCCGATTTGGACCTGTCAATATTCTCTGGATAATTTATAGTTTGTTGTACATACTTTGGGGATTTTTATAAAGATTAGGAACTTTTCAAATACTGCATATACAGGCAACCCTTGATACAAGATAGAGGAATCCAACCCTATCATACATTTAATAATTTCTCCATTGATTACCATTAGGAGTACTGTTGATACTTTCCTCCGTTTTCAGGACAATTTCCCAGTTGCTGGAGACGAATTCTATGGACAGTACTTGAGCAAGGGAGGATGGTCGTCTCTGTTACCCGAGGATGCACAACAGGAATTCAGGAATGGAGGTTACTATGGTTATGAACTTCCTACAGGTGTGACCGTAAGTAGCTACTGTATGTGCGAAGATGTAATTTTGATTGTGCTCGTGTGTGACTAAAAGTGCTTTGTATGCGTTTTAAAAGAGGTGACTGTGAGTACTGACTTCAAGGTGTGACTGTAACTACTGTGTATTTGTTCAAGATTCAACCGAGTAGCTACTGTATATACACCTAGACCCTGACTTACGACGGGGTTAGGGACCCAAATCCAGGTCGTAAGTCCGACATGGTCGTAAGCAGGGCTGTGGAGTCGAAGACAAAACCTTCGACTCCGACTCCTCAAATTTTTATGCTTCCGACTCCGACTCCAACTCCGACTCCTTGGCCTATTTGTAACAACTATTTCTACCATCCTAATTGTAATTTGTATGTTGTAACCTGCATAGGTAAAAAGTAAAACACCGTGGCTATACTGCTACAGCTTTATTAATGATCTGGACGATATTTAAGAACTACAAAAAGATGATAGGCTTGACTTTCAAAGTTTCAATCAAAAGAAAAATAAATTTATTAAGAATTCAAGATATTAACTAGAAAACACCATTTACATGTATATCTAAAAGTTCGATCTCAGCATATGAATTTTGTTTAAGCTCATAATCTGATGTGGATCTAAATGATGATCCTACAATTCCTTTTAAAGTAAAGTTATATATTTATGTACATTAAAGAAATGAATACCTTATTAAGGAAAATGGATAAACCTTACATGATTAAGTTATTAAATTAAATTTGCCTTAATCTCACCAAAAACAGGTTGTAGCTAATTGTTTTGTAGCTGAGAGCCTCTGTGCAGTTTTCAACGAAACAAAATTTGATATAATTCAAAATTTCAAATGGTAAAGAAGAGACTATCGTCCAAAATTATAGTGCTATACTGTGCCTGCTACAATAAATTCATAATAATGCTTATAAAATGGAAATAAATTCTTTTAATAACTTAAGAAAATTAGTGGGATCAGTGGAATCACTGCAATGAATATGCCTGAGTTCATATATTTGTTCTTAGGAACAGAATCGCTTCAGTCGGAGTCTGGACAATTTTACCGACTCCGACTCCTCGACTCCGACTCCGACTCCACAGCCCTGGTCGTAAGTCCGACATAGATAAAAAAAAAAAAAAAAAAAAAAAAAAATTTTTTTTTTTTTTTTTTTAAATAAATAATCTACAATGAAATACAGTACAGTAAAAGTAATGAATAATGAGTACAGTAAAAGTAATGAATAATGATGAATGGATACAGTACAGTGAAAGTAATAAATAATAAGGAATGGATACAGTGTGACTGAGCACTTACCCTTTAATGTAGTCAGCTGAATGCACATGGGGCCCCCATAATTTTCTAATTATACATGGAGACTACATTAACTGGAAACGTTTCGGTATAGAAAATGCGTGTGTCATTTAAATTTTTATTTTATTTATTTATTTTATTTTTTTATCTATATCTGAGGCGGTCGTAAGTCCCGACGGTCGTAAGTCCACGTAGTCGTAAGTCAGGGTCTAGGTGTATTGTCTCATTTTATAGCCAACAAGGTGCAGCATTAAGAACTTCACATGAATCTATCCACCCACCCACCTTCTCTAGATCTTTGGTCCAGTACAATGAATGGATGTTAACTGGGCTTGTGATTCCATAATTTGGTTTACAGAGTAAAACTTTCTTCACAAAATCCTAATCGTAATACTCCTGCACCTTCTAAGATTATAGATCTTTGTCACGCTAGTTGGATGACTAGACCCTAGACACACAGGTCCCGTCGACTAGTGAATGAAAGTCGCCTCTCCAAAGCCATAATTTACCTTATTTACTTTATGACCATCCACCAAGAAGTAAATTATGATTTAAAAAGCTATTTTTCCTTTTATTGTAATTGATTTTTCCTCTCGTAGGTGTTGGTGGTCAACACAAACCTCTATTATGGAAAAAATCCACTTGGCATTAAGGCAGATGACCCCTGTGGACAGTTTGCCTGGTTGAGGAAGAGACTTGAAACGGCTCAGAAGAAAAATTCCAAGGTTTGAAATATTTTTTGTCCTTGTTTACATATGAATTAAGACTTGTATATATATATATATATATATATATTTTTTTTTTTAATTCTTAAATAAACTTTGGGTTTATTTAGGGAACTTAGTTTGAAGTTGCTTTGAAATAACAGGGTCTTAAACACTACTTTTTAGTTTCATCCCAAAATCCTTTTTTTTTTTTTTTTTTTTAGTCAGAAACTTTACGATTTGCCATTTTCTATATTTTCCCACACATAAGGTGTGGGGATGAATAAAACTATTTTAACAAACCATTTGATCTACCGTAAACTATATAAAGTTATCGGCCAAGTATCCATCTAAGATAATGTGCAGAGATGTACAATTTACAAAATAAGATAAAGAAGATTATTGCAGTGGTAGGTATAGATTTTTTTACTGCATGATGGTAAATTAAAGGTTGTACGGTAGTCAGGGTAACCAACTCACAAGTCTAAAGAGCCTTGTTGTGGATCCTGTCACTTTTGGATTAAATCTTCTCGTGCTTGAAACATGTTTACTGCCCTCTGTTATTCCCCTTCAAAAGTTCACTTTTTCTAATTTACCTCATGCTGAGTAGTGATACTATTTGGTGTTGGCAATGCTATACAGCAGTAGTACTCTTGCCTCACTGCTGTGTCCTGGATTCAATCCCCAGGTCGGATATGAGAAGGGTGTTATCCAGTGTAACCCTACCAAACTATGGCAGGACAGTGAAGGTAGTAGCAGATAACTGAATGTGAGCCTAACTAGCTCGTAAACTAGTAAGTGGTGTAACTATATTAAAAATGTATTAAAACTCTTCTTTTGTTACAGGTGATAATTGCTGCACATGCCCCTCCTGGATATTTTGAAAGACTTGCAATAATACCATATTTTAATGATACATACAATGAGGCCTATGTTGACCTTCTCAACGAGTTTGGTACAGTGATTATGGCCCAGATATATGGCCATGAACACACGGATAGTTTCAAGCTCTTCCGCTCACCCAAAGGTAAGCACGTGAATTATTTTACTGGATAATAATCTTTCAAAGATGCCATCATAATCCTCCTTCAATGTCTTGGCCATCTTGTTGAAATGTAATTATTATTGATGTATCTACTAGAGTTCTTTAGGAAATAAGTTCTGTAAAAGGATTTATTAATGTAGGGACCACATTTTTACTTTGAGAAAATAACATGTAGGGAAGGAGAGTTGATCTAGTACTTTACAGTATATAGAAAGGGGGAACCAAACCATACACGGCCCATAACAAACCAACAGTGTTGTTCCCTTCAGTGTGGAGGATCTTGGGGGCTCCTTAAAGTATAGATTTCCTGACCCACTGCACCTCTTCTGTCTCTGTATCTTTGGAGTAGAATAGGGTAAATATGTTACTTGGTAAATGGAGAAGTAGGAAGGTACAGTTTCACCCTAAATTTTGTTAACTCTCCCAGCCAGCTATTGCTGCACTACCTGCTTCAGATGTATGAACTTGAGTCTGTTACTTCGAACCTTTAGATTCATTCGTATGTGCTTCATTATTCTGGTTGGTACCGAGACAGTTTCATACATCTGAAGCAGGCAGTGCAGCAATAGCTGGCTGGGGGAGTTGACAAACTTTAGGGCGAGACTGTACATAGGCACTCATGAATGGATAGGTAAGTTACATAGATAGGCATATAAAGAGGTAGATACAGTTTATACAAATTGTTTAAGGTAATCCCAAATCTGTCCATTCAGGTGATATAAAAAGTGCGGCATTTATGGCACCATCGGTGACCCCCTGCTATAGACGCTCTATTCCGGGCAAAGTGGCAGTCAATCCTTCCCTCCGACTCTACTTGTACAACAGTCGCACGCTTTTGGACTATACCCAGTACAATCTAGATTTGACAGTCGCCAACGAACTCCTTTATGAAGAGAAACCCATCTACGACGACATGGCAGAATTAGAGGTGGTGAAGCCTGAATGGGATGTTTATTACCGAGCAAGAGAAGCTTACGGGTTAAAGTCTCTCGACGCAGTTAATATGGCACAGCTCTACAGACGGTTAATGTCAGACAACAGATTGTTTCAGGAGTACTACTTGAGAAACTCTGGAGGATACACAAGATTTCTAGATGGTCCATGTGATCGTGACTGCAAAATGCACTTCATGTGTTCCATGGTGAATATCAAGAGCAGAGACTTGGACAAGTGCATGGGGTACATCGATTACGACACACCGAAAGTTGGAGCTCAAAAACCTCAACACATTAAGCCAGAGTTGAACGAAGAGTTATGATAGTTGTGTACCTTACTCATGATGGTATGGAGGCCTGATGTGGCTTTGGGTGAAGAAAAGTTTTAAAATTTTATATATATTCATATGTAATAAAGATGAACGAATTAATGCAAAGATACGTAATACATAATAAAAATAAGTTATGATAAAGAGGTTTTATTGCGAGGTTATTGTGTTGTAGTTATCGCCACTGGTGAGTTGCTGTTATGCATCATTTTATGCATTTATTCTAATGAAACCATTCACTTTTTCAATATAATCCCTAAATAGAAGATAATGCCAGAAATAGGCATCCTGTCATTACTTCACATTTGATTAAGCCGCTCCTCAAAATACGTATTCATAAAGTTTTCAAAATTATTAAAATAAAATGTATTGCATATTCTTAATGAATTAATTTGTTTAAAAAATAATTTGGTACACATTCTATCAGAAGTATAGACCCTGAGTGAGTGGCATCACCTTGACTGCTGCCCTGAGAGTGTTGCCAGGACAGTAAAGTCCTAAGTTGTGTATCATACAAAGGTTGAAAAGAAGGAAATTGATTTAGAGGATAAGAGAAGGCAGAAGCCCCAGTTAAAGTAGATGACAAATTGCAGAGTGGGCAACACATAATACACTAGGATGATGAGAAGAACCACTCGATAGACCTGATCCAGCAAATGTTCCTTCCTGTGCTGGGCTAAAGACTCCCACTAGGCATGTAAACCCATGGATACTGGATACAGTATTGTGGTTGGTAAAACTGTGTTCAAAATATGAAACTTGGGCACTCAAAACCACCGTTGGTAAACCTGAGGGATTATTGTATACTGTATCTGCTCTTTGCTGATGTTGGTAATATGTTACTCCTTACTGTACTGTTGCAAGCATCACTATCTCTGTCTTTTCTTAGGTGCCTTTTGTTATGGTAAAATCTCTGAATTTAAAAATATAATGTAGACCTGGAGAATATGATGCATAAGCCACACAGGAGGTGGGAAAGCAGAGTTTAGTGGCTAAACTCTTGCCTGAATCTTGTGGTGTACATTTGAAATCTGTAATTCTCTGTACTGTACAGTATTCTTGAACTTTGACTGTAATGCTGTATAAACCACCATGATGTATCCAATTTTTGAAGTTTTAGAGACAATTTTGGTAATAAAAGTGCATTTATGATGTTCTTCAATGGAATATTAGCCATAGAAAAGGACAAATGAAAATTTGGACCAGATTTTGACTTAATTTTGAAAATGATGGGTAGAGAAGGAAACGATCCATTGCAATATTTTGGAAGAGAACAGTTTATTGCCCATACCAGCAGAAACATTGCCCTTAACTGGCTCCTAAATCAAAAGGCTTCTGAATGACGACTCCCTCCCAGGAGTGTGGAGGATCTTTAAGACCTTTACAGAAATGGCGAATAAAGTCACGCACAAGACCAGCAGAAATGAAACTGATAATATATGTATTACTGAACCCCAAGAACTATGGACTGTAGTGAGTATAGATCAAGAAGTTGAACTTATAAAAAATAATAATTATAATGGACAGACATACAAAATGAGAGGTATCGTGGAACAATATGGCTCTATGAAATGAAAGGACTAGAAGGCTATATGTATTAAGATAGCAGAAAGAGTCATCCAGGAGATACAAAGGGACCTGTATCCTTGACTTAAATTATGAAAGGCCGGCAATAAAGAGAATCCACAGTACAGTATATCATAAGTTAAAGCAAGTAAATGTGGATCGCATGGACATGTACTTCAGTATTGTCTGGTTTTACGCAGTTAATTAAACCCATGGAGGTCTGCATACAAAGCGAAACGCGTAAATAAAATAACAGAACCAATGGAATTAATTGAAATCGAAACTGGGCCGACTACCAGACTCCCCTTTTTTTTTTTGCTATTTCCTACACAATACTATACATTGTAGTAAAAATACCATCTTAATTTTATGATGGTATGCACACACAAATAATATACAAGAGAAATAGCAATAATATTAGATTTTTTAACACTTACGTTAGTAGAAGAGATGGCTGGGCACATGGGGGGGTTGGTTCCGAGGCAGAGGGCAGATTATTTGGCCCTTGCCCCCCCCCCTCCTCTATCCACCACAGAGGCTAGCAGGGCCTCATCGTCAAACACCTCGAAGTCCTCGTCCTCACTATGCACACTATCACTGACTTGGGCTTGCTGTGGTGGTTGGCGGGCAAAGTCTGTGATGTGTTGATGGCTAGCATTGATGTGGTCGTGATACAATTGAACATAGGGCTCCAGGCATTTCAACAGATGGTAATTAGACACTTTGTAGCAATGATAGACTGGGTCTTTGGCAAGGATGAGCTTCATTTTCTCACCAAACTCGATGGCATCCTTCACATCAGCATGTGGGGGTCCAGCGGAAACCATTGTGTAGAAAGAAAAAATAAGCACTGGTTCCTGGGCACGAGTGAATATACGCAGAGACAGTGAGGCTGACGCAGCGGGGGTGGCAAGGATGCCTACCAATCACAGCGCGCAACGGAGGGGGTATGTGGGTGATAAGGAAAAGTGGCTCAATCCCAGTCTGCGACGTCACCGGCGCAAGTCTGACGTCAGCGCCCTGCTGCTTGCTGCGTACGTGATGGAATTTTCCGTGTAAATAATAATTATCTCTTCTGACACGTGCCACGTAAATGGCCTTCCCCGTAAAACCAGACTATACTGTATTAAATTTAAAGCAACCAGCAGCAATGAAGATTATGAGCAAAACATTCGATGAAAATGGAGTAAAAAAGAGCTTGGATTTTGGGGACGTAACAAACAAATGGCTGAGAAAATTCCAGCTTAATAGGTGAAATGAGGGAGGAAAAAAGGCAACTTCAAAAATTCCTGGAGGATCGGTTGGTGATGAGCTGATATAGACATGAGTGGCAGATCATGATCGCTGACAACAAAGAAATGACAGTGTGGAGGAACTTGCACCCCTAAGAAAAGTGAATAATTGTAATTACCCCTAAAAAAAAAAAGGATGTAAAAACCTTTAAGCCTTTTGGCCCATTATACCTTTTCCATCTTGTTGCATTGGGAAGGGAGTAAGGTTGATGAAAGATGAATATAGTGGTGAATAGATAGGTACTGTAGTTATATATGAATGGATAGGTAGGTAAATAAAGGCAGTTGGATAAAAAGAATTTTTATAGAAATGTTGTGTATGTTAACCAAAATCTGTCCCTCCCCCAGGTGATGTACAAAGTGTGGCATTCATGGCACCATCAGTGACTCCCTGGTATCCATCCTTAACTCCAGGTGGCACAGCAGTTAATCCTTCTCTTCGACTTTACTTGTACAACAGTCACACACTTTTGGATTATACCCAGTTCCACCTCAATTTGACGAAGGCCAATAACCAAGACATTACAGGAGTAGATAATACCTCGGTGGAAGATACTGGACTGGGGAAGCCAAAGTGGGAAGTTTATTACCAAGCAAGAGAAGCGTATGGGTTAGGAAGTCTCAACAATATTAATATGACAAACCTTTTTAAAGAGCTAATGACAAATGACAGTTTGTTTCAGAAGTACTATGTAAGGAATTCTGCAGGACATACAGATGGTATATGTGAATCAGAATGCAAAAGGACTCAGACCTGTGCCATGATGAGTGTCAAGGTCAAGGACCTAAACCAGTGCATGGGAACTGGCCATTACAACACCGGCCTGCACAGTCCCTCCCCCAATTCATCTCCTCTAGTCATTACTATCATGGGTTTATGTATGTCCATAACTACAATGTTAGCAGTTGCTTTGGCTTTCATGTTGGTTGTGATATCAGTCAGGAGGAATCGGATGCTAAGAACTGAGAGAAGTCTACCTGTTGTGGACCTCACCTGGGGTCGTCGGCAGCAGAACTATAAACAGCTTCCCTGAGTGAATGATGAAAAACAGTTTGAAAGTTATCACCTTTGTTGTTTCTCTGAATCTCTGTTAAATGGTTGGAGGTTAAATCAATTAAATCATTATATTCTTTTTTTTTTTTTTTTATTAAATGACTGTTTTGAGGTTAAATTTTAAATTTGTTAAGTGTCAAAGAGATTAACTTGTATGTCTTGAGGTTCATTAGTTTCTCTCATTTCTACTATGGTTATCATTATTCCTCAGTCAGTCCACCCTTTTAGATTCAGTTCCTAGATGCTTACCACTAAGATCAGATGTATTTACTTCATGTTATGCCTACTAATGTTGCTCTAAGTGTTGTGCCCCGCTTGGTGACTCTCAAAGGAGGGGTATAGTTTGTGGGGTTTCATTACCGTTCTTGGTGTTGTCATTAATGTGAGACTGATATTTGGTCATGTTGCACATAGTTCATAAGATTTATTTGTCAATTCTCACTTCAACTCTTTGCAACCATGACCTTCCTCCCTCCCTCACCCAGTACAGGTACTATATAATGCAGTACTTGTTGTCGCCTCTCAACTCGGTAAAGTCCAGCCCACGTTAAGTATAATCCAACAGTGCCTACTAGAAATAGAACAACGGCTTGATCTAAACACCATGACAGCCTTCCTCTCCTAATCCACCAAAGCACGTCTTACACGTGATGAACACCGGTCTCACTCATCCACAGGTTCCACTTCACAACCAACAACTTTTGTCCTGAATTAATTACCCACAAACTCTTGGTTTGACACTTGGATTTTACGCACCACACAGACTACATTAGTGCCTTCCATGAATTCGAGCCTCTCAACATACGGAATTACAGTTTATACAGACCACATTTAACTATACTGAATTAATAAAAAAAAAACTAAGATTTTGCTCAAACTCCACAAATAACATTCACCTCGTGTCCTAGACACAAAATTGAAGATATTGTGTCCATACAGGACCACCTCAACATGAGACACTTATTTCTTAGCATCATCCCAATAAAGTAACCAACTTTTTTTATTACATCCTCAACCACATCACACTACACAGATACCCTAAACAACCTCCCCACAACTCACTGAAGCACAAAGACCTGCATCTACAGCTAGCTGTGTAACATCTTCCTCAGTATGTAGCCATAACTCCTTTAGAGAGACTGCTGCCAAATATCCACCCCATTGATTCCACCCTCCTTCGAGAAATAAGTATTTGTCTGTTGAAGTCTTCTCTGCACAAACTGGAACTCTCCCCACACACTATAAACTACTTGCCCGTCCCCAACACAACCCTCGTGGCTTCTCGACATAATCTCGTTGAGATATCTCTGGGAACTCAGGCATTTTTGCATAGTAAAATGTAATTACTATTGACTTCAGAATATCTCTTAATGTCAAGTGCACATGGCTTGAAAATGCCCATGATATTGGTCAGATTTAAAAAAAAAATTATGGAGGGGGCCCCCCCTTTTTTATTCCTGGATCTGCCCTTGGAACATGTGGTGGAAGTATCTGGCTTCCTAGTGGCCATTAAGTATTATGTGGAATTGAACTGAGGTAGCACAACTACAATGCCTATGCAGTCCATGTCTCAGTGTTGTAAGCCAAGGTTCTCCTATAACAGATCTGAAACATTCTTGGCTCTAAGCTAATAAGTGCTTAAGCTTTTTATTAACTAAATATATGTTTATCTAGTTGTAAGTACAGTATGCACCATCATTGTGATTTCATCTAGATTTGAAAAGACTTGAGTATTTTAATTACTGGTAATATGTGATAAGTAACATAGGAACCAACTCTTACTACAGTACTTTCTCAACAGGGTAATTTTTCCCCCCCCAATACTTTTCATCTGCTGTTAGTGGCTCAAGGGTTCAGTGTTAGTTTCACCATTAAGATACAGATATCCCTTAAAATGTTTCACTGATGGGATGGAATTCCTGTCAAATTCTGAACAATGATGTGCAATGAAAACAACCTTCAGTTCAGTGAAACCTCCATTAATTGACTTAAATTGGCGGGGACAGTCCATTATATCAAAGTCTATAAGATGTGAAACCAAGTAAAGGACTACTGTATATGGGAAAGTATAGTCTCTTTTATATGGAGATTTCACTGAACTGGTAAATATTTTTAATTTAGTGAGACCAACTACTGGTACATTAATATTAACTCTGTGAATCTCATCGTCCAGTATTGTCTTGGATAATTGCACTAGCTCTTATGAATCTGCTGTTTGATTTGTTAAGTTTTCTTTACCAATTCTGCCTTATGATGTAGCTTTTTCCCCTAAGGCTGACGTTGATATTTGCAGAGAATAAGTTTAGATGATATACCGGTAGCCACAGAACTAATGTGAGTTTCTAGTGTTGTGTGTCATGTGGTCCAGTACTGTAACCCAAATATGTTCTCAAGATCCTGTGATCCTTTAACTGAGTGGCTAAAGGATATATGCTTCTATAGCAGTGGTCCCCAACCTGCAGTTCACTGATGCCTTAGTGCCCGCGGAACCATATTATGGAGCCTGCAAAGGTTTATTTGAAAATTGTGAATTATTTGGGATTCTTTGTAAGAGTGACATCAACGAAAATATGTAATAACGTGATACAACTGTCAAGTACAGGACGTGTGTATTTACCCCAGACCGGGCCCAGAGAGAGAGCCAGCCTTCTCACTGGGGTAAATACACATGTCCTGTCCAAGACTAAATGTAAAAAGTGTGCAAATTGTAACAGTTAGACATGTAAAACTGCAAATAACTGTACAATATGAGATTTTTTTCTTGGATGTAGATCCAAAGTTTTGGTGCCCTCCACTATATTTACAATGATAAATGTGGCCCAGAGCCTACAAAAGGTTGGGGACCACTGTTCCATGGTGAAATCTCCATATGACTGACATCTAGCTTCATATGTTAAATGGGGGATATCACATCTAAAGGACACCTCGATATAACCGACTTTCATCTAGCGAATTATATTATACAGTAGTTCGTTAGATGGAGGTTTCACATGTAATGTACCCTCGATATAATGAATTTTCCTCTCCACATAGTCCGTTAAATAGAGGTTTTATTGTGAATTTATCTCGGGGTAATTTTTACCCCAATTTAATCTATATTCCATATCATATTTTTTAGGCTTAAATGCACAAGTGATTTAACATTTTCTCGGTCAAAAATCACTTTTCAAGGATATTACTATTTAGATTGTACTCATTTTTATATGTATATCATATTTTTTGAGGCTTATATATAAAGAGCGAATAATATTTTCCCAATCACATAATTCAAGGATATTACTATTTAGATTAACTTCACTTGTCATTGATTGTATTTGGTTTAGCTGTGGCCCGCCTGCTGCTAAAACTTGAGGAAAAATGATCAAGTTCTACGAAAACACTATCACCCTTGGAACCTTCTGAGGATATTTGATGCTTTTAGTTGATGTAATAAAGTGTCAGGACTGTAATGTAGAATGATCTTTGGGTATCATTTGTCCTGAAGAAAAAAGTGGGACTTATTTATTTTATCATACAGTACAGGGTTTTGATAAGATTTGTACTTAATAAACGCATAGTAATGACGAGAAATAATAGTCACTGATCGCCAATTAACTTGGTGTTGTCAAGAGCTTAAGTGTAATGATAACTGTCCACACCTGATACTGTTGATTAGATTAGTTCAGCGTGGAGTATCTTGTGTTGTGATACATACTGTAAGTTGTGTTTACTGTGAAGCTGCAGGTGATTCCTTGACTTTCAGTAATTGGTAGAACTTAGGATATTTTTCCAAGAGTTTATTTAAGCCAAGTTATATTTTTTGATGTTTTCCCAAGAGTTGTGAACTTATTTTGTGAAGCTAATGTGTGATATTACAATATAGTAAAATACTTATTTAATTTATTTGTATTTTTTCTTCCTTTTTATTGCAATTAAAACAAAGTACTGTACTTAATAATAATAGTTTCCCCTTGTGTTCAAGGTTGGCCAACCCTTAGAGCCAACATGGTGTGAAATTGTTTAAGGTATACGAGTAGAAGCTGTCTCCAACACCACAACCACACCCCAAGTTAAGGACCTGTATGATCCAATGTTAAGGAATAATCCAAGAAGAATGGACAACTGATCAACTGCACTGGCTAATCATTACCCTGGAACACAATCTACAATTCGATAAACTGCCAGGTCTCCAACTACTGATGGTTAAACAGAGGCAAATGTTGTAAAGAAACTTGTCCATAGTTTTACCCTGCCCGGGGATCAAACCCAAGTCCACTCACTTGTGAGATGAGCATGCTGGCTGTTACATCACAGGTATATTACATTATAGAGTACCTGTACTATATGATTATGCCCATCAGAAAGGCATATTAATGCAACATTTTCTTTGGTTTGACAATCACCTTACTATACACAGGACACTGTACAGTACAGGGGTAGAGTCCAGGCTGTAACTGCAGGGGGGGAGGGACACAAGCTATGCGGGGCTGCTTCCCCAGTAATAAAACACACTGCATCACAATGTCTCAATCAAGCAAGATCACCAAACTATCATTAAAGTTATGTCAAACAAATAATAGTGAACTGCCTATAAAAATAATAAGAATAATCTAATATATGTATAAAAGCACAGCCACACACACCAAATATTGATGGGAAATCAACAATTCCAGCAAATTTATCTGTCAAGAGACAACAATCAGTCACTGCAGCGGCAGTTGACGCTCAGACTAGTCAACAACAGTTCTCACCGTTCGAAAATTGTCAATTCAGATGAAATTTTAATATATGATTTCAGAATATAGACCCTCACCAACTGCAGATTCCATGTATCCACGGTTTTCACTCTATACCATTTCCCCAAATGCAACATTTAGTTTTATGTATCCGCAGATAAGCGTGGCGTATTTATCCCTCCGCTGTCTATTCCTTTCTAAATGTAAGAAATAAATAAAGTAAAAGAAAAAATACTGCATTGTTTCTTGCAATCACTTCACTAAGGACATGGGAGACAGGAGCACCATCTCCCACCCCCTCCTCTGATCATGTGCTAATTCCCGCACATGAAGAAATGTTTATTCTCGTTAAGTTGTTGACCTTATGATCATATTATTTTATTTTTTTGCACATTCCATATGAACAAACAATTGTGTGTGCATTTAACAGAGTAAAAAATTTTTTTTAAGAAAATAGTATATATCTACCAGAAATATGAGTTGAGAAATAACAATACCTATACAGTAAACCTTTGCAATTCGCAATTTCGACAATTTGTGATAAGCAGATAGTGGTTATGGTGGCTAGCTTGTGAGCCTCTCCCACAGCGCAGCAAGTCACCCCACGCACCCGCAGCATCTCCTCTCCCTCTGTTCGCACTCAACCATTGTCTGCGACGCAGTATCTCTTGTGTTTTACTCTCAAAACTTTTAGTGTTTCTGTGTGAAAATGGCCCGTAAGTCACTGCCTAGTGTCAGTGCTAGTGATGCAAGTGGAGTGAAATGTAAAAGGCAGAAGTCAGTGACGACCCTGACAAAGAAAACTGAATTATTAGACAAGTTAAAGGAGGGGATGAGTGCTGCTGCAGCTGGTCGGTTGTTTGGTCCAAGAAATCAACCAGGCATTGGTTCCCTACCAAGAAATGCTTAAAGACCTCAAAGCCAGGAGGAAACAACTACTAATCACTATGTTTTTCAAGAACGAACCAGTCATTCATTCAGCTGATTTGTCTCCCTCCCACACTCAGTCAGCTGCTGCCGCCGTTCCACCACCCTCCTCCCAGCCACAAGCCACCAACCACCACTGCATCATCTTCCAACAGTGATCCTGATGATCTCCCTATGCTTCAGTAACCAGGGCCGGTATACACAAAACTTTTAAGTGCTAACAAACAGTTGATAAGGGCTGACATTTTCCTGTTATGCACTAATAGTACATACACAAAACTTTTAAGGGCCTCAATAGTACTGTTAAGTTAAAAGACCTCGGGAGCACTTTTAAGTCCCGTAATAGTCGTCTGTTAGTTGATACTATGGCGAACCAACAACAACATCACGGCGGCAACGGATTTGTCGGGAAAGGAGAGATGTATTTAATGAATATAGTGTGTACGTATATATTAAATAAAGTGTGAATATATTGTTTGTATTCCCTCTTTATAACAGGGATCTTCATTCTTGACTTGGGCAATACAGTAATGAGAATCAGCGTGTCTCACACTCTGCCACTAACCTCACCACACCAGGAAATGCAGCATTGACTCTCATGGTGATTTCCAGCCATGCCCTTTTGGATATTTTTTGTGAACCACCCATCATCTTTTTCACAAGAAAAATAATTGTTTTTCGCTAGTTTTCTTGCTGTTTTAGATGATTCTGAAATTTATCTTTGGGGCAAATCACTTTTTTTAGTTAGGTAAGGAGGTTAGGATGTGGCCTGTTAGGTCAGGTAACCTAATCTAACTAAAAAAAAGTTAGGTTAGGTTACCTGACATATGACCGCCTCAGTCGTACCAAAATTTTGTCAAATTACGTATTTTCGAGTCCCAACGTCAGTGATTGCGCTGTGTACTGAAAAAATTTTCGTTTGTAATTCACTTTAAAATGGCTGGCAAGCTTAAAAGTGAGTTTTGTGGTGTTGAGAAGAAAAAGTGTATAATAATAAAGTGAGTATAGGTGTGTGTGTGTGTGTGTTAGTGGTAATAGTAGTGGTAGTGATGGTGGTTAGGTTAGGTTAGGCACCGATACGTCTTGATGTGTCTTCTATTTTCTATATATTATTTAAGCATTTTTAACTTACGACCTGGATTTGGGTCCCTAACCCCGTCGTAAGTCAGGGAGCAGCTGTAGTATTGGCGACTTAAGTTTCTCATACACACTATAGGTATACAGTAGTGCACTGAGGTAGTGTAAGTTGCTATTCATAAGTTTGCCAATTTGGGCCATTCCTTGGAACCTAACCCAAGCGAATAGCAAGGGCTTACTATCGGGCAATTCTACGAGGGGGCCAGGGGGGGGCCATGGCCCCGAGATTTTGGGCTGGCCCCCCCACTTTTTATTCTCAAAATTGTAATTCCAAAAACATTCCCAAAACCAGGAAGTGAGTCAAGTGACTCAGGCAATGGGCGCGCCGCATGCCAGATGCAGGCATGGGTGAGGTGAGGTGAGGCCCGGAGGGCAGGAATTGGGAGGGTGCAGATATGCGGGGTGGGGTCACATCACGGTGTATATAAACAAACTGCCTTGTCGCTGATGAACATTACCACTCTGTATTTCCACTGAGGAGGGTGACAGACTGACAGTAATTGTCGAATTTGTCGCCGAAACTGATAAACACCACTGTAACTTGATTGAGCATTACTCCGAGAAGATTGATGAGCTCTGTGAGAAATGCAGGATTTCACCAACAAAGACACGAAAGCGAACCAGAAAACCTCGACAGAATGATGAATTGATCGTGCTGGAGACGACCGGTCAAAGCTCTGACGTGAGTCATGTGCGCATTGGCATCTTCTATGAAGTCCTAGACTGTTTGATTAGTGAATTAGACAGGCATTTCTCCAATGATTCCTGTGTAATTTTTTGTGGGATTTCAGCTCTTTGTCCAGAAGGACAGACATTCTTGTCTGAAGAAGATTTGAAGGCATTTGCAGTTACATACTCAGTCAATCAAAGTGATTTACAACATGAGATACCTCTGGTGAAGAAATTGCTCGTGAAGGAACACAAACAACCTTCATCGCTCGTGCAATTTATGTCATTTATATGCCCTTATAAGGCTGCATTTGACTGTTTGTATAAATTACTGTTGATAGCTGTAACTCTCCCTGTTTCCAGTGCTTCATGCGAGAGAAGCTTTTCGAAAATGAAATTAGTGAAAACATTCCTAAGAAATTCCATGTCCAGTGACAGACTGAGGAACATCGCACTTCTATCGATTGAAAGTGCACGCGCTGAGGGAATTGATTTAGATTGTTTTGTCGATGAGTTTGGCAGCCGACATGCCGACATAATAATCGTTGGATTAAGTTGCACTGAATATACTGCTACCGTCACAGTACCGTGTGAACTGAAACTGCACCATTGCCATTTGCCATTGGGTATATTGTAACAGTTGCATGCGGCGCCCATGTCTGAAAATGTAAACGTTGTCTCCATAATCTCTATTATGTGTGAAGCGTGAGATCATTCATTTTTTTGCTGATGTATGTACATACATTGTAAAGACACTTGCTATATTTTTCAATGTTTGTTATGTGGTACACCCGCCCTTTATGTGACTATGTGAGCAATAATACAGTTTTAGAGATACAGTATGTTCAAGTGTGTCAATACTCCAATGAATCATGATTAGTGGAATAAGAGCGTTACCATTATACTGCCATATGCCGATTATTTTAGGCTGGCGTCATGAGAGACGTCACTTTACATTTGTCAATCAAAATGGTGTAATAATGCCAAAAACTGCATCTTGCAAGTTGTACACAGGTTTGGTTTTGCCCCTCCCCCCCCCCAACATTTACCTTGGCCCCAAAGTGGCCCCCCCACTTTCTGAAGGCTAGAAATGCCACTGCTTACTATAATATAGCTCACATCTTGGCCTTGTAGGGGGAGAGTTGGAGGGATGTAGCTATAGGTACAATCTAGCTTGACAACATGTTAAGTCTACACACACATTCACTTCACACACATACACACCCATGCTCTTCATTTTTCTTATTTAATAGCAACATGCCATCTCCACGGAGATGTAAAATTTATATTTACTTTATTACTATTTAATTTATATTAAGCTATTTTATATGTACTGTACATGTACTGTATTTGATTCAAATTTAATTAAATTTACAATACAGATATTGTTTGGTGAAGAAACAAGCAATTGGTGAGGCTTTAACAAGTATACTATTTGCAGCCATGGAACCTAACCCCCTACTTCCCAGAAACCTTCAGCCTTGCCAACCACGGATTTGCCAGCCACAGGGTTTTTCAGGAACATCCCCCCCCCCTCCCCCGGCAGTTGGCGAAGAACTACTGTATATATCCTAAATAAATTATCCTCATTTATGCCTAAAATTTGTCTTGGTTTTAATTTTTTTTTCTTTATTACATGTATGAAATGCGAGCTCAAATTATTAAAGTACTGTATCTGTATTGCAAAAATAGGAATAACGACGAGACCTCATTTGACATGAGACAGCGACAAAGGAATCTGATCTTCAACCCTACATTCTCCAATTAAATATGGATTCTTGGCTATGAATGACATCACTAAGCATAGTAATTCCTGAAACTTGGCCTTCCTCATGCCATGAAAGTCATAGAATGATTGAGGGTCTTCCAGGCCGACTTACAGTACAGGGTATTACACTAAATTATGGTACACACTCCTGCTCTCTCTTCTTGCCAGCCAGGAAGGTACCCATATGCATTTTTTTTTTGGTGTTTAACCTAATCTAATTGAACTGCACATGTTATTAAAGCAGTGATAGCCACTGCTGTCATGCACATGGATTCCATTGCTTATTTTGGTTGCTGAAACGGTTAGCAAGTCTGTAAAATGGATCTTTTGCATGTACGACCACTGGGTCGATTGCTAATTTAATGTCTGTTGATGAAACAGTTTCAACGATTTTGATTGATGAAACATGATAGTGTGACTACGGTATACCTTAATCTTTTTAATAACAAGTTTTAGATATACTGTACAGTAATAAAAAATAAATACCCCTGTACAAACTATTGGTCTTTAGTTAATTTTTATGCAAAATTGAATAGTTTATAATTTAGACATTTTGGAACTGAAAATTTGAATTTGAACAAGTGATCAGTAAGAATGGCCCCGAAGAAAAATTCACCAAGTAATATGTCTCTGACCATAACCATATCAAAAAACATTAATTAAAAAAAAACTTTTTACAGAACTAGCATCAATGTTAATTACCTTATGATCTGAAGTCTTGCAATGAAGTATATTTACAAAGTTCACAAAACAGTGTGATCAAAACTGAAGAGACTTACTGAGTCTAGCCTGTTGTATATGACCTGACAGGCTAACCCATGACCTCAACACCATTATCTTGTCAGCACTTGGGGCCAGAAGCAGGTTGACCCCAATCACACTGTGTCATGGTTCAAGAAAGACTGAAGCAATATTATTTGGATGAAACAGAAAACTCTAATGAGTAAACAAATTCATTGTAGTATGTGGGAATGAACCATCTCAACTGTTACTTTAGTGAAATACCTTGGGCTAATCCTTAACTCTTCCTCATCTGAGGAAGTAATCATAGATAATGCACAAAATAAAGGCAATGCCAGGATAAAATTTCTTTATAGAGTAGAAATGCCAAATGCTTCTCACCTGATGCCCGTAGAAACCTTTCCTTGGCGCTCATGCAATGTAACTTAGATTATTCCTGCTCATCATGGTACTCTGCAATAAACCAGATTCTAAAAACCAAGCTACATATTATTAAAAACAAGATGTTCAGATTCATTCTTAACATGAAAGCAAACAATCACATTGGTCACAAACTCCTACAATCACTGAACATGCCAAGTGTGATGGATAAGAGTGAAGCAACTGGGGCTGAATCACACTTTTAGGATTTTCAACAAACTGTACCCAGAGTATCAAACAACAAACTTTGTAAGGAATTGAACAGTTTTATGGTACCTGGTGTCCACAGTCAGGCAAAAACACATTCTTTTCTACAGCTATAATTGACTGGAAAAAGTTACCTGACCAAATTAAACTCAGAAATGTTATCAAAACATTCAAAGATACAGTATTAAAGGTCACATTGCAAATTATCTGCATTGCAATGTTTCATCTCACCTAGGGGTGCTGAAGTGAAAGCTGCATTTGACATTATGTTGAAATAAAATTATCACAGATTAGCTTGTGGTTCTGAAGTGAAAGTAACACAGGTATCTAGTTGTGTTACAGTGAAATGATCGAGTATCTAGTGAAGCTGAAGTGAAAGTGGCTAATGAATAGGTCCAAGAGGAGGAGCAGCACCACACCTCTTGCTTCCCACATCAGTTCCTCTCGTGAGTGGTCAACTGAACTGTCTAATCATGTCTGGAGAATAAATAACAATTCTCATAAAACAGTTTTATTGAAAATAAAATGGCAACTACTGTACATTACAACAAAGTACTAAGAGGCATTTATATTATATTATGCAAATTCATCCAAGTTAAAAATGTAATAAATTTTTTCACTAGTGATTTTCAGTAATAACCCAAATGTTGTGTTTTCTGTTAAGACATAAGGGAAGGTCAAGTTTCTACCCTGCCATTTGTACTTCCCTACAGCCATCCTAAACCTGGAAGTGTTAGTAGTACTCTGTGAAAGTTAAAAATGGATATGATTCTCACATATTTTCATTGGCTTACTTAAACTAGGTGTCTGTAAAACTGGTAAGACTCCCACAACCGATTTCCCCAAATGATAAAAGTTGAAAAACATCATCCAACACGACCCATACTACGTAAAGTTTGTCTATCTTCATCATCATCACTCCATGATACTTGGCAAAGTCTCAGAAGAGTTGATGTCCCTTACTGATGATTCCAGTGTCTGACAAGATGGACGGACAGGTCAACCCTTATGTCCCTGACGAGGGCACAGAAAGGTAACTTGAGGATGTGTGGCCTTACAGTTAGCCTATTGGAACTGCCAAGGCCTTGAAAACTAGAACCTTGCTTATTTTCTTGTACAGGTATCGTCTTTTACTTGATGTTTACAGAAGAGTAATATCCTGAAGTTTAAACATGGTTTTCTTCAATTCATAAAACGGTATTTGTCATTCAAACATCTGGATACTTGTGAGCACATGTAACAAAGGTAATTAAGCAGGTCATCAAGGTGTGTTTACCCAGCTGTCTTCTGCTGCATCACCAAGATTTCGTATCACAGCAGGACCTTGTTGGGCCATCTAGTCTTTCGAGACACAAGACTCGGATAATTTGTCGCTTTTTTTTATTTATTTTTTTTATTTTATTTTTTTTTTTGGGGGGGGGAATAGCCCACCCTAGCACAGGTCATCAACCCATAAGTTAAACATTCCTACCACTAGTATGTTTCAAAAGATGGCAGCGATGCACATCTACATTAGTCTACCTAAATTTGTCTTCACTCTTACAAGCAACAACAAGAATTTATCCTGAAATCTTGCTACAGTAAAGTAAAAAAAAAAAAAGTCAACACATGAAAATTTGTGGTCATGAAGTCTCAGAGGTTATATCCCAGCTTAACTTACAACACTGATGGCTGGTACTATACTGTATTAATTAAAAGAATTCGTACAACTCTTCCCCTCAGAGAGAGACATGGAAGTTGCAGGTTAACATTGAAAGTTGAGGACTAAAATCAGTGTGTTGGTGCTACAGCTGCTTGAATATTGTGGCTCTGGCTTGTTCATCATTAACCATCTTGGATTTAAACTACAGTTGGACAATGTTAAACCCACAGGGAGGAAGGAGTATTCAGTCCTCGTCTCAGCTTGGCTAAAAAAAATAGGTCATCCTGAACCGATTCATGACATTAGCCTCCTGCGAGTCCAATAAATCACTTGGTTGTCAAGCCAGGTACAGGAGGAGGCATTCCCAAGTATCTCTGTGTTAGGGGTCAAGTATTTAGGGAACGGGGATGATGCAGTAGTAATTCTTTCTGGTACAGTCGTGACATTTGTGCATTATGTTTGTTATTCGTTTACTGTCTTAACACAGCAACAATAATAAAATGTGTAAAAAAAAAAAAAAAAATTAAATAAAAAAAAATGCCAATAGCATGTCAGGAAACTCAGCCAAAGGTGACTGTATGAGGGGTATTAATGTGGCAATATACAGCTCCTCCCCGACTTACGACCTGCCTCAGTCCGTAACGACCATCCGCACATACGACCGCCGCAGTCGGTACCAAATTTTTTTATCAAATGACATGCGCATTTTCTATACATGTACCGAAACGTTTCCGTCCCATACGAGAGCATCGCGTGGCTTGGGTCACCGCGTGGGTACAGCACCCATGCCATAGAGCGCTTAGTTGGTGTTTGGATGTCGTTGTATCCGCAACTGATCGCGCTGTGTACCGACATTATTTTTGTATTTAATTGACTTTAGAAAGACTGGAAAGCGTACAAGTGAGAGTGCTGGTGGTGCTCAGAAGAAAAGGAGACAGTCAATTACTTTTGAGACGAAAATGAAGATAATAATGCAGTATGAAAATGGAAAAACTGTAGCAACAATTTCACACGACCTAGGCTTCTCGCACTCGACCATATCTACTATTTTGAAGGACAAGGAACGTATTTGTGAGGTAGTGAAAGGATCAGCACCTATAAAGGGAACAATAATAATGAAGAAAAGACAAGGTCCTATTCATGAGATGGAAAAATTACTTGTGGTATGGATGGAAGACCAGATACAAAAGCGTGTACCCTTAAGCCTTCTAACCCTACAGGCTAAGGCAAGAAGCCTTTTCGAAAGCCTGAAGGAGCAGGCAGGAGATGAGTGCGAGCAAACCTTCACAGCAAGTCATGGGTGGTTTAACAGATTTAAGAACCGCTACAGTTTACATATGTTAAGGTGAGCGGAGAGGCAGCTAGTGTTGATGTTGTTGTTGCTGCTGAAGCTTTTAAGGAGGAGCTAGATAGTGTCATCATGGAAGGAAATTATTTGCCTGAGCAAATATTCAATGTGGATGAAACTGGATTATAATGGAAGCGCATGCCTGAACGGAAATACATCCATAAAGAGGCAAAAACAATGTCAGGATTCAAGGCATTCAAGGACCAAATTACGCTTCTATTGGGGGGGAATGTAGCTGGTTTCAAGAAAAAGCCCTTCATGATCTATCATTCAGAGAACCCCAGGGCTTTTAAACATGTCAGCAAGCACACACTGCCAGTGTTTTATCGCAGTAACAAGAAAACCTGGATGACCCTAGTACAGTGGTCCCTCGGTTAACGAGCAAAATTCGTTCTAGAAGGTTGCTCGTTAACCGAAAAATTCGTAAACCGAAACCATTGTTTCAATGGGTTTTTGGGTAATTGGTTCCAACTCACCGAAAATTACAAACTAAAAATAAATGCAGTAAAGTACACTTACTTTGAGGTATGCATGTAGAAGGCTCCTGGATGATGATGATGATGGGAATTAGAATGGGGGTGGAGGAGAAGGGAGAAGAGAAGGCATTGGGGTGGAAGAGAAGTCACCCCATGCCGCCATTTCACCCATGAAATTTTAGTTCACTTGGTGTAATTCAAGATTATTTTCTTTAAATCAGCACTGCAATGCATTATATATTGTCAATATGTAAAATAAACTTCAGATTGACCAATAATTTGCTTGCAAACACAGAAAAAAAGCATTTAGTTGAAGAGAGGTAGTAGGCAGCTATCAAACAGGGAGGTACTACCGCCTGGGAAGATATTGGAAGCATAATGTGTTGTCTAATGGTAGACCCTGCTGCCATATGGCATCACGAATATTGTGACCAAGTCCCAGGTTGCTAATCTGTCTTTCTGCCTCATTTACACACAATTGCAGTCTCAATTGTTTCTCTTACTATTGACAAGACAACATATAGCGTTTCTCACTATTGATTATTATTATTTTTTCTTTATTATCATTATTACAATATTACAGTGTTATTATTGCTATTATTATTATTATTGTTATTATTATTTTATTTGACATTTTATTATAAATTTTATTTACTATGAATTACTATTATTATTATTATTAGATTTTCGCCCCCCAGGCCCCGATGTGGGTCAGTGACCTGTGCCCAGGTGGGCTGATCCCCTTAAAAAAAAAAAAAAAAAAAAAAAAAAAAAAGAGCAAGATGTTACCTCCACTGAAAAGACAGAGAGACTGGCACCTGTCTGGTGTGTTGCTAGGCTGAATGGCGCGCATGAAACTAGTTTCCTTACCTTCAATTATGTTCAATAATTGTTAAAATGACTAAAAAATTTAATATTAAACTTTTAAAATTATTGAATAGTATAAACATCTTGATATTTACTAAAATAGTAGGGAATTTAAGCCCTAAAACCAATTACTGTATTGGAGGACTAATACTACAGCTGGTGCACCGCCAAATGCAAGCGAAAACATGTTGAGGTGGCTCGTAAAAAAACTCGTTAATCGAGGGATTGCTCGTTAACCGAAATCTCGTTAACCGAGGGATCACTGTATATATGTATATAAGTGCTTGTGCATACACCATGTGCATGAAGAACGTTTCTTTAAAAATACAATTCACACGTCTTTTTCTCATCTACATTGCAAATATTGTGCGATAGTTACGGGACAACACTGTTTGAAGGTCCAGCTGAGCAAATGCAGGATTATTTTGTCAGGTGTTAAGGTTGTCAAGGGGTGCCGGGTGAGGAACACTGGGCGTAGTTGTTGAGGACAAGGTCTGTGAGCGACGGCGGCTTGCTGCAAGAAGTGCGGGTGTGTGTGGCACACGACAACCCAGGATCTATCAGCCCCAACACCCCTCCTACTAGATGGAGTGAACCTGTCACTAACACCTGTAAAGATATTGAAAAGAGGAAAATATTAATCACAAGAATGAAATACACACAATATCTAATCTAAATTAACACTACTGCATACCTTTAAAATATTATATTTCAAATACAGAATCTATATGATATGTAAAGATAGGAATATCCATACTAGTTAGCACACACTTTTATACACCAATGCATGACCTTGCAAAATATTCTATAAGAAGAACCTTTGAGTGTCTAACAAATTTCACTACACAATACGTTAAGCTTAAGTTATCCTGAAATCCTACAAGAATATCCCTTATTTGAAGACAATATCCTCCCATCATGACGATTTTTAATTCCTTGATTACAGATAGCTCCTCCACTCCATTTTCAATCACAAATTTGATTTCCCCATAAATAAAATAACCCAATGTCACAAGCTCACATCAGTGACCTTCAAGACAGCACAAATTAAACACAACACCATTTTACTTCATGTGTGGAAATTCACGAACCTGTATCTGTGTAGCTTCTTGTAGCTGTGGGGGAGGGGGAATAGCAGGTGGCACTGATATCTCTCCTCTGAGACTCTGATTACGCCCACACGACAACCACAGCAGAGCGTCGCGGATACACGGAAATATTATGCTCGGAACGTCCGTTGCCGGTAAGCTAGTCGTTAGATTCAGATTATCTTCATGAGCACTGGGAGGATCACTCTGACCCCCCTGAGGATTGTATGCCCTAGTGGTGTTCTCCTGAGGGACACATTCCTGGTAAGCCTCCCAGTTCTTAAGCTTCCTCACCAGTTTGATCCAGGTGTTCCTCTGACGTACACACCTCAAGTGCATCTCGTCGGGGGAGATTGTGTAGTTTGTTTGATCTGAAGATAAAAAATAAAGAGAAATAAAAAAATGCCTATTCTACCCACAGTCAGTTCAGCACTCCTCAAGCTACTATAGTTCCTCCTCCATCTTTCACTTCTCATTATCCGCAACAAGACACCTTCCCAACTGCTGTACTGTACTTTCTTCATCATTGATGTCTTCAGGTCATCATTCCCATATGCTTTTCCTCTCTTCCTATATTTCATTTCCATGCTGCCTCACACACACCTGCTAAGTAACCTCCTCTGTGTTATAATAAATCAGTAATGAATAATTATTCAATAAAAATCTTTGCTTTTAATTTAAGAAGACATTATGTGGAGAGCATATAAAGTAACTGCTAATTCACCGAGAGGAGCCAAGGACTAACTCTGGTCACACTAGTTGATCAGTCACTCACGATATACCTGTATAGTGTATCATCAGTAACTCACCAGAGGAGGCACTCATTGAGGTAGTCACGAGGTTGGTTGTGAACACAGTCAAGTCGAAGTTGCAAGAGGCCAGACACTGGAGTAACATCGTAGGATCACGATCACCAGTGGAGTTGAACATGAGCACACGGTAAGTCTTCCCTCCGCTGATATAAAATATAAAAAGGAAAGATTTCGAGAACACCAATTTAAGATCTTATCTTTTTCTTAATAAAAAAAATGCTTCTTGACAATATATGGCATCAATACATTTTACTTATTACTCTGTATATATGACCGGATTTGTTAATAAGCCTCTTTGAATCTTGATAACTATTTAGTGTACACTCACTCCATAAAGTATCTTTACGACTTTGTGTTAGAACCAGTGGTTCCCAACCTGGAGGCCATGGGGTAATTTGAACCATGTAAGTTCATAATAAAATTAAATAAGGCTTGACCATCACAGAAGAGAGCCAGAATTGAAACCATATGATCTAATGATGCTTATCAATAATAAAATTTAAATAAGACTTCAATGGTATGGTAGTACACAATACTTGCTTGATCCTGTATACTGAAAAGCAATATACTTGAGCATCTAGAGTTACTGGAGATAGAATTTCATCAGTGAAGTATTTTCCCGATTTAGACAACAATGGGGTAAAAATTTTGAAAAATTATTTTTCTGTCAACTTTCGTGTGGAGAACATTCCAGAGGCAATGCACGACGTATTCCTGGAACTCCAAAACAATTAATTTTGCCATAGACAAATTTGAAAAGAAGAGCTTGACGGAGTTTTGGGTGGCAATGAGTCGCTACCCTAATACAGTATCAAAAAATGGATATCCGGGGGTTTCTGCCATTTTTGTCTTCCAATCTCTGCAAAGCGGGTTTTCCATGCTGTTGATCTTCAAATCAAAACAGTGTAATTGGCTCCACGTGGAAGATGACCTCCGCTGTGCCCTGACTGCGACTCCACCACAGATACCCTAATTGGTAGCAAAAAATGCAATTTCAGCCATCCCACTGAGTTTTAATTAATTTTTGTATTTTTCTTTTTTTACACGAGTGTAAATTTTATGTGCGTGCATCACGTCCTTAGTTTTTATTACCCGAGGTGTTGTTAAGTTGAGTTTATTTTTGAGATTGTAATATACTGTACAGAGTACTGTATTTTCTCCAGACACATGAGGTTTAGATTTTTCACATATCCATGACTTGGATTCTTTTCATACAGTTTTCTTGTGTGGCACTTAAATTTTATGCTGTCCCTGTAACTACTGGTGCCAATAACAGTAAAATATTAAAATCTCATATCCAGCAAGCTCATTTGAGCAACATTGCTTTGTTTGCTTCGAAGAAAGAAGTAGATGGGGGCCGCGGAGGTTATCATATTTTGTCCGGGGGGCCACAGAACGGTAAAGGTTGGGAATCACTGTCATAAGACGAGATGACAACGGAAAAATGATTGCTTCTGATTTGACAGCAATGGCAGTATTCATTTTAAAATTAATTGGCCCCCCATAAAGGTACTTTATGAAGTGTATGTGTGCAAGCACTTCCTATACTGTAGACCCACATCACTACTTTGAAACTTTGACTTCTAAAAAATTCTTCCCAAATAATAATAAAATTTAAAGAATACAACTGGTTGAATAAACATACCAAGATTCTAAAGGACAAGTACAGTAGACCCTTGCCATTCGCGAGAGATAGGTTCCAAGAATTGGCAACTTATACTACCTTAGTGCACTACTGTACAGTCAACCCTAGCTTTACGCGGTCCCATTTTACGCGTTTCCACGTTTACGCGGTACCCTGCCGAACACGGAATGCTCACTTTCCGCGGTGTGTGTACCCTTTTACGCGGAGAGCGGCGCGAGCAGGGTGCGCACAAGGTCGCCCAGTCATCAAAACAATACCGAGTCCTTCACCCGCCACAGCCGGCCCAAGTCAGTGATAGTGATAATGATAGTGAGGATATGGACTTATATGGACTTTGAGGGGTTTGACAAAGAGGCCCTGCAAGCCTCTGTGGTGGATAGTGATACAATTGATACAAGTGATACAGGTGAGGGCCAATAATCTGCCCTCTGCCTCGGATCCAACCCCCCCATCCCCGTATGCCCAGCCATCTTTTCTACTAATGTAAGTGTTAAAAAACCTAATATTATTGATATTTCTATTAATTATTAATTGTGTGTGCATACCATCATAAAATTAAGAAGTTATTTTTACTACAACGTAGGTATTGTGTCTGAAAAAGTGGAGTTTGGGGGTCGGCCCGGTCTCTATTTCAATTAATCCCATGTTATGTTGTTCCCTTTACGCGGGCCGCCGTGGGTTAAATTGACCGCGTAAAGTGAGGGTTCACTGTATACCTATACCAAACAACTGACCAGCTGTGGCAGCACTCATCCCCTCTTTTCACTTATCTAATAATAAAACTTCCTTTGTCAGGGTCATCACTGACTTCTGCCTTTTACATTTCACTCCACTAGCACTGACATTAGGCAGTCTTTTAGGGGCCATTTCACACAGAAACACTAAAGTTTTGAGAGTACAACACGAGATGCTGCGTAGGGTGACTCGTTGTACTATGGGAAAAGGCTTGCAAGCAAGCCACCATCTGCTTACCGCGAATCGTCGAAATTACAAATCACAAACTCGTGAATGGCAAGGGTATACTGTAAACAAATAAAAAAAATACACAAGGAATTCAAGTTAGCAATAACCGAGAGAGCTGGGAAACAACATTCTTTTACGTATGACATAAAAAGGACTACTGTACCTCTTACCTACTTTTGTGTTAAGTTGTCAGAGAAGTGTCCCTTTATTCCTCTATAGCTATAATACAGTGTATCCTTAACCTCTTGTGAACAGGGTCACCTCAAAGCTGTGGCTCCCCCCCCCCACACACACACACAGAGAAGGGTTTAAAAAGGACTTTACCTTCCTAATTTAAAATATAAAGTCTAAAAAGAACATCTACTGTATATCCCTTAATTCCTTCACTAATGGACATCACTTTCAATGTTTTATTTTGCTAATGTCAGAGTTTTATTCAGCACAGAGAGAGATCCCAGGTACCCAAGGAGATAATTCTTTAGAGATAAGAAGTCAAAGTAAAGAACTATACCATTAATACTTGAAAAATATGAAGTAAAAAAAAAATATAAGTGAGGGAAGGAGATAATTGAATGCCAGATAACCCCCTACAAGACCCCCTGTCATTAACTATCATGAGGCCCTGAGTATGAGATGCCTGGTACAATTTTCTCTGTTCCCACTAACTTAGAATTCCTTCCAGGGAGGAGAGAGGGACACCATACCAAGCGTCTCCTCCGCTCTGTTACAAAACCTCTGAGAACTTGGGTTAATGTTCATTGTAACTGGATCACATTTTGGCCAAGAGGGTCAAACAATCCCCAACTGGGATTTAGTAACAAGTTGTGTTATACCCAATAATCATCCATTAGAAAGTGTGACCCACCACTTGACCATGGCAGACACTAATAAGGTGAGCGATGAGAGTTGTTCTAGTGAGGAAATGTCACAGGATGCATATATGAACCATTAGTAAAAGGAATTTTTTTTTCACGTTTGAGATATGCAGTCACAGAGAAGCTCCATTACTGTACTATACACCTTTAAACATATACAGTGAAACCTCCATATAATGGACTTCTCTCTCAATATAATACATTAGATGGGAGTTTCACATCAAACAGACCTTTGATATAAGTTCATTAGATGAAGGTTTCATATCAAACAGACCCTTGATATAACGAACTTTTCTCTTCATATAGTCTGTTAAATCAAGGGTTTCACTGAATGTCAAGAAAAATTACTTGTTTAGAGACACATATACCCTGATTTCATACACTGAGAAGAGGACCCACCCTGACCCCAAGCTTACTCATGCGGGGTGTGAAGAGGTAGAGCCTTGGTGAACCAATCAACACATGCCTGCATGCTGGCAAAAGTGTGGGCTCCATCAATGAAAAATTTCAAAGGATCATAAGACATCACCTGAGAAAAAAAAAACTTATTTATTTATTTGTTCTTAGTTATAAATACTGTACTGTACTATATCAATCCAAGCTTTGAACTTTATTGAAGCCTGGTTTTGTTCTATGGTGACAGATCAAAAAAATTACATTAATATACTATTTTTTGGCCTTTTTGGTTATGGAAAACTGAAGTAGAAAAATCTTTGGTTTACATTTCTTTATCTCGATTCTTTACAATGAATTTTGACAGCTGTGTCTGGTCTAACACACATAATACCTGTCTTTCCTTCTCTTCACATTACACACAGCAAGGGAACTCCATCTAAATGCTGGGAGGTGGTGCCTTTGGACCTTCCTAACTTATTTTCTTACTTGCATCTTCATACTGTACATGTAATATTTCAAGTTTTTCTATTGAACTTTTGATGCTGGATGGTGTAGCAACAAGTATCCACCCTCACATACCTCATCTGACCAGACAAGAACTGACTTTGAGTATGAGAAAAAAGTTTCCATAACAGAAAAAGAGATTATTGTCTTAAATATGAATAAAATTTACATGACAAAATGTAATTAAAATAATAGTTGCCTCCCACTATGAGAAACATTTACAAAAAAGAAAATAATATAAACAAATATAGTTGCCTCGAGTACGAGAATACTTTACATAAAGAAAAAAAAAAAGATTATTTCTAGAAACTAATGATATAACCTCACCAAAATACTGAACTGACCTGTGATCTCCCTGGCCAGACAACAGACTTAAGGCCACACACTTCCTCATCAGCAAGAGTAAAGGGAGCAGCCACCTGAAGCCCTGCGTGATCCAGGTGTGGGGTGCCGACGCATTTCACTTTGTTACTTCCTCCTGATGTATTCAAAATATAAATAACATTCTTTTAGAGATTAGTACTTTTATATACTTCAACTCTTTATGTAGCAAGAATAAATTAACTCTTTCATCACTACTGGTTAAATAATGACACTCATGAGGCAGCTACAACACAAACTTCCAAACTGGCATGAAGAAGTTGACCACACATTAATGTATATAGAGTACTGAATCAATAAACACACACACCCAATGTTTTCAGACTGCCAACACGAGACAGAAACTACTTTTTACTATCGAGGAATGGGTGAAATTACAAAATTGAACTGGAAAAAAGGTGAACAGCTTGTGGACAAGTCATACCATAGCAGATGAAAGCAACTAGTACAGCAGTGAGAACAAGTGAATGAAAACCTATAAAAGAAAACTGTGTACTGTATGTGAGTGTTTGGTCTCACTTCTAGTCACTCTGCATTAATGTGAAAAGACTTGAGAATAAAAAAGACATCACATTATGACTGATGATTGTAACAAGTTGTGAGCTATGTTTTTCCTAAACAGCAGGACACAGCATCAGTATAGTATGGTGGTTGCAGCATGTTGTGCCCATAAATACTCCAAAAAGCATGCTACAGTGACCTTTTTCTTTCAAGAATGTTACTATGCATTGCAGTATCATATGACCTTGTACAGTCACAATCAAAAGTTTGCCAAAAATCCCTAGCCAACATTATATTTCTATTCATAACACATAGATGACGCACTTTCGGCCAGCGGTTGACCTGCAGTCCTGTCACAAAAAAAAACGCTTCCAAGCTTGTCCCACACATGCAGGACTGCAGGTCAACCATTGGGGGAAAGAGCTTGATCCATGTGTTAAGAGACAGAAACATAATGCAGTCTGGGGATTTTAAGTGAAGTTTTGATTAAAGCTGTACATGAAATATGGTGATGACAGACAGCAATCAGCACATGTATTAAACCAGGTGTAACAATTTGGGATGACCTACAGGTGGTCAACTCTTCAAGGCAACATTAAAACAAATGAAAAACTTGGGTTCAATTACATTCAAGATTAGGTTACTCAGCCTTATTCAGCAAAGCAAACTTAAAAGGGATTCAATCAACGACACATCAACCATTACAGTCTATTGTGAGGCTGTTAGAGGTAGGAACAGTGAGAGATATATACACCGAACAAAGCAAACACACAACACCAATTCTCAATAATCCAGATATTACCTTTACTCTGAGCATTGATCCAATACTGCGAGAGCTGTAGAGCAAGCGAGGCGTTCTTGTACTGCACGTTTCCAGCCAGACCCAACTGTAATGGTCGAGTGCCCCAGCCATAGCTCTCAAGGGGAGGCACCTCATACAATTCACACTGCAACCATCCATTACATGTGGGTAAGTCAGAAGAATGTATTGAAAATGTTAATAAAGGAGTTACCCATTTAACCATCAATGCCAAACCTAATCTAACCGTGTTTCATTACCTATCCTAAGGAAAACCTAATCTAACCTATCCACAGGTGTTATCTATCTTTAAAGTCAAACCTGACCATGTTTTGTTACCATTCTCCAGTAAAACCTAACCTAACCAATCTTTATGTACTTTATAACCTATCTAACCTATAAACCTAACCTAACCTAACCTTAAACTATTTTAAATTAAAAACAAATCATTTACATAACCAGAACGTCGGTACCTTCTTCTCCTTGGCCCTCTCAATCAACACGGGCATGGAGGAGATCAACTGCTGGTTCAAGGTAAAAGTAGGCACCCCAGGCTTCATGATACCTGCTTTATGCCAGGCAATTGACTCGATGGTTTTGCCCAAGACTGACGTGTGGTCTATATCTAGGGTCGTCACGCCACATACCACGGGCTTCCTACACAGAAAAATAACCAAGATGAAATTTTTAAAGGGAATACAAAGAAGGTAAGAGTTATAAATATATACTGTGTGTCTATGGTGAGTGTACGATAATCTTTTAATAATCAACGTACCCTGCGACGTCAAGTGCAGCTGTTCCCATTAATATCCTGAGTACTGTATCATGTATTGTATTGTCCAAATTGGTAAAACTGTAATAAATATACAGTGCAGAAAGAGGATAACTCTACAGGGTGGCTTGCCAATCAGAAAATTCACCAGTAAGTCATTTGGTAACTAACAATCTGGTGTCAAATAATAATGGAATACCTGGCAATTCTTTATTCACTTTTGTGTGTCAAGACCAAAACAATTTCATTAAGGATAAAAAAATTTATACAGTATAAGTCTTGTGATTTTACAGTTGAATGGTTATATGAACATAATGTGTCATGGCATTCATTACCTCAAGAATAGGTGATAAAAAATTAGGTTAAAGTTGCTTCATATTCAGGCCAGTCCATACAGTATTTCTAAAAGCCATGAAAATCCCAAATTCACAAACTGCTCCATCCAAAGTACTGTACTATGATTTTTTTATATAATTCTATTCTATTGCATCATTAATCAGAAGTTCTAGAACTTTCATTTGTCTCAGGAGTTTTGTGTTTTTCCTTTGAAACAGAAAACTATGCTGATTTTTTTCACAATTTTGTAAGAGTTCAGTGTTTTTCCTTTCAAACTCAAACCCATTCCATTTATTTTTTCAGGTTATGTTGAAATATTAAAAGAACAAACATATACTGTAATCAGCAGACACACACACACACAATATAAATGGACCCCAAACACTCTGTCAACTCTAACGCAGTGAAAGATAGTAGTAAACAACCTAAACAACCTTCAACAAATAATGGAATATGGTACAAAAGCATCAACATTTTCCTTTAATCTAAATCTTACCGGACAACATTAGTACTGTCGTACTCTCCCCCGATGCCCACCTCCAGCACTGCGACATCCACTTCCTCACGCAGGAAAACTTTCAAAGCAAGAACAGTCAGAAATTTGAAGTACGGGGGCATGTCGTCTTCATTTTCCTGGGACAACAACAGAAGAAATTAACAAGAATTTCTAACCAAATTAACGAATGATGGATTATATTCTCAACATATACAGTACTAAAATAATATTCAAATTAGAACAGGACTTTGGCTACTGTGGATTACACTGTTAACATACTTAGTAATTCTAAATAAAATAGTTCACCTCCAATGGGTAAGAAAAGTACCAAAAACCACAAGTGACTAAGGATGAATTGTCCTTGGACCATCTACGCAGATTTGTTCAAAGCTCAAATGTTGCCAACACAATAAACCCAACCTTATAAAGCGCCTTTGTCCAGGAAGACCATACACACTAAGAACTGCACTGGCTAAATTAACCACTGTCCCAGAACACAACCTATTTATCAATTTACATCATGTTTCTTAAGCAATGCTGGATAAAGAAAAATGATTCAGAAGAACTTGCCCGTAGTCTCATAAATAGTGAACCACTACATAGCAGGTCATCATCTCATGGTCTAAAAGATCATATAAAGTACAGTACAACCTCTATTCAAAGGACTGTATGGAGAGGAAAGTCCACTACATGTATATTGAGGGTCCGTTAGATATGAAAAGTCCATTTAACGAACAATATAGAGATGAATGGCTGTTATATCAAAGGTATGTTAAATATGAACCCCCCCCAACTAACGGATTATATGGAGGTTTAACTGTAATTAATTCTGGCTCAAAGCAGATGGGAAAGAAACCATTTACAGTACCCATGTTCAATTCAACAAGCAGTCACCCAAAATATTACATAAAATTTACACACCACACACACTTGGGTTGTCTGCCAAATATTCTCAAATATGAACACTATTCTTCATTTCATCTTATTTCTATTTCAGTGTTTTTCCTTTACTTCTACATCTGCATCTTCACAAGCTTCCCAACTTAGGAATGTCATAACAAGAACCTACAGTTGGGTATTCACAAAAACAAAATTCCTCAACATTGCAGCACATGATGGTTTATCAACGTCCAACATAATTGTCTGTAGTCCATTGTGTGGCAACCTTTTTGAGGACTACCAGAATAAATTAACATCAACTGCTTCATGTTACTCATATGCGTAGAAGATACAGTGGTCCCTCGGTTAACGAACACAATTTGTTCCAGAAGGTTGTTCGTTAACCGAAATTTTTTTAACCAAAACCATTAATCGGTTCCAGCTCACCGAAAATTACCTAAAGTAAAAAAAAAATGCAGTAAAGTACACTTACTTTGAGGTGTGTATGTAGAAGGCTCCTGGATGATGATGCTGGTGTGAATTTGAAGTGGGAGGTGGAGGAGGAGAAGGGAGAAGAGAAGGAAGTGGGGATGGAGGAGAAGGGAGAAGAGAAGGCATTTGGGTGGAAGAGAAGTCACCCCATGCTGCCATTTCACCCACAAAATTTTAGTTCACTTGGTGTATTTCAAGATTATTTTCTTTAAATCAACACTGCAATGCATTATATATTGTCAATATGTAAAATAAACTTCAGATTGACCAATAATTTGACTGGAAACACAGAAAAAAGCATTTATGTTGAAGAGTCTCTAACAAGATGTTCCTTCCTCTGAACCAATAAACAAACTGACGCCAAGCTTGGTGTGTTGAGTGGCTGTTTAGCGCGCAAAAAACTAGTTTCCTGTACTTCAATTATGTTCAATAATTGTTAAAAAGACTAAAAAATTTAATATAAAACTTTTAAAATTATTGAATAATACAACCTTATTGATATTTACTAAAATGGTAACGAATTTAAGCCCTAGAACCGATTACTGTATTGGTAGACTAATACTACAGCTGGAGAGCAGCCAAATGCAAGCGAAAACATGTTGGGAAAAATTCGTAAGGAATTCGTTAACCGAAATTTTTTCGTTAACCGAAGTGAAGAATCTTATGGAAGGTAATTCGTTAACCAAAATTTCATTAACCGAGGCATTCGTTAACCGAGGGATCACTGTATTTATGATTATAGTGAATATACTGTATACTAATGACAAAATGTTTACAAACAAGTCAACACACTTTCTGAGCAGCAAGTTGATTATAAACATCCCAAAAATGCTTCATGAAGTTCTCCTTAAGTATGGGTTGCCCATTGATGCGTATCCTTTCACGAACAGCGACAAGATGAGGAGAGGAGAAGAAGCCTGTCCGATAGCCATGTTCCCTCAAGATGCTCTCGATGAAGGCACACGTTGAGCCTTTGCCTTTGGTTCCTGTAATGATTAATAGCATACTGTACGGTATAAGTAGAAACATAACAAATAAAGACAGGTTGCAGCATAAAGGTATTCTGAAGTAAAACAACCATAAATGTAATTCTTAAGACACTCAAAGTGATAATTGTTATTGTTTGCGGATCATTTAATAAACACAGGAGTTATTTTCACATGATATAGTTGAGGTTGTAGGCCATCTTATACTCCTTTCAACATGAAGTCATTAAATTAAATAATGTTCAAGTTATATTTTCAATGCTTTACGAGTGACCAAAATCAATGCAAATAGGATGGAATGTATTATTCTAGGTGGCGTGCTGAATAGTGTGGTTGTGAATACTTACAAGAGTAAAGGTGATGCTCTGAAGCTGTTAGACCAAGTTATGAAAGTTGTGAAAAAAGTGATCAAGAAATTCTCATAAAGAAGAGAAAGGACAATAATGAAATGCAGTTTAGGGTTCTACCATGCAGGGGGACCACAGAAGCAATATTTATGGCCAGACAACTACTGTAAAAGAAGACCTATCCATGTGTCTCTACCAAGCTGTCTTACATGAATGACTGACAACTTATCAAGGTCATCCAGTGATACCCCAACTCTCTTTAAGTAACGTTCTGTGGTGGGCAAATTCTGTGAACTGAAACTCTCTCGGTCTTGGCGGATAAGTTGAAGGGTGGCGGCATTGGACTGTAGGTTATTTAGCGCCCTGATGGCATCCTGGAAATTCAATTGGTTCATAGTGAAATAATATAATCAAATTCATAAGTACCTGTACAAAATTAAAAATCTCAAGTGGTTAAAATAGAAGATAAACTTAGGGTAGGCCAGAGGGTTTAATAGTTTACAGTACAGTACTAACTAAAATTTGACAAATATTCATTTATACACTGGAATCCATACAGCTTTGTCAATGTTGTAGCTGCACATGGTAACACTTTAGGAAGTAATTCAGGTTAACCAGCTACCTAATAAAATAATCTCTATAGAAGAAAACTTATTTCTTACCTCAAGAATAATTCAAATCAGATGGGGGAATTGCACTTCTCTTATGTCATTTTTTTCCCACACGATGCCATGGTTGACTAATCCTTCCCTGTGACTGACCCAACACTATTCATAAGAACCTGCCAAACATAACCTAACCTAAAATAACTTACTTCCATCAGGGTAGGTAGGTTTGGTAAGTGACAGGGAAATCTAGGGGAAAAAAAATGCAATACCTCCATCCAGTTTGGGTTACCATTGAGGTGACAAGCTTTTATCAATCGATATTTTTTGTTAAGTGGCCAATTAACCCATGACCCTATCCATGAGTGTTACTACAACTAACATTAGTTAATTTAATCATCAGGTGAAATATGATGGTAAGGGAGAGTAGCAGGGGGGGGAGGCAGGAGTCATCCATCAGGTGAAATATGATGGTAAGGGAGAGTAGCAGGGGGAAGGGGGAGTCATCACATATTCCCCCTAAAATTGCACTGGTATGGTGTGTTGATATTACCCCTCAACATAGAGAGATAAAGTTAGGTTAGATTAGGTTAAGTTAGTCTTGCTTACTTTCTTAGGTTAGGTCAGATTAGGTTTGCTTACTTTCTTAGGTTAGGTCAGATTAGGTTTGCTTACTTTCTTAGTTTAAGTCAGATTAAGTTTGGTTACTTTGTTAGGTTAGGTTAATTGTTAGGCTTCGATTATGTTAATAAGGCGGTTAAGTTAGGTCAGATTTGGTTTGGTTTGGTTACTTTGTTAGGTTAGGGGTTAAGTTAGCATAAAGTTGTTTAATCATAAATAACTACAGTACATATCATATTAGAGAACCACTGAATAAGGAATCTAAATTGGAACCACCTTACACTATTCTTTTCACAGTATTAATTAAAACACCCAAATGATTTCTTTAAAAAATCCCGACTATTATCACTGAATCATTTAAAGATCACCAGTGATATAAATCAGCCTTAGGACACACCCAGGTAACATTACAGTATCAAGCTCAACAAGACACATTATCTATATATATAAAACAAAGAAGTATGTCTGTGTGTTTGTTTGTTTGTGTGTCTGCACGAGAATCTTGGAAACTACTTTACTGATCTGTAATGATGATGGATGGTGTTATATGTAGTGATGATGATGGATGATGTTATATGTAGTGATGATGGATGATGATGTTATATGTAGTGATGATGGATGGTGTTATATGTAGTGATGATGGATGGTGTTATATGATTCCCAACATGGCTTCACAAGCGGGCGTTCATGTCCAACTAATCTATTAACATTCTTTTCATCAGTTTTCGAATCAGTGGACGAGGGGCACAATTATGATGTGGTATATCTCGACTTTAGCAAAGCCTTCACCAGAGTCCCCCACGAGAGACTAATTAGAAAGGTAGAAGCTCATGGCATCAAAGGTAACATCCTTAAATGGATTAGGGCATGGTTACGGGACAGGAAACAGCGAGTGAGCATAAACGGCACTAAATCGCATTGGAGCAATGTAACTAGTGGAGTTCCCCAAGGCTCAGTACTTGGACCATTATTATTTATTATATACATAAACGACATAGATATCGGCATAGACAGCAACATAAGTAAATTTGCAGATGACACTAAAATAGGATGTGTAATTAAATCTGACGAGGACTTTGCAAAACTACAGGAAGATCTAAACCAATTTTTCGAATGGTCGGAAAAATGGCAGATGAAATTCAATGTGGACAAATGTAAAGTACTCAGTATATGAGATGTAAACAGGGAAACCAGTTACCAGATGAACAACGATGCCATTATGGAATCCGACTGCGAGAGAGATTTAGGAGTAATGATGAGTAGGAATCTTAAGCCAAGTAAACAATGTGTTTTTGCTCGTAACAAGGCTAATAAAGTACTTGGGTTCATACAAAGGAGTGTTAGTTACAAGACTAGCGAGGTCATCTTAAAATTATATCTAGCGCTTGTGAGACCTCACCTGGATTACACAGTTCAGTTCTGGTCACCGTATTACAGAATGGTATGGAATCATTGGAAAGAATCCAGAGGAGAATGACAAGACTAATCCCGGGCATTAGGAACCTTGAATACAGAGACAGGTTAAAGCACCCCTTTCACCATATGTCAGAATGTCATTTCCCCCTCCTTTCCAAGATTGTCTGCCTCAAAAAGTGCATTCCAAATAATATGCATATAATACTGAAAAACCTTTATTTTTTCCATATTAGTACATACACATTTACAATTTTACATGGATTATTTTTATAGTGGGGTTTTACAAATTAAATGCCAATTGAAAATGTTGATGGATTTATAAAACTTGAATAAAAGTAAAAAAGTTTTTTTTATATTTATAATGAATTACTTAACAGACCAAACTGAAGCATAATGCAATAAACAAAAATTTCAATAGAATACCAGGATATTGTAAATTTGTAATTAATTTTATTCAGATGAAGATTACAGTCAATGAGAAACCTGTGAGTGTTTTTTCTTCGCCAATTCTGGGATACGGGGAGGAGTGCTTGAAAGGGCACAACGCAGGTCATTTTCTACCTCTAATCTATTACGTTACTTCGTTTTAATTTGCAACAGAGTTGAAAAGCCTGACTCACAAAGATATGTCGACACAAACGGAAGCAATGCACGGATAGCTCTTTCTGCCACTTTTGGGTAGGAATCGCACATCAAGGGCCAAAATTTTGTGATTGATTTCTCATCGAACATATCTCTTGCTCCTGAATCGGTTTCCCCCCCCCCCCCTGGTTGAGAACCACTGGGTTAAAGCATCTTAATTTGCACTCCCTCGAGAGACGCAGAGTGAGGGGCGACATGATAGAGGTGTATAAATGGAAGTCAGGGTTAAACAAAGGGGACATTACAAAAGTACTCAAACTATCCAACCAGGAGCGAACTCGTAACAATGGTTTTAAATTAGACAAATTTAGATTTCGGCGTGAAATAGGTAAACACTGGTTTGGAAACAGAGCAGTGGATGAATGGAACAAGTTACCAAATATCATCATTAACTCGAATACGCTGGATAGCTTCAAACATAGGTTGGATGCTTAAATGAGCAATAGGGGGTTGGGTATAAACGGGACTGCCCAGTATGGGTCAATAGGCCCGATGCAGTTTCCTCCATTCTTATGTTCTTATGTAGTGATGATGGATGATGTTATATGTAGTGATGATGGGTGGTGTTATGGTCACAAAAGATTGGAAAACTTACTTTAATCTGAGTTAATAGATCGCCTGCATGTACCGAGGAATTGCCCAAATGTACCCAAATGTAGTCGCAATGAAGTCAAATAATGGTCCTAGATGAATAAATCGGGCTGCCAATCACTTCTCAACTAGTATTTGGTGTCACAAAGTCACAAAAAATTGGTAAACTTAATTTAATCTGAGTTAATAGATCGAGTGCATGTACCTAACCTAACCTAACCTAACACAACTCAGATTAAATTAAGTTTACCATTTTTTTTTACTTTATGACACCAAATAATAATCGAGAAGTGATTCACAGCCCGAATTACGCTTGTACGACCATCATTCGACTTCATTGCGGCTACATTTGGGTAATTCCTCGCTCCCTCGGTACATGCACGCGATCTATTAACTCAGATTAAAGTAAGTTTTCCAATTTTTTGTGACTTTGTGACACCAAATACTAGACGAGAAGTGATTAGCAGTCTGATTTACTCATGTAGGACCATTATTTGACTTCATTGCGGCTATATTTGGGTACAATTGGGTAATTAGTCGGACCAGGAATTTAGTCTATTACATGCTAGCTTTTCCAGTATCTTACTCAAGGCTGGGAGGACTGATATGGGGCGGTAATTCTTGAAGAGACCTTTGTCCCAGATTTTGTATATGCCGGGTGGACTTTAGCAATTTTCAGTACATCAGGAAAGACACCACTAGTGAAGGAGGAGTTACAAATGTGGAGAACAGGCAGTAATAAGTGGGCCACTTTCTTTATGATGCTCATTGGTATATTGTCTTTGCCTGCTGCTGAATCTTTGGACATTTTATGATGGCCAGTAATTCATCTGCTGTGACAGGGGATAAGAATAGTTCATTTAGCTGTCTGTTTTGCAGGTAGGCTCTAAATTCCTCATGGTGATCAGGGATGCTCTCCAGATTTTTGCCAACATTAATAAAATATTCATTGAAGTGGTTGGCAATGAGGGAGGGTTCCGTTATAACTGAATCGTTTATCATAAACGCTGAGTGGGGGGCCGAAGGCCGAGTGTTCCTGTTCTGAATAGAATTTATGACATTCCAGGTTTTCTTACTGTCGCCTGATGCTGACTGGAGCTTATTTGTATAATAGTTACGTCTGGCATTTCTAACTGCTTGTGTTACTCTATTTCTGATACTTCGGTAAGCATCACCGAAAGTTATGGGTCTTTTTGCAAATTTCCTTTGGAGTTTGTGTTTTTCCTTTATCATTATCTTAATTTCGCTTGTGATATAGGGTTTGGAAATGGATACACTTTTCACTGACTTAGTCTTGACAGGGAAGCATTTATCAAAGCAAGCATTGAAGATGCAGGAGAAGTTACTGCTGTTCACGTTAGGGTTGTTAGAGGCATAGACAAGATCCCAGTTAGCATTATTAGATTGTTTTAAAAAAAGAGCATGTTGTCGGCGCAGTAGTCTCTGTATTGAATTGAGACTACTAGACCTTTCAGGTCTTGTGGCTGTTTTATACATGGCAAAAACTGGGAAGTGATCTGAGATATTGTTATAATTCCACTTGATAGGTTAAGAGTGTTGCTAGTCCAGATATGATCTATCACAGTGGCAGAGGTGGCAGTTACTCTAGTGGGTTTGGTTATAGTGTTGAAGATGAGTTTAGGTGACAGGTAGCAAAAAGGTCTAATACTGAGGTGTCGGTTTCTGATTTTAATAGATCACGGTTGAAATCTCCTGTGATGTAGCAGTCTTTCCTCTCTGAACTTGTAATAGAGATAAGCTCCGAAACTTTATCAAGAAAATTCCTTATATTAGTGTGGGGTCTTCTGTAGATTATCCCTACTAGGATATTTCGTGTGTCGTTACGGAACCTTTAGATCATCTCTTACAGAAGTGTTATACTTGATATCAACATATAGGGCGACACCACCAGTTATCTCATATTTCTTATCTTTGGAAGCTATTTTAAATCTTTCCTATCAACTTAAAATAAAGAGTACCTAGTACCTCATATTGGTGATCCACGTCTGTTTGTGTCTGTCTGCTGAGCCTCCTTAAGCCTTTGAGATCATGTACCATAGCCATGTTCAGGGTTCCTCTTATCTTGCGTAGCTGACAGTAGCTGAGTTTAGCAGTGAGTGTAGCCATAGTGGTCCACGTGGGGTCTTTATAATGTTCCCTCCACCCTAAACCCATCACCTGTGGCGGTGTGGCCTCCTACATCCAGGCTGGCAAACTTCACCATTCCCTCACTTCTCAATTTATTCCCTCTTAAAATTTAATACGTACATTATATTAACAACTATCCAACAATATTAAGTTATTATGGTATATACTGTATAAATATTGAGCAATGGTCCATAATATATGAGTTTTGGTATAGATTTTATTATTTATTATATATTTTACAGTTGGTACTCGGTGTTTCGAGTTGTAAGCGATGATTTATATATTTATTTGTTTATTTATAGGTACTGCTCATCAAATTACTAGTTTTTGGTGTATTGTCAGTTATTTGCTACTTTATTATCATCTTTTTATATTTATTCTCTAAAATCGTAACACACGTTCACATATAATCAATGACAAAAGTCGTGTCTCGGTTTTGTCCCAAGATTAAATATAACTCATGAAACATTATGAGAGCCCCCTACCACAAGGCACCCTCCTTACATCCTTGTGTAAGGTGAAGCGCAGAATCGTTTACAGCGCCCTACAGGGAAGCATGCTTTTTTTTAGTTTAACAAATTTATTGGCAAAGCTTGTAGTACAGTTTGCCTATTCTGAGTAATTCAGTCAGGTCTTGACACTGAGGGTGGTATCACTTCTCACTGCCACGCAGGACAGAGGTTCATACACAAAGAAATATATCATATTCATTAACAGCTATATATGTATAGAGGTCAGATTCATGTGGGTAATGTCACTGTTCACTGCCATGCAGGACAGAGGTTCGTACACCATGAGATGCATCATATTCATTGACAGTATATATATATATACATACATACACATATATATGCAAGTAAATCACTGTAGGTGCGCGTGATCCAGGTATATGCTGATAACCACAAGGAAAAAGAAAACACGAAGTTCTCAAGCGCTTTCGTGTAATTCACATCTTCAGGGGCGAGTACAGACTAAGGAGAAATACAAAACAAGGCAAATATATATACAGTAGAGGAAGGTGAGATCAAGTCCACAATAGTCAGGTTATTAGGTAGTGACACTGTAGTGGATTTCTCCCCTACAAACGCTGTTTGTCGCTGAGTAGCCGACCCCAGTGTATGCCTCGTGGTCTGGGTCAACCAGCGCCGCCATACATCACAGAGCGGGGGTCAACTGCTAAGCCGCGCCTACTCCCCCCCCCCCGCTATTTAAGACCTGACCTCGTGGTGACCTGGCTCTTTCTACCTACACCAACCAGCCAGCAACACCTCCTCCTCCTCCACCTGCTTGGCGGACCTCGCTCCCGCCGGAGAGCATGGCGACCCACAAGCTGGTCCTCCTCTGAGCACCCTCACCCACCAGCTCTCTCTACATCACGCTTGTAACCATGCTGCCTTCCCAGCACCAAGCTGCATTGTACATCCAATACAACATGTATATAGAGAGCACATTGTGAGTTTCCTTTCTCCATCCCATCCTGAGTGTGAATCCAAACATCCCATACCCCACAACACTACTAATCTTCAAAAAGCACCGCAGCAGTCGGTAGTCAGGTCAGAGGGTAAGATGACCCAACCTTCTCACCTGGTTTACAATCTTCTTAATTACGAAATTAACCAGTTTGTACATACCATTACTCAAATTCATGTTGACGGATTCGGTATGTTCCTACTGTCAATTGAATTACAAGGTAATGAGGAGGCATTATCCCAGTCATCTTATTATCCTTCAACTGAACAAACAGAGCATTGGGTTCCTGGCCTGTCCTAACACTATATTTATGTTGTTTAAGTCTAGTTACAAGATCTTTTACCTCTGGCCTAAGTAAAACACACAGTCATATATATATGATCACGAAGCACCTACAATTTACTTGCATATATATATATATATATATATATATATATATATATATATATATATATATATATATATATATATATATATATATATATATATATATATATATATATATATATATATATATATATATATATATACATATATATATAGGTCATATTCATGTGGGTAATGTCACTGTTCACTGCCATGCAGGACAGAGGTTCGTACACAAAGAAACACATCATATTCATTAGCAGTACATATAGGTCAGTGGTTCGCATACATTGGAGTCATATTCTAATTGAAGACTAATCAGTGTGGGCTAGCAAATTTGGGATAAACAGCAAGAATGTCCATGCTTGCCTTTATGTCTCATGAGTTAAGAGCGTAGAAGCCAGAAGAGTCAAGAGGGTAGAAGCCTGAAGAGTCAATGGTTTATGTCATCAAGTTATTGGAAGCTCCAACAACTCCCTGAATATGAATTCGCAACTTTCAACAGGTGAGCAGGGACTAATGAGGGCTAGGAAGTATGTCCAAACAACTTCCACCGGCCCGGGAATCGAAACCGTGACAAGTTGCTTGCGAGGCAAGAGCGGTACCGCTTCTACCACCGCCCCCCCCCCCTCCTTTGGCATATGTTTTCACCAAATTTCACGACACTTTTGTCTTTCATTGTACACACAGGTCCATAAGAGTCCCGGCCCTGACATGATGCATCCCAGAGTGCTAAAGGAGTTGTGCAACGAGCTTGCCAAGCCCCTGAAGATCCTGTTCGGTAAATGCCTGTATGAACAAAAGGTCCCGAGTGATTGGAAAATGGCTTAGGTGAGTCCTATCTTTAAGAAGGGCGATCGTCACTCCACGAACAACTATAGACCGGTGAGCCTGACCAGTATAATATATTTGTAAAGTACTTTTTTTTATGGGGATTAGCCCACCCGGGCACAGGTCACTAACCCACATCAGGGCCCGGGGGGCGAAAATGTAATAATAATATTAATAATTCATATTAAATAAAATTTATAATACAAATACAAAATTAAAAATAAAATATAATAATTCATAGTAAATAAAAATTATAATACAAAATACAAAATTAAAAATAAAATAATAATGATAACAATAATAATAGTAACACTAATAATAATAATAATAATAATAATAATAATAATAATAATAATAATAATAATAATAATAATGATAAAGAACCATAAAGAAATGCAAAAATTAAAAAAATCAATCGTGAGAAACAATATATGTACGTTGTGTTGTCAAAGTAAGAAAGAATCGAGACCCTGCAATTGTGTGTAAATGAGGCAGAAAGTCAGATGAGCAGCCTGGGACTTGTCACAATTTTCGTGATGCCACACAGCAGCAGGGTCCACCATTCGACAACACATTATGCTTCCAATATATTCTCAGAGATGCCGCAATGAAGCATATACTGCAAAACAACCTTGTAAAGGATTGCCAACACGGTTTTATGCCGGGGCGCCCCTGCTTAACACAATTGCTCAAGGTATTGGATATTTGAACCCATATTCTGGAACGGGGTGGTAATGTCGACAATATACTGTATACCTAGATTTTGCCAAGGCTTTCGACAGTGTACCCCATGAAAGGCTGAAAATCAAACTGGAAGGGTACGGAATTCGGGGAAATGTCCTCGCGTGGATGGAAGACTTTCTACATGACCGCAAGCAGTGTGTGGTGATTAATGGCACGAAATCATCATCTGTATCTGTCACAAACGGTGTACCACAGGGCAGTGTATTGGACCCGCTGTTGTTTGTTTGTTTCATAAATGACATGCCTGACGTTATATACTCCTCCATACTAATGCTTGCGGATGACGCCAAGTTATTTCAGAAAATCAAGAACCAAGCGGACTGTGAAGAGCTGCAGAAGGATCTCTGTGAGCTCCAAGAATGGTCGAAGAAATGGCTGCTGATATTCAATATCACGAAGTGTAAGAGGATGCACCTGGGGCGTACCAACGGTAAGGAGTATCATATGTCCCAACGGGATGAAGAAACTGCACTATTTGAGACTGAATTTGAGGACCAAGGTGTGTATGTTGACAATGAGCTGAAGTAATGAGAAGAAGGTAAATCGGGCAAATAAATTAATAGGTTTTATAAGAAGGTCGTTCAGATATCTAGACGGTCCGTCCCTCGTAACGATCTTCAAGAGTGAAGTGCTTCCCCATCTGGAGTACTGTCACCCCGTCTGGTCCCTGAGATATGCTAGGGACTGTCAGTTGGTTGAAAATGTTCAAAGGAGGGCCACCAGACTGATGCCTGCGCTTCGGCACCTTAACTACCCCGAGAGATTGGTGTACTGTATAGGCATCTCAAGGGGCACTACTCAGTCGAGTGTCCTTACTTGGAGCTGGCGGACGCTCGCCCCACAAGGGGTCACAGCTCAAGATTGACGAAGCCGCAGGTCCAGAAAACTGTGAGAGCAAACTTTTTCGGAAAGAGAGTTGTGAACTCTTGGAACAATCTGCCAGAAAGTGTTGTGACGGCACCGAGTGAAGGCTATTGCAAGACCAGATTTGACCAATACTGGAGCAGGTTCAGGTACATTCAGGAGCCGGTGCATGCCCAGTACTTGCCAACAAACGTAACAGAGACGTGACCGATCGCCCAAGCGGCTAACGTGTTGATCAGTGAAGAGGATAAAAAATGAAAAAAAAAGTGTTCAAACACTACAGGTATATAATAATAGATAATTAAATTTCCATATTTGTTTTGTACATTTACTACAACTGTATACCTGTAATGTGTGTGTGAACTGTATACCTGGATTATGTATATGCATGCTGAATTATGTACTTGCACTATCTACATGGTCAATCAATGTAAACTTGTATAATGATTTTGCTGAATAAAGAAAAAACTTTAGCTGTCAAAATTTGATGATATTAATACTTACTGCTGTGTTGTATTTGTTAATAATTTACTTAACTGCTGAATAACTATTTACAGTCACGGACAAAATAATTTACAAAGATCACGTACTGTACCCCCTTCTCCTGATGTAAATATGTGTAACCAGATGTTGGTTTAAATTTATTGGAGTGACGCAATGGTGCTTGTGAGGTATTCAATTGGTGAGGTCAAGATAAAAGCAAAGTTTATGCCCGACTCGTGACGAATTATGGCGCCGAGTGCAAGACAGAACCCCAAGGATTCACAACACCCTTCAGAACATGTACGGCATTCACTTTTACGACGGACTACAGCTTGCATTCCGGAAGAGGGCCTGAACTTTGAACATATCAGATTGCATATGATTGTAAATAAGTTGTACTAGTAACACTGGATATTTCATTTATACTCCTTAGATTTTATCGCAGTCCAACCCCAACTGTCATGTTTTGTAACTATGGAGTCATTATAACCTTGTGTATGTCTCAGGGATACACCCCCCAAGAATTATGAAACGTATAAGTATAGTGAAATAAGCTGGGGATGTCTAATATTCTGGTGAAATAAGCTGGGGATGTCTAATATTCTGGTGAAATAAGCTGGGGATGTCTAATATTCTGGTGAAATAAGCTGGGGATGTCTAATATTCTGGTGAAATAAGCTGGGGATGCTGTAGTTAGAATTGAGTACCCAGAACATGTACAGGGGTGTCTCATCTTTTAGTGAAATAAGCTAGGGAGTCTAATATTCCTAAGATAATATTCAATTTAAATCATCTTACTCATAACCCACTCATCTCTCTTCCTGATTTACCCGTGAGCCACTCATCTCTCTTCCTGATTTACTCGTGAGCCACTCATCTCTCTTCCTGACTTACCCATGAGCCACTCATCTCTCTTCCTGATTTACTCGTGAGCCACTCATCTCTCTTCTTGATTTACCCGTGAGCCTCTCATCTCTCTTCCTGATTTACTCGTGAGCCACTCATCTCTCTTCTTACTTGACTCCTCTCTCTTCTTGATTTCGTGACTCATCTCTCTTCCTGATTTACTCGTGAGCCACTCATCTCTCTTCTGACTTACCCGTGAGCCACTCATCTCTCTTCCCAGACTTACCCGTGAGCCTCTCATCTCTCTTCCTGATTTACTCGTGAGCCACTCATCTCTCTTCTAACTCTCATGGAGCCACTCATCTCTCTTCCTGACTTACTCGTGAGCCATCTCAGACTTACTCGTTCATCTCTCTTCCTGATTTACTCGTGAGCCACTCATCTCTTCCTGATTTGCTCGTGAGCCACTCATCTCTCTTCCTGATTTACTCGTGAGGACTTACTGTGAGCCACTCATCTCTCTTCCTGATTTACTCGTGAGCCCTCATCTCTCTTCCTGACTTCTCATCTCTTCCTGACCCCGTGAGCCATCTCTCTTCCTGATTTACCACTCATCTCTCTTCCTGATGTGAGCCACTCATCTCTCTTCTTTACCCGTGAGCCACTCATCTCTCTCCCGTGAGCCACTCATCTCTCTTCCTGATTTACTCGTGACCACTCATCTCTTCCTGACTTACTCGTGAGCCACTCCTCTCTCTTCCTGACTTACTCGTGAGCCACTCATCTCTTCCTGACTTACCTTGTCTGTCCTCTCTCTCTCTGACTTACCGTGAGTTACCCACTCATCTCTCTTCCTGATGAGCCACTCATCTCTCTTCCTGATTTACTTGTGAGCCACTCATCTCTCTTCCTGACTTACTCGTGAGCCACTCATCTCTCTTCCTGATTTACTCGTGAGCCACTCATCTCTCTTCCTGACTTATCCACTGAGCCCTCATCTCTCTTCCTGACTTACCCGTGAGCCACTCATCTCTTCCTGATTTATGACTCATCTCTCTCCTGACTCGTGAGCCACTCATCTCTCTTCCTGACTTACACCACTCATCTCTCTTCCTGACTTACCCGAGCCATCTCAGCCACTCATCTCTCTTCCTGACTTACTCGTGAGCCACTCATCTCTCTTCCTGACTTACTCGTGAGCCACTCATCTCTCTCCTGACTTACCCGTGAGCCACTCATCTCTCTTCTCTTCTCTGACTGTGAGCCGGTCATCTCTCTTCCTGACTTGCCGCCACTCATCTCTCTTCTCCCTGTGAGCCCTCATCTCTTCCTGACTTACCGTGAGCCACTCATCTCTCTTCCTGACTTACTCGTGAGCCACTCCTCCTCTCTTCCTGATTTACTCGTGAGCCACTCATCTCTCTTCCTGACTTACCCGTGAGCCACTCATCTCTCTTCCTGACTTACCCGTGAGCCACTCATCTCTCTTCCTGATTTACTCGTGAGCCACTCATCTCTCTTCCTGACTTACCCGTGAGCCACTCATCTCTCTTCCTGACTTACTCGTGAGCCACTCATCTCTCTTCCTGACTTACCCGTGAGCCACTCATCTCTCTTCCTGATTTACTCGTGAGCCACTCATCTCTCTTCCTGACTTACCCGTGAGCCACTCATCTCTCTTCCTAACTTACTCATGAGCCACTCATCTCTCTTCCTGACTTACTCATGTGCCACTCATCTCTCTTCCTGACTTACTCGTGAGCCACTCATCTCTCACGGTGGTATAACAGGCACTAGTTATCATCACATTGTTCAGTTCCCGTCCAGACTTCGTAGTGTGTGTACGCGTCGCTTCCTCGCTAGCTGGTGAGTGTTAATTTCATTTCATTTCCCTTACCATTTAATTAATATATTCCAGTATTGTGTCATTTACTAAAAAAATATCTTTATGGATTTTATATGAACGGTAAATTGTCTTTGATATTTGTGTATTATAGTTTGTTCATGACGTTGCTGTTTTTTTTTTTATTAGTCGGGAGGGACCAATTTCCATACGCCACGTCCTCATCATCCCAATATGCTCTACAGAATGCCCCCAATTATCACCCAAAGTATTCATACGCCCCGAAAAAGTACCTGTACAATTTTATGTTCGACAATATGACACAACGAACGAGGAATTTTGACAACCCTACCGAGACAACAGGCGTCATATTAGTGTTTACAGTGAAATTTATCGGATCCCTCAGCAAAGATTAATTTTTTGGTTGTGTGTTTACATGTTCTAATACTCGGAACGAACCTGGGTGGTGAAGCCTTTATAAAGCGACTCAAATTCCAGTTACTGTGTGTGTGTGTGTGTGTGTGTGTGTGTGTGTGTGTGTGTGTGTGTGTGTCCGTGGGGTGGAGTAGAGAGGGTAGAAAGAATAGTAGGAAAGATGAGAGAAAAGTAAAATGGAAAATGATGCAAAGTTTGATAATATACTATAGTGATATGGGATGCAAATAAGAGATGTTGTCTTAATGGATCATAATAATGGGGAAGAATTTGGAGGTGTCGTATTAATTTTGGGAGTCATGTTTAATAGTAATATATGGTTAAGTTAGGTTAGGTTACAGACACGTGGAAATGAAGGTGGGTGGGACAAAATTTACCTGTGGTGTACTTAAGTGGTGAGGTGTGGTGTTGTTGGTTCGTAATGGTGAGATGATGATGGTGTGGTGGTGGTGATGATAGTAATAATGGTGGTGGTGATGATAGTAATAATGGTAATGGTGGTGGTGGTGGTTATGGAGGTGTGGTGGTGGTGGTTATGGTGGTGTGGTGGTGGTTATGGTGGTGGTGATGATAGTGTGATATTGATAATGGTGGTGGTGGTGGTGGTTAATTAACACACAATAACATGTGTTTGTGTCATCATGGAAGTGCTAGATAATATCAGTTTTAATATAATCTCCTCATCTCTATACTTTCGTGTTTTTAGGTCATATTAAGCATTATTTATACGCGGATATTCAGGACTTGGGCCTTCTCTCGTGGTGTTGTGTGTGTGTGTGTGTGTGTGTTGTGTGTGTGTGTGTGTGTGTGTGTGTGTGTGTGTGTGTGTGTGTGTGTGTGTGTTGTTCGTGTGTGTGTGTGTGTGTGTGTGTGTGTGTGTTGTGCGTGTGTGTGTGTGTGTGTGTGTGTGTGTACCTCAACCTCACTATTGTCATATTAACTCCTTTAGCGCTACTGGACTGGCACGTCCGTGGTCTAACGCTTATGAGTGTGGTTGTTAATGAGGTGTTGGGAGAATTTTGGTGGAACATTGGATTGTTGGGTGCGGTGATTTAATGAAATTGATTTGCTGGGGTTATTGGGGTGGTTGTTGGGTTGATGGGGTGGTTGTTGGGGTTATTAAATTGGTTGTTGGGGATTGTGGGGTGGTTGTTGGGTTATTAAGGTGTGGTTGTTGGGGGTTATTAAATTGGTTGTTGGGGTTATTAAGAATTGGTTGTTGAGGTTGTGAAATTGGTTGTTGGGTTATTAAATTTGGTTGGGTGTCAGGGGTGGTTGTTGGAGTTATTAGAATTGGTTGTTGGGGTGTGGGGTGGTTGTTGGAGTTGTAGAATTGGTTGTTGGGTTGTGGGGAATTGGTTGGTGGAGTTGTGGGAATTGGTTGTTGAGGTTGTGGGGAATTGGTTGTTGGTTGTGCGGTGGTTGATGGGGTTGTGGGGTGGTTGTTGGGTTGTGGGGTGGTTGTTGGAGTTGCTGATTGGATTGGTGAGTTCAGGTGGTTAGCGGTGGAGTTGTAGAATTGGTTGTTGGGGTTGTGTGGTGGTTGTTGGGGTTGTGGGAATTGGTTGTTGGGTTAATGGGGTGGTTTTAAGTTTGTGGGTGGTTTGGGTTGTGGGGTGGTTGCTGGGGTTGTGGGAATGGTTGCTGGGGTTGTGGGGTGGTTGCTGGGGTTGTGGGGTGGTTGCTGGGGTTGTGGGGTGGTTGCTGGGGTTGTAGGATGACTCTTGGGGTTGTTGTGAGGTGGTTGTTGGTTGGGGCGGGATTGTTAATAGGGGTGATTGTTGGTTATTGAGGTGGTTGATTGTTGGTTTCTGGGGTTGTGGTTGTTGGTTGCTTGGGTTGTGGTTGCTTGGTTGCTTATAAACGTTTATATAATCAAAACTACAATTCCTTATTTCCAGGTCAGGATGAAGGACAATGAGCGGGGTAGAGCAGCGGCGTCACCATGACAGGAAGGTGGTGGACGTGGCTAGTGGCAGCCATCCTCACCCTCCCGCGGCCCGCCCCTGCCTACAAACCCCTTTCCACGCCCTTCTCCCTGCCACCGAGGACACATACGCCTTTCCCCAAATCCACAACGACACCCACGCCTTCTTTCTCAACCCCAGAAGCGTCATTTACATCCTACCGGGACGATGACGTCAATTATAGAGAGTATGAATTTGATACAAGCAGTGAGGCTACCGCAGGAGGGGACGCGGGGGCCTCAGTAGGTTCAACATTTCACCCCAAGGAAATTGACGGCCAGGAGGTGTTGGTGTATAGAGGTACTGGGAGAAACGACCCTGGGATGAATTTTTCCTGGGATAGCTTCAGAACAACGAAGGTCAATATCATAAGGGTTCCCAATGCTGCTGAAGATATCAAGCTCAGTGTGACGCAAGTTGATCTCAAACCAGAAGAGGAGGAAGACGAGAATGACTTAGAATTTACTGATAAACTGAAGGATTATCATGGAGAGGATCATCAGGAGTTTGAGAACAAAACTCAGGAGAATACTACGAGTGCCCATAACATCATCTCCGGGGCCCCGACAACACCGGATGTAAGCCAAACGATTCATCTACTTACCGAAGGACCCGTCACGGACTCTTCACAAGTGTCTGATCCTTCCTCTAGTAGCAGCTTAGTGACCACCTCCCATGCAGCCACGAGTACAGGAAGCCAAACTGTGTGGTCACCGGAGAGCACAACGCCAGAGCTGCCGAAACCAAGGATCCCTTTGTGTCACCCACAGAGTCGCAATAAAACCTCGGTCCTCACACACCCCCGACAGTCTTCTGCTGCCTACCTTCCCCTCGCTACTGGCAGGTGCAGTGAACCACAGCTACAAGCAGTCGTTTATGGTATTACTGTAAATATAACGTGTGAATCCGAGAGCATCATGAAACTTACATTTACCAACAACAGGAAAATAGTGTATACAGGAAATCAGTTGTATTTTTCGTGGGATCATGTGACAGTAAAAAATTTCTGTGTTGAAAGTAGTTCTGGGAATAGTAGTGATCTTTGGGCTGTGTTTTGCTACACCCGCCCGTCAGTGACAGTGACTGAGCGTTGCACTGGAGCGGCGTGTTTCAAAAAGTGCTGTCCAGAGGGTCATGTTCTTTATAATGGTTTATGTGTTTGTCACGAGGCGTCATCACCGATCTCCGAGACTATTCACGAACTTTTGGGAGAAAATAACCAATCATCAAGGGACGAAAATACACAAAGACAGGTACAGTTTGGTCTCCCACACTGTCCCAACCCTGAGGTCATCACAGCACACAACGTCTCCGTCTCCACAAGTGACGTCAGATTTCTTGCGAACAATTCTTTGATCATGATGGATCCCAACCCTGACCTTGACTACTGCGTCGACGAGTACCTGGAGGAGGAGGACGAGGAGGAGAGAGGAAGGAGCCAATTTACAAGGACCTTAGTTATGGTGTGCGAGAGTCAACCACCTCAGCAGCAGTCGACGTGGACGGTAAGAAAGACACCTTTGTACTGTACGAGAGAGAGAGAGAGAGAGAGAGAGAGAGAGAGAGAGAGAGAGAGAGAGAGAGAGAGAGAGAGAGAGAATTAAAAATGAACTTTGGATAATAGAGAAAGACGTATGTTAGTACAATAGTTGTCTGGGCAGAAGAGTAAAATATTAACCACATTGTAATGTATGAGTTTTACTGCATGCTTAAAGGAACCTACCAGATTGTTTTGATGTCTCTTGAATTCTTCCTCTCACTGTCTTCCTTGTCTTTCCCCTATTCTTATTCTTTCTCTCTTCTGTCGCTGTTCCCTCACTCATTTGCTGCTTTTTCTCACTCTTCCATTTTCATTTCTCTTCCGTCCTTCCTCTCCTTTCTCACCCTTCTTCTCCTCTCTCATCCTTCCTCTCCTCTGCCACCCCTTCATTCCTCTCCCCCTCTCCCACAGTCCTCTCCAGCCCACTCAATATGGTACATTGAAACCTCTATTTAACGGACTACAGGTGAGGGGTAATAGTCCGTTAAATCGAAGTCCGTTATATGGGGTGGTTTTAATTACTGTATCTGGGTCATTGAAACCTCTATTTAACGGACTACAGGTGAGAGGTAATAGTCCGTTAAATCGAAGTCCGTTATATGGGGTGGTTTTAATTACTGTATCTGGGTCCTTCTCTCCTTCAGGTGGTACGCGGGGTCCTGATACCTGCCGGGTTGGTGGTGTCGTGTGTGTTCCTAGCGGCGACGTTGTTGTGTCATCTGTGTGTGGCGCCCCTGAGAGACCTACACGGCCTCTGTCTCGCTGCCTACGTCGCCGCTCTCCTGGTGGCCGATGCGACGCTCTTCCTGACGCAGGCCTTCTCTCAGTACCTGCCTCCCTCCGCCTGCGTTTCCGTCGGTGAGGAAGAGGAAGGAAGGGGGATGGGCGTAGTGTGCTTGTGTGCATGTGGATATAGGTGGGTGGGATGGAGTGTGTGGTTGGAGGAGTAGTGCATGAAAATTGAAGTGGTTTAACGGTTAAAGGACGTGGATAGCTAGTGGATGAGGGTTGAAGTGGATAGTTAGTGGATGAGGATGGTGAAGTTCGTGCCACTCAACATTCGCCCCCCTCCCCACCCTTCCCTTTCCCTCACACTCCCTCCATCTCTCTGTAATCATCTCACAATACCTCTCACCATCTCTCTCTCCACAGCTGTTATCCTACACGTGGCCTTCCTCTCCACCTTCTTTTGGCTCAACGTCATCTGCTACGACGTCTGGAAGTATGTGGGGTGAGTCTTTAAATCCAGCTTGGGTCCCTGTGTTGATGTTCTTGGTGGAAATAACTAACTTTAATACTTGTTGTGATGTAAATAAAAACATTAGGATATTATGTAGATTAGGAACGCATGCGTATTTCACCTAAGAATTAAAACACCTTTAAGCTAAGCTAAGCTAAGCTACCCTAACATAACCTAACCTATGATCATTTCACCTGCGGATAAAAAGACTTAATCCCAACCTAATCTAACTTAACCTAATTTAACATATCCCATGCATATTTCACCTGAAGATTACAACACGAGGCTGGTTTAGGTGAGGTTAGGCTAACCTTACCTAAACCAGCCTAACCTAACCTCCATTAAAGGGACTACAGATGGTAAAGGTAGTTCGTTAAAAGGAGTCTCACTGTTTCCAATACAACACCCCCGTCATAGGTCCAAACACATTAAAACACACTATTAATCGAAACCAACACTACAACCCGTCACAAAACCAATAAAACATTAAATCGACCTAACTCAAGTATCTCTGCCCCCCCCACTAGGCTGACGATGCAGGCGGTGCCCTTATATCGTTCCCCTGACGACTTCCGACGCTTCTTCGCCTACGCCGTCTATGCCTGGGGGTCGCCGCTGGTCATTGGAGGCGTGGCTGTCGTGATTCACTCCCTCCCGCAGCACATTGACTGGCTTCTCAAACCTGACTTTGTTCATAACAGGTGTTGGTTCAGAGGTAAGGCTCAAAAGTTCGGATTTCTCAAATTTCGGGTTCAGAAGTCCGATTCAGAGTCCAGATTTTTCAAATAGCTGGCTCAAAGGTCCAGATTTTTCAGACAGCTGGCTCGGAGGTAAATTCAGAGGCCCGGATTTCTCAAACACAAAACAGGTAGTAGTACTGTAGGTAGTGGGCAGCTATCAAGCAGGGAGGTACTTCTGCCAGGGAAGATGTTGGAAGCATAATGTGTTGTCTAATGGTAGACCCTGCTGCCATATGGCATCACGAAAATTGTGACCAAGTCCCAGGTTCCTCATCTGACTGACTCTCTGCCCCATTTACACACAATTGCAGGGTCTCAATTGTTTCTTTTACTTTGACAATACAATATTGTCAGTCGCTCTTGATCTGGGTTTTTCGCCTCCCAGGCCCCGATGTGGGTCAGTGACCTGTGCCCGGGTGGGCTAATCCCCGTTGAAAAAAAATAAACACAATCACTGAATGTGAAACGATATACTGACAATCACTTGTTTACAAAGTTAGTCAAACCATTTTGATACCTCCCCACACACCCAGATAGGGAACTATGAACCAATGAAGCTAACCTGCACCAAAACAAAACACATGAACCCATTGACAAGTGTAAATAATATCAAATGAGCGTCTATAGTATTTTTTGTATAGGTAAGACTATTGTTCGATAATACTGTTTACATTGTTTACATTTTAATCTTCTGTGTATGATTATAATTACAGTGAAGAAGATAGTGATAATTGGAGATAGGAGATAATAGTGATAATAATTGGTGGTAGAATATAATAGTGATGGTAATAGGCATTAAATTCTATCCGTTGCTTCATGGCTCTTGATAAAAAAAAATTACCTACCGGGCTACCACGATGTTCATATGTTTTTTTTATCATCATCATCTGTACGTTCAAGTTTATAAATATATCATATAACATTTAATTCCAACAGTTTAAAGCTTCAATATTTTACTTGTTTTCAGTCTTTATGTTTAATTGTCCACGAGGCTACACATGTTACAATTCAATTCATTCCTTTTACTTAACACCGCCATGCATACACTAGGGGCTACTAGGCTATAGGTTACAATACTACGTCACTTCCTGCCCACCACCACCACCACTTCCTAACACCATTACCCAACAACTTCCCCTAGGGTCTGTTATTACAACCTACTGTAATGTACCTGTCGTGATGCAACACACCTCTGACACAACGACCAAAAAAAAAAACCCCCCACATGAATATTAGAGTTTTGTTAGATATATGTAGGGTGTTAAGTAACCTGTAAATGTTGAGATCTAATTTACAGGGTGTTAGGAAGTCTGCAGATTCATTTACAGTCTTAGGATGTCTGTAAATAGAGAGTTGGTCCATTTACAGCGTCAGGGAAGAAGATTCATTTACAGACTATCGGGAAAACTGTAAACAACGTGAAGATCTATTTACCTTAGCAACATATACACCGAAACACATAACTTATTTACATCTATACTGACGTCATCAACTCTCCGGCAGAAGGGAAAGAGATCCTGGCTTACTTCTACGGTCCCATGGGTATCCTGTGCCTGGCCAACACCCTCTTCATCTCCCACACGTGTCTCCTCCTCTACTGCGCCGACAGGAAATGTGACTGTATCTTCGGGAGGTGCAGGAGTCCTGATCACACACTCTACCGTACACATATGGCTGAGTGAGTCTCCTCCTTCCATCCACCACACCTCATTATTCACCCGTCAGCTTCGTACCCCCCTAACTTAACCTAACCTAACCTAACTTAGCCTAACCTATCACTAACCTAACTTAAACTAACCTATCACTAACCTAACTTAACCTAACCTATCACTAACCTAACCTGGTATCAGACTGATTGTTTTCCTGCACCAGAGAGAGAGAGAGAGAGAGAGAGAGAGAGAGAGAGAGAGAGAGATTTTATTTGTACACCATCAGCATTAAACTACATAAATGTTCAACAAATCATTAACATCATCATGCCACGGTAAAGCAATAACTACCTTCACCTTTAATTGAGACATGTTTGTGACAGGTTCTGGCAGCGGTTCACCTTGTTCGCCTTGATGGTTGTGTGTTGGGTGATGGAGGTTGTGTCGTGGATGGTCGGCCCCGCGGACTCCGAACTCTGGTAAGTATTGAACTCTCGATTCTGAGAAGTCACAGAAAAAAATTCACAACAAAATAACTAAAAAAAAAAAAGTTACAGAAAAATCAGTAAAAAAAAGTCACAGAAATATATTAAAAAAATAATCACAGAAAAAAACTTTACCTAACAGCCAAAAATGTGACCTTTTGTCGGATATTTTTTCCGGTCACCTAACCCTCCCCCTCCTAAAGGCTGACTCGAGGACCCCCCCCCCCTAGTATCATCACACTCGACACACCTCCATAAACGATAAATCAAGCACAAGTTTTGATTACTTTTCCTGACGTTGTGATACGGAGTCTGTTCCTTGAGAAAATAATTTGCGAAATTTATGTGGAAAGCTTATTGTTATTATGCTTCATTGTTAAGTGTATCAATTAACTTTATATTTACTGTATATTTATCTACATGGTCTTAGTCAGATATTCGTGCCTCCATTTTGCAGGGCGCTGACAGACACCCTCAACACCTTCCAAGGAGTGTTTATATTCATGACGTTTCTGAGGAGCAACAAGAAGCGTCGGCTGGTGCAGGAGACACTGGCGCGTTGGTCTGGTTCCATTGGTCGCCGCACACCACCACGCCTCTCATCCAGCGTCACTCCCAGCCGTGTGTTACATCGGCTGAGGAACTCCACTTTCTTGGCGCCCTTCGTCAGGTGGTGTTCTAGGTTATCGAGTAGAACATCACATCTGACAAGCAAACAAGTCCTCGACAACATCATCTTCAAGGGTAAAATGCAGACTTCTCAGGGTTTTAATAAAGAGATTGACGAGGACGATTCGACTGACATGGAGAGTGACGCCAGGCGAAGTGTGTGTGGCGAAGAACACATCAACAAGAGCTTCAGTCCCATCTGGACGCTGCCACACTGGAAGTCTCCCTGGTCTAATACTTACTTCCCCAACGTCCTTAGCACCGTCGACCACAGCAGGAGCAATGTACAGAGGGAGGAACTCGTGTGTGAGAACTTCACAGACTCAGTGAGCGTGTACTCCACCAACGAGCAGGAGTTGGGTATTCCCAACACGGCCTTAGATCAGGTCCCCACCTTCGCCAACTGGAGCCTCCTGCGACACAAGACAGGTTCCTTGACTCTGGCTGCTGGTGATGAACCTCAGACAGCTGGCAACGAGGTGGTATGTCACGGCCTCACAAGGAAAGAATCCTTCAGGAAGAAATAGTCTAGAGTTTGTATGTCCATTCCTTCCAAGATGAGGATAAATTGATCACGTTCCATTTCGTTGAAGACTGGTGCACCTTTTTATTTTTCACTTCACTGTGTCTTGGGTAGAGTTGAAAGATACATATTACACTCTCTTAAATTTCCATTACCACAAGGTGATCAACTGTAGGTATGATGGGTGATGGCAGCCTCCAGTCTTAAGAGCTGCTTCTTTAACTTATAAACCAACAACACAGACTTATTTTCATTTACTAACAACAACAACACACTGTATACGAGAAGCAACAGGCCAACAGCACAGTAGTTTAGAACTTTAGATGTATGAAATAGTACCTTTATGTTGTACTGTACCACAGCCTAGTGCATAGTAGTCACCCCGGAGCCTCCATGACACGGTATAGTACACTATGTAGCCTTGTGTTACAGTACAGTTCTATGCGATATTACTGTGTGTCCACTTCAGGATTTCTTTGTCATGTTCGTCTTCAATCAATTTATCAAAATATTTTATGTATTAAGAACTGTATTAATTTTGTATGTAGGAATACATTATTGGATTTATACAACACTCACTGTATCTACTGTATTGAATTTCCCTGTTGTCATAGTTCTGTAGTAGTGTTGTGTCAAGGTTGTTAGGTTCTTGGCAACACTGTATTGAGTTTCCTGTGACGTCACGTGACTTACAGTATCAAGTGTCGCTCATTTTGGAGATGAAGACTAGTTAGTGAGGTTATTGTTCATTAGTACTTAATTAAATCCTTGAATAATGATAATATGCTGTGTTGTTATCGACTGATCAAACACTTGTGGAAAATATTTTATCATTCGGTTCTTCAATCGATCTTATAAACATGTGTTACTAATGAGACTAAAACTATCTTACCTCCTCTCTACGTCTAAGCTATCACGAATCTCTAATACTTTAAAAAGTCTTCCTAGAGCATTTCAAAACAAAAAAACTAATCCTGAAATTTAAATGTTGTGAAATACTACGAAATGGAAAAAACAATGGTCCTTATTTCTTTTAGTCTATCTCCAATATGACGCCCGAATATGACTACCCGGATGCCGTGACGTAATCTAAAATAGCAATCTTGATCGTATATATAATTCTAAATACATAAAACAACTACAAAAGTACAGTATGTTTGCTTCACTTTAAGTTTGTTTTACTTTCCTTTGTGAACAGGGGTAAGTCTAACCCCAAACTAGGCATATTTTATAAGCTTTTACATCAGTATCATGTAAATTTGATAAAAGTGATTTGTGATAAGTCCATCAATATCACTAATGTCGGCCAGAAACAAATCGCCCCTTAATTATAGCAGAATTTTAAGATACACCATTCAGAAAGTATTTGCAGGGCGATTTTTCTATTTTTCTTTATAACTATATGATTTGTTCCAATATTCTGCGTTTCTTTTTTATAGACATCAATTTGTTCACCATTTCTTCACATTATTATGCCGAGGCACAATTTCGTTATATAATCTTGTAAACTAGGTGTTTTAATTGTTTTCTGTCCCATGCAGCAGTTATTTTAGCAAATTTTGTTAAATTTTCGTGTATATAGTGATGTATTAATTATGTAAGAATATTCTAGAATGTATTGCATCATTTTTGTTCCAATTTACCTCTTATTGTAAGCATAGATCATTCTAGAATTCTCCAGGCGGATCTCAAGACGACCTCCAGCGTCTGGACATCGCTAGAGTGTTCTAGGTGTCTGATGAACCGTATATTAGCTGGCGCGGGCTGCTTCAGTGTACCTTTAGACCAGTGGTTCTTAACCTTTTATGAGTCACGGACCCCTTTGAGAATCTGGTGAAAGCTATGGACCCCCTCTCTAGAAAAATGCACATAAACACATGAACACAACTTTGCATGCAATGAATATACTTTATTTTATTGAAAATTCATTGCCTCATACAGTGTATGACATACACAAAGTATGAATAAAGTAAACATTCTGACGACGATGACGACTGTATGTTACCTGACCGTGTACAGCAGCATCCCATGCCACCCTACAGATTTACTGGTTTTCTTCAGTAACCAAAAATACATACATAACATCTGGTATATATTAACAAAAATAGAACAACTTAATATAAAAATAAAGTGAATATAAATGTTAAATTTTTATCTGACCTTCACGGACCCAGTGAAGCCCATCCATGGACCCCAGGTTAAGAACCCCTGCTTTAGACTAACACAACTAACATTTAACAAACACCTTAGCAAAAATAAATAAAAAATGTGACTACCCTCCCAGCTACACAAGTACCTGGGCGGGATCACTAACTCCATCGCAGTAAAAAAAAATATATATATATATATATATATATATATATATATATATATATATATATATATATATATATATATATATATATATATATATATATATATATATATATATATATATATATATATATATATATATATATATATATATATATATATAATAAGCAGCACTATATAATTAAACCAATATTAATACAAAGGTCTGACGACCCAAGGAAGAAAAACAAAGATAAAACACCAATAGGAAAGATGAAGCGATCTGGTTGAGCCCAGGTTCTTTCTACTCCTACTGTATATCAGTTTCACCACTTTTTCTTCAACCCCTAATAATCTTCTTTCACCTCATAATTCATGACTCCACCACCACCTAGGGGCAGTTAGTTGCTCGCCTCACCTAGTGCAATGACTAAGCCTAGCAGAACAACTGAAGACAATTGGTGTACAAGTATTGTGGAACTGTTGTGATTAATATAAAGTGAGAAGATTAAGGAATTGTTAACTGGCAGTGTGATAACTGCAGTATATATTCGAAGTGTGGAGTCAAGCTGTGAAGCCATTATCCTGTTACAGTGTTTGGAAGAACTACTGTTCATTAAAGAAGACTACATACAGTGCACAAGTGTGTCTGTGACCTGTTGGAAATCTACCTGCCTGTTGTTCGTCTGTACACTTATACCGATCGTCGGGGAATTACCAGAGACCGGCCGGACAGCCACGTGGTAGTTCGACAACTCTTGTGAGATATCTACTGCTCTGTACATACGACCCTAGCCGCTGGTAACCAGTGGTGGAAGCTGGTTGAGTGGTGAAAGGAGGAGGGTCGTGTAATTAAACGTTTTCAAAGTAAATGTATAAATACTGTACACCAAAAGAATGTGTGGCTGCCAGGTAATTAAAAATTATCAAAATATGAAAAGTTTGAATGGCGCTAATCTAAATGATTAATTAAAGTTTATTCCTGTTATTGTTTTTCTTCGTAATCAAATCAACCCCACAACCGACACTGTATCACCACAAACTACAACCACTCTACTCTTTTTCTACCTGGAGTCGTATCAGATTAAAGTGGCAATTTAAATCATTATGGTTAGAGTCTGAAGCTAGGATTCCATTCACGTGGTAGCGTTAGCGCCAAAAATAGATAACATTGAAATGTACTATGAAAGACAGAAGTCGTGATGTGAAATTTGGTGAAAACATACCTAGTCTTTAATTGTACACTGTTATTTCCATTGGCACGGTTGAGTTAGAGTTATGCGTTTGCAGTACATGCCAATCGCTCCCTGTGGCGATTGAAAACGCAACCACGCGAAAACGGACTCAGGAATTCCACAATATGACGTCCCTATACAGTACCTGTGTTTGCTCTCCTCACCCAGCTAAATGCCTCGAGGAAAAAAAAATCTGTCGATGAGACTGACAAGTTGATTTCACCCAGAAAATATCCCAACCTATTTTTTGTAATGCATTTATATAATACATTTAAAAACCTTTATACATAATTTTACGATCCATACATTTTTGACACAACTCTTCGAAAATGATGGTTCATGGTCTCAATTAAGGGTTCACTGGAATACTAATATTTGTGTCACTTAATATTTATCTACGGTTCCTATTATTTCCTATTTATAAGCATGACTCACCTTATACATATTGCGAGTCGCTGCCTTGAGCAAATGATTTCTCTGTTCCTGCAGTGTTTTACTAAATCCTCCTCAACCAGGGGAAGAGCATGTGCGAACTGTTGTCTGCTCAGACGAAAATGTTCTTTGAATTTTCTTCATCCAAGCTTAGGTCTTTTACCTAGAGTACTGTAGGCTCCATATTTGGTTCGATTCAGCAGCAATGTTTCCTTGTCCGTTTTTCCATTGATTTACGCATGATATTATACAATCTGTATATTTAATAGCAAATCATCCTGTTCGATGCACTCGAGTGCATTTTTCACAACCGAGAAGAGATGCTCAGCCCCCTCCTCAAGAGTTACAACTGAGATTGGCTGTTGCAAATCTGTCCAATTTCGTCCTAAAGTAATGATATATTTCTAAATGAGTTTATTCATAATCGTTGGGATGACCGTTTCTGACGAAGATATTTCGCTAAAATATATAAAGATACATACATTCATTATTTCAAACATGAGCACATAGGAGGTTTATCATTAATCTTATACATGAATTAACTATTAAACTCTGGTAGCAAATTCGAATCCAGGGAAAAAAGTCACAAGAAAAAGTCGCAGAAAAAAAGGCACGAAAAAACCTAACCTAACCTAACTTAATCTAACCTACGTGCAATGCCGTTTTTCAGGGCAATTTAACGCAAACGCATTACTGCAAACGTATACCGCAAATGCGATGCAAACCCATATACGGAATCCTAACTTTAGAGCTTTTTGTGCTTGTTAATACACCGAGCTCAAGATCCTACCAAACAAATTCCCCATTTCTCCTTATTTACTAATGATTCTCTCATTTCGCACTATCTTACCTTTCTTCGAGATGTAAAGAATTCCGACAGGAGCCTTTGAACTTGTCCATTGGGTGAATAAATGCTAAATTCCTTATAGAAATCAAAAGATGGGGCTGGATGTACAATGTGTTATGGTGTCTCAAGCTGACCAACCCTTCACAATTTCGCCTTTGACATCGTCTGCTACCAGTGATACCAACCACTCAGGGTGCGTGCAGGACCTCAGTTGTAACACAAACAATACATTTATAGTTCAGTTAAGACATAGTTTTGGTGGTGCAGTGGCGGTAATACACAGATCTGGTATTTATCAGAACTTGCCAACTGAGCCCAACTGATTATTCATATAACCTCACAATTGACCTTTCCAGTCTAGAGGCATATTTCGTGCATGTCAATATATGCAATGAAGACGGGGCACGTTTATAATTTCTCCCCCCCTACTTATATTAACTACCTCAATGGACGTCCTGAAAAGTTTACAAAAACTTTAGTGTTTTTTTATCAGATACATGGTAACACTGAGGTAGGCCACTGTACTGTACTCGTTTTAACAAACCGCTCTTTTGAACAGGGAAAAATCTATCATGTCCTTGAAATACATGATAGCTTGGTACTAGAGCTTTTTGCGGTAGATTTAAATACAGTATGCTGATATTACAGTACTGTAGTGTTTAGAGAATCCGCCAGTGAATACAGGGGGGTCATTTAGCCCCCCCCCCCCCAAGGGCTGTCTTGCTCTCCAAGAAAAATTTTAATTATATTCATTTTTTCATATACAGTAGACGAATTTGGATTTGGTGAGGAAATCTCAATGGTATTTTTACTATGCATAATTATCCAAAATGATAACTATTCATCTATTTTCATCGTTCCCATTGCTTATCATTTATAAACTGAATAGCAGCAAGGAAGTAAGTCTTATTGCTAGCAGCCACACGGTCACACACCGGGCAGATGCAAATTTAAAATACAAAACGTGTTGGAACGGGTTCCATCTGTTACAGCACCACCCGCGGCACCACAGTGGAGCAGGATTTTGACCCCTACTCTTTGCAGGTAATGGTGTTGCCCCCCATAAGCTAAATCTGAAATGATGTCCCTGAGTGAATGACTTTATATCACTGTCACTACAACATTAGTACAGTATATGATTACAGGAAATAGTTCTTTATTCCTAAGGCAATCTTTTTTTTTACTCTATTCTCTCAATGAAAAAAAAATTGTTTTAAAGAAATACTGTAGTTTGTGATGTTAATTAATGCCAGGAATAGCTTATTTAACATAGTCATCAGTAGACCATATCAACCAATATCTTTGTTAGTTAGTCTCAGCACCTCTGTTAGTCTCAGCACCTCTGTACAAGTTAAAGATATAAACTATGTCTTATTTTATTTCAAGCATACAATATTTTTTTTTACAAACAGCAAGTCGAGTCTTTGCTCCATCATATACACTTCAGCAGAAAACCTTATCAACTACAAACTATATACAATTTATACACTTTACAAATACTGATGAATGTATCTAATACACCTTGAAGGACTGTCTTACTACCATTCTAAATAGGTATAAAAACATTCACTCATAATACTTGAAACTTAATCATCCTTATGAGAGTAATTTTTTTTTGCATCACTAATACATCAAGACAAACATTTAACAATTACAAAATATTTTGAAACGATTTTGGATGAAATTCTTTATGCCAACAAAGTAATATTTTCTTCGTTAGTGTGACTGCTAATGCAAAATCCTAAAGAAAACAAGTTCAGAAGAGAACATTACATACTATTGTACAATCAATCAGAACTAGCAGTATGATTAAAGATTTTTGCATTACAGTTAACACCAACTAACAATATACAAAAAATGTATCTAAACAAATGGCAAGATTTAACAAGGCACTAAATAGTAATCTTGTAAAAACTTTGGTCTGGCAGCGAGTGCAGTCTAGTGAAGGAAGAGGAGGGAGGGATTGGGGTAGTGGACACCATTTTGCATGAAGTATGACAAGAACCAGAGCAGGAAGTCACTCTCCACACTCTGACCAACAGAATGGGAGGTGAAACAAAACGTGGAAAAAACATTACAAAGGCCACCGTAACACTTCACACAGGTCATGGGAGATATCACGGTGTGGGAGACATGATAATGTACTGTGCAGACTCATAGTTCTGTTTGGGTAATAAGACTTCTCACATGAAAGACACTTTAACCCGGTAAATAAAAAGATTAATCTCCACAGTTCCCTAAGCCATTGTATTATGTACAGTACAGTGAAAACTTTATTTAACGTACTATATGGAGAGAGGAGTCCGTTATATGGCGGTTTCACTGTACATTATGCTGGCAAATTATCACTCCATAAACAGTAGGTAGGTAAGTAGCTTTTGTTAAGTTACCTTAAATACTAGAGCGAAATCACACTTAAATATACTTACCCTGTATTTTACACCAATGTAGTGCAGAACACAGATGAGCTTTGGCAAGTCTAGCAAACATGAGTTCTTGTCATGAAAATTATAATAATTTCATGAACTCATGCTATGAGAACATACTTCATGAATATTCTTAACTGTAGGTGAGCTGACTGAATCTTTCTCGAATGAATATGAGAGTATTCTATGTATTACTTCCACGTGACGATGTCTTGTACAGTATGAGTGAGAGGACCTCTCTAACTCACTGATAAACAGACACAGGTTTTTATTTAGGCTTCAGTCTTTCGGTCAGCCTCGGCTTGTGTTGGTCACATGAAAAACTTATCTCCTACACTACAAAATTATAAACTGGCACAGATATAACGACAGAGTTTGTGTCATCAGACGACATAAACACTGAGGTTTCCTTCCTTTCTGATAGGTCCCTGGGCCTCCTGCAGGATACGGAGTCTTGGCCCCATGGGGATGCCAATCTTCTGCAGGCGTTCCTCTGTTAGGTATGGCAGCTCCAGCATCCCGATCTTCTCTTGCTCAAACAAACCAGCATATTTCTGTACAGGAAAATCAAAATATGTTCCTCATTTTGTTTATGCCAGAAATCATCACTATGTGTAACAACTGTGGTGTGTGTGTGTGTGTGTGTGCGTGTTTATCCTCATTATGGCCAAGTTAGTTGGGATCTTTATAAAGTTTGAGCCTTTACACCAGGAAGATTTCTCAATATGTTTTGGCACGGTAAATATCTACAGTACACACAAAACTGCATTACATTAACAATACACAAAGTAGCTACTACAGTCAAGTTCTGTGACCAAACATTCACAGAACAAAAACTACAGAGCGTTGTCACAGTAAGGTACAGCATCAGGAGACCTATCTGTGGAACACTTATATACACCTAATGTACAGTATGTTCTCTAGTGCAATCATTACTAAATGTGGTGACGGTAGATGTGGGTGGCAGTGTTACCTGTACAGAGCCTTAACTCAGCCACAACACCTCTTGGTCACAACCCAGAACAACTGCAACTTATAGACATTTTGTCTTAAGAGAGATTGTAATAGTGAGGCTTTACTGTGATAATAGATACAATTCTATTATTTCTGGTGATTTAAACTTACTTTATTATACTCACTTACTAATAAAGGGGAGATTAAATACCTGTATATCCTTAAGCATAAAAGTGGAGTTGATTTGAGGAATATAAATGCAGCAATATTAAGAACGGTTCACCTGTATTCACCACCAAAATACTTTGTACCAGCAGTTGACAAAGACACACATATCCATACATAAAGTGGACATACCTCATAACCCAGCTTTCTGAGGAAGATTCTCACCAGTGGAGGTTCGTCACCAAAGAACTGAGTCAGTTTTTTCACTCTGCCAGGGTTGGAGAGACCAGGAATACCAGCCCTGAAAGACTCCCAGGAGATGTGACCTCCACTTCTGTTACTGTTACCTCCACCTCCACTACCTCCAGCTTTCAGTGTTGCCAACTCGCCACGAATACTTTCAATTTCCTGTGTAGATGGAATAAAGGCTTGATTTAATGTTGGTTTTTCATATTTGGTTTAGAAAATTTGAAAAGACACTCAATTTCTGTATACATGTTCTAACACCTTTTGATACTGTACTACTGTTAACCTCTTGTGTATGGGGTCTCCTCTGTACTGAAGAAAATCAGCCCTGCATCTCTACATAACAATAACCATCAAATATGTATAACAATTGGCGTGTACACTAGCTCCAAAGAGTTGTCTCGGTAGAATTGCCAAAATTATTCATCCGTTGTGTCATATTGTATCACACAAAATTGTAAAGATACGTTTTGGAGTGAGTGTACATCAAACAAACAGTAGCTAAATATATGATGTATACAGTACCTGAAACATTAGATGCTGCGTCCTCATCTCCGAGCTAAGGTGAGCTACACTACGAGCCAGCGTGACCACGTGACTCTCCAGCCGCTGAAACCTCTTGTGGATGGACTGTAAACAAAATGAAGTGTTTTATTTTTTAGTTATGGAATTATAGTCTCTTTACTACCCCCATTAACTAATTTCACTTGTTTATATGAATTATAGCCAAACTATACTGTACGTGCAATACCTGGGATGATTAGTGATGGTAAATAAATCCTACTGGATTTTACTTTACTTTTACTTTTATCCTCTTCGCCACTGATCGGCTTGTTAGCCGCTTGGGCGATCGGTCACGACTCTTTTCCTTTATATTCTTCACCAAAAGGTCGGCTCGCTAGCCGCCCGGGCGATCGGTCACGTCTCTGTCACGCACTGTTGGCAAATACTGGGCATGCACCGGCTCCTGAATGTACCTGAACCCGCTCCAGTGTTGGTCAAGTCTTCTCTTGAAAGAGCTCACACTCGGTGCCGTCACAACACTTTCTGGTAGATTGTTCCAAGAGTTTACAACCCTCACTCCGAAAAAGTTTGCCCTCACGGTTTTCCGGACTTGCGGCTTCTTCAATCTTGAGCTGTGACCCCTTGTGGGGCGAGCGTCCGCCAGCTCCAAGTAAGGACACTCAACTGAGTAGTGCCCCCTGAGATGCTTATAAACCTCAACTAGGTCCCCCCTTGCCCGTCTGTAGTATAAGCTAGGCAAGTTCAGGCGCTCCAATCTCGCAGGGTAGCTGAGATGCCGAAGTGCAGGCACCAGCTTGGTGGCCCTCCTTTGAACATTTTCAACCAACTGACAGTCCCTAGCATATCTCGGGGACCAGATGGGGTGACAGTACTCCAGATGGGGAAGCACTTCACTCCTGAAGATCGTCACGAGGGACGGACCGTCTAGATATCTGAACGACCTTCTTATAAGACCCAATAATTTATTTGCCTGATTTACCTTCTTCTCACAATGGCCCGAGAACTTCAGCTCATTGTCAACATACACACCTAGGTCCTTCTCACACACAGTCTCAACTAGTACATTTTCTTCATCCCGTTGGGACATATGGTACGCCTCCTTACCGTTGGTACGCCCCAGGTGCATCCTCTTACACTTCGTGACATTGAATCTCAGCAGCCATTCCTTCGACCATTCCTGGAGCCCACAGAGGTCCTTCTGCAGCTCTTCACAGTCCGCTTGGTTCTTAATTTCCCGAAATAACTTGGCGTCATCGGCAAACATTTGTATGGAGGAGTGTACAACGTCAGGCATATCATTTATGAAACAAACAAACAACAGCGGGCCCAATACACTACCCTGCGGTACCCCACTTGTTACAGGTACAGATGACGATTTCGTGCCATTAATCACCACACATTGCTTGCGGTCATGTAGAAAGTCTTCTATCCACGCTAGGACATTTCCCCGAATTCCGTACCCTTCCAGTTTGATTTTCAGCCTTTCGTGGGGTACACTGTCGAAAGCCTTGGCAAAATCTAGGTAAATATTGTCGATATTACCACCCCGTTCTAGAATATGGGTCCAAATATCCAATACCTTGAGCAATTGTGTCAAGCAAGAGCGCCCCGGCATAAAACCGTGTTGGCAATCTTTTACAAGGTTGTTTCGTAGTAGATGTTCCATCGCTGCATCTCTGATAATACTCTCAAGTACTTTACATATTATGCTGGTCAGGCTCACCGGTCTATAGTTGTTCGTGGAGTGCCTATCGCCCTTCTTGAAGATAGGACTCACATAAGCCACTTTCCATTCACTGGGGACCATTTGTTCATCCAGGCATTTACAAAACAGAATCATCAGGGGCTCTGCAAGCTCGTTGCACAGCTCCCTTAGCACTTAACTAACAAAATCAAAATCTTTTAACAGTTGGGTATCAAAACTGTATAAAATTATTAATAACAAATGCCAATGGTAAATAGTTAATCGTGTCCCTTTCTAAAATAATCTACCTTTCTCTCTAAACAAGAAATAGAATCTTGTTGAGTCCTGCCTTACCTTGCCACCACCATCCCTGGCAGTCTTCCTCACTCTGTCGTCAATAACCCTGTGACGTTTGTCCCTGCCAGGCCGAGATGACACGATGGATGATGGCAGGGATGACAGTGACCCGTGTAGCCTACGTCGGGAGGTCTTCAAGTCACCCATACCACCTCCATGACCTAGGATGTGCCTACCTCCTCCCCGTCGTCCTCCTCCAAGTAGTTTGAGGACCTGTAAGGAAAGTTTGAATTTCGGAAAAAGTTTCGGATACAGTATTTTGGTTTTAGTAACATTTAAGATTTGTACAGTTACCCACAAAAGTCCTGTTGTCTCTTCGTTTGAATCACGAACTTGGGCCCAAGACTTGTGAATCCAAAGCAATAATGGACAGAAAAATGCATTAAGTGTCTATTGCTTTGGGTTCGCGAGTCTGAATCTCGGGGTTTGTGGAGCAGCAGGAGAGGCGACAGAACTTTTGTGGGTGACTGTACATACAAGAATAAGGGGAATATACTACTGTATAAAACTTCATCTCTTGATTCTAATATTATAACCTTCCGGTATGGGAAATTACTTAATGTCTCTCCATTACTGAAAATGAAAAGCATAAATAGATAACCAATCTAAATTATATTCAAACCAACTTCATTTTACAGTCCCAATAGTACTAAAATCTATTTAAATTTTCCTTTTATCTTTCTTAACATTCCATCTCTTTCTACTAATTCCAGCTTATCTTTTTAAAGACTTTCACCACAACTTATTTTCAGGTCAATACCGAAGCTCTCACCTCAGAGTACATCCCCTCAAGACCCTCCAGCTGTTTCCTGATGAGGTGGACGTCGGGGTCATAGGCAGAGGTGGCGTCATCATCCGTGGTTGCCTCTGTCACACCATCCAACATGGAATCCAAGTCTAAAGCATCAGTGGTTGAGGTTATGTCCCCGGTATCCAGGTCACCTCCACTAAGACCTGGAGGGGGGAGGGGGGGTGAAAGGTCAATATCAATATTCTGTAGATAGATATACATGTAGAGACAGACAACTTCAGATGATCGCCCCACTAGCTGATCGCCATAAAACCAACGAAAAGTAAATAATCAAGGGTCTACAGAGAGAGAAAATATCCACTCTTACTTTATACAACAGCCTAACTCTATTACCAAGGAGTGCCTGTACTGTACTTGGCTTACCTTTAAACAAGAAAAGAAGTCAGACTCATAGACCTTTCATCAGTGAAGGTGGTGACTGCAATAAGGGGCTGCTACTTTCAAGTCTTAATGCAAACTGTGAGGTCTGATCTGTCACTCTTAGGGGAAGGTTGTAATGAGGGAATGAGTGAGTGATGTTGGAATTATCTCAAGAGGCTTTGGGTGTGTGTAGTGATGAGTGACTCCAAACTAGTGCTAAGTAAAAAAAATAATAATCATTGAGGGGAATTTACCTATGTTGACTCTGTTTTTGTTCTTGTTGAGAGGGTCAAATGCATTGTTCCTCTGCCTTTCATCCTCCTTCCTGTGTGACCAGCCGCTGGCCAGAGCTCCCAGTGACCTATGACTGCTGCTGCCACCTGCGGACGTGACTTTGTTGCTGTGGGAAGATGGAGTCAGGAGTTTGTATCAGTACTGAACAAAAAGTAAACATCATTATCGCATTTGAAATATTTATTACATTAGTGAGTGATGCATTCTTAATGGACTGAACTTGTGTAAGGATAATCTGTCTGGTCATCACAGTCTACAAGAGTGAGTGGTAGTTGAAGGTCTTAAGTATAAACACACTGTACTGTATTTGTTTTGTACTTCAGCCGATTCATGATCTCACCTGCCATGAACATGTTGAGTGTGAGAGGTTCCTCCTCTCCTCGGTGTAGACTGAGAGCTCTCTTGAGAATGGTTGCCTGTCCGTCCCTCATGGCCTCCTCTCTTGCCCCCGTCCCGTCCTGCCGCCTCCAGAAGGTCAGGTTTATTGAGGCCATTACTGCGGTTATCAACAATAGGTTATAATCTGCCTGCTTAGGTTAAGATAGGTTAAATTAGGTTCATGTACTTTGGCCTAGAGAATGTTAACCTCTTCACTATGGGGATTTTATTCAGCACAGAGGTGACACCATACACAAGGGCTTAATAAATAGATGAATGTATTGGCAGTTTAACAAAAGTTCTCTCTTTTATTTTACAAGTACAGACAAAAACAACAACAGATACTTCAGAAATATCTGTAACCCACACCTGTAGGAAAGACTGTATTTGCGATGCCTTGGTGGTGAGGGTTGGGGTGAGGGTTGGGGTGTAGCCTCAGGTGAGAGTGGTGGTAAGGGGGGCGTGGCAGCTAGTGACTCTCTTCTCACTAAACAGCCGCCGCTACTCTTGCCCTCAGAACCCTTCTTCATGATCCTCTGTAGCTCAGCATCTGTCATGTCCACCCATTCTGAGTCATTACCTGGTAGTGACAACAAATAGCTTTGTTATTATTAAGCATTTTTTATAAATTCTAAAAAAAGGTTCATAATAATAATAAAGTAGTCATATATTCAAAAGGTGTAAAATAAAAACGTGACAGTAATTAAACTTGTCTCTCACCTGAGGAATGGCCTTGATTGTTTTGCCGCTGAGATGCAGAAGAATCTAGGCTGGTGTCGAGAGTGTTTGGTACCCGTCCCTCACCTCCGCTACCAGCTGTACCCCGCCCTGAGTCTGAACCACCTGAGCCAACACCTTCCCCACCTGCTGGCTGTCCACGCCCACTGCTTACCGCTGGACCGGAGTAAGTATGGTCAGAGGGCAGAGCGTGGGCATCAACTAAGTTGTCAACAGAATAGTGGTGAGGGCGCCATGAGGGAGGTTCCTGCCGAAGTTGAGCTAAGTGATGATATGAACCTGACCGTCTGTTGGCCAGCCCATGCCCCATTGGGTCATGCTGGTGCCGGCGACCCAACTGTGGGGAAGACATGGGCAGTGGTGCTGGTGCCCGGTGAGTTGGGGGTGATAACGCAGCAGCTGTGTGAGTCTGCTGCTGTGTATGGTACTGACTGGAGCTGCGAGGGTAGTGAGGGGGTAGGCCATTAACCTGTTGACTTGACCCTCCCAGCTCTTGGCTCGCACTTAAGCTCGTCTCCATAATGTTTTCCTGTAGGTTGGTCTTCTGGGAACTCTGATGAATTGCTTTTCGAAAACTAGTGTTAAGTTTGTTAACACGTCCACTGTCCCTTGATGGCCCAGGTTGGATACCATTTGTTTCTTGTTGGGAGTTGCCACTACTGTTGTTGGTGTTGCCAGATGATGTGTTTGTTCCCTGAGACGCCGTGTTCTTGCCATCAGCCTGAGGGGTGATGGTGCGGTCCTCGGGTTTGTCCCCACGAGAGAATTTACTCGATAGTTTTTCCTTCAAGTGTTGGTACTTACGAGCCGCCAGGCCCCGGGTTAGAGAGCCCCACTTCTCATCCTTGCGTGGGTCGTCCCGTTGCTCCTGGGCATCGTTGACATGATTCTCATCTATGGTGCCTGCTGTCCTGTTGTTGCTCTGACTGTTGAAACTGTTAACAGGATCCTGATGGCTGTTAGGGTGGGAGTGGTGACCATTGGTGTGGGAGTGTGGACCTTCCATATGGTTGTTAACGTGGTTGTGAGCGCTGCCATTAGGGATGTGACCTGCAGGTGTGGCTGAGTGGTGCTGTGAGACGTGACCATTCATGTGGATATGACCTTGTGGCGGATGGATCTCCACAATGCCCTGCAAGACAAACACTTCAATCAACATCACCATAACCACATGAATACTGAAAAAGTCACTCTCTTTAGGTGGAAAATGGCCGATAGACACTGACAGAAATGTATCACCTGAACACAACTTACTACCAACTTACGGTGTCATCCTGGTGAAAGAAATGGATTATTGCAGAGAGACAATAAATGAAAACCAATGAAAACAGCCAGAAAAATTGAAGAAAAAAATTAAAGATTGAGGGAAATTAACTCTTTTATATTTGAATTGTGTAACTTAATTATAACATCCTTGAGAGAGAGAGAGAGAGAGAGAGAGAGAGAGAGAAAATGTATCAAAACCATGACTGACTCACCGCAAACTGGCCCTGTGATCCTCTCATCCATGTTTCCCTGGAAAAGGTCGCTTGCTGGGCTGAGGATGGGTGATGCTGGGATGTAACCTGGTGATGCTGGGATGTAACTGGGAGCTGCTGGGATGTGTTTTGGTGCTGCTGGAGTGTGGAGGGACGGTAGGAGTGACGTGAGAGGAAGGGAGACTCGTAGGGTCGTGGCTGTGAGGGGTGAGAGGAAGGCAGCACCCCGGCCAACGTCCCCTCTGGTGGGATGCTGGGGTGAGAGGCGTGGACCCCGCCCCCAGGTGCACGGTAGCTCGGCTGAAAATAAAAAATGACATGAACATATCCTTAGCTAGACCGATAGACATATAGATAGATAGACCGTACAGATAAGTATATAGAGATATCATATAATTAACCAAGAATAAAAGATATATAAGAAAAATCATATCTTTAATTATACTGAAAACAACAAAAATAATATATTCCAACTCTAAAAAAATACTGATTACATTAGATTATGAAATTATTGCCTTGCCTAACCTAACCCTGAGATACCCCCCTTCTACCCATCATACACGGATTACCATATGAGTATCGTCTAGCAGCGCGGGGTTGTCTATTCCATCAATATAACGCTGGTGACGTTCTCCTGACAGTAACTGATCCTTCTCCTCGCCGCCGTTCACACCAGTCTGTAAACAACAACAAGACCATCATCTACATACTCTAACCATCTTACAGAAACGAGATTTAAAACATTCTGGAGAAAAATAAATAGATAAAATAAAAACAACCATCTTAAATTTTCCCCTGAGAAATTATCTAAAGAATTAAGAATAGATTAGGTTAGGTTAGGGTGGTTAATCTTCAGGTGTTTCTTAGTAAATTACATGCACCAAGACCCACTACATGAAACTATAACAACGCTATTTCACCATGGGACGAGACCAACAGTGTTTTCTGCCAAGGTTATAACAACACCCATGGTCCAACTCGTCCCTATGGTTATATTTTAATCAACTACAACCCAGTCATACGAGTGAATAATAACAATAATAATAATATAAATAATAACACGTCTAGTAGTTATCAGGGAGAGAAGTCACAACATAATATTACTCATAATAACACAATTACAACAACATAACCATCTACAACCATAAAAGCGATCAAGTCTAACATACAGTCGGCAATAAGCCTACAAGTCTACCATAATGTCGACAGTTTATAGCAGTCTACCATAATGTCGACAGTTTACAACAGTCTACCATAATGTCGACAGTTTACAACAGTCTACCATAATGTCGACAGTTTACAACAGTCTACCATAATGTCGACAGTTTACAACATTCTACCATAATGTCAACAGTTTACAGTGGTCGACCAAAATATCGACAGTTTACAAGTCTACCATAATATCGACAGTTTACAAGTCTACCATAATGTCGACAGTTTACAGCAGTCTACCATAATGTCGACAGTTTACAACATTCTACCATAATGTCGACAGTTTACAGCAGTCTACCACGAGAGACTAATAAGAAAAGTGGAGGCTCATGGAATTGGAAGAGATATTCTAAAATGGATTAGGGCGTGGTTACAGGACAGGAAACAGTGAGTAAGCATTAACGGCACTAAATCCGATTGGGGTAACGTCACTAGTGGGTGCCCCAAGGCTCAGTAATTGGACCGTTACTATTTATTATACACATAAACGGCATAGATATAGGCGTAGACAGCAACATAAGTAAAACTGCTAACAACACTAAAATGGGGCGTGTAATTAAATCTGACGAGGACTCCGCTAAAGCACAGGAAGATCTAAAAAAAATTTCGCTTGTTCTGAAAAATGGCTGATAAAATTTAATGTGGACAAAAATAAAGTATTTGTCTAGGAAATGTGAACAGATATCAGATGAGCGTTGTTATAGAGAAATCCAACTGTGAGAAAGATTTAGGAGTAATAATAAGTAGGAATCTTAAACCAAGACAACAATGTGTATTTGCTCGAAACAAGGCTAACAAAGTACTTGGGTTCATACAAAGGAGTGTAAGTTACAAGACTAGTGAGGTTATCCTAAAACTATATCTTGCGCTTGTTAGACCTCACTTGATTACGCGGTTCAGTTCTGGCCACCGCACTACAGAATGGATATAGAATCCCTAGAAAGCATATAGGGGAGAATGACAAGACTAATCCTGGGCATCAGGAACCTTGAGTACAGAGACAGATTAAAGCATCTTAATTTGCACTCCCTCGAGAGACGTAGAGTGAGGGGCAATATGATCGGGGTGTAAAAATTAAAGAAGACAAAATCCCCAGGGCCGGATGAAATTTTCCCTCGAGTTTTGAAAGAGTGTAAGGAACAGATTAGCGGACCCCTCGTAAATTTATTTACAAAATCATTAGACACGGGAGTTGTACCAGACTTGTGGAAACAGGCAAATGTAGTACCCATATTAAAAAAGGGAGACAGAGCATCAGCGTCAAATTACCGGCCGATTAGTTTGACGTCAGTAGAGGGGAAATTTCTTGAATCAATTATAGCAAATAGCATCCGATCGCATTTAGAGAAAAACAAACTAATCTACGACTCTCAACATGGGTTTACAAAGGGAAAATCTTGTCTAACAAATCTGCTGACGTGTTTTAGGAAAGTCTTCGAGGTAGTAGATAATGACGAAAATTACGATGTTATTTACTTAGACTTTAGCAAAGCGTTTGACAGAGTACCGCATCAGAGGCTTCTGAGAAAAGTTAAGGCTCGTGGTATCGAGGGGAAAGTTTTAAATTGGATAAAATCATGGCTCACCGATAGAACACAGAGGGTCAGCGTAGATAGTGTTAAATCTGAGTGGGGTTGTGTAACCAGTGGGGTTCCCCAGGGGTCAGTACTGGGCCCACTCTTGTTCAAAGTCTACATAAACGATCTAGATACTGGGATCAGCAGTGACATAAGCAAGTTTGCGGATGACACCAAAATAGGGCGGCAGATTAATTCAGGGCAGGATGCAAATGCACTACAGGAGGATTTAAATAAACTGCACGAGTGGTCAGAAAAATGGCAAATGAAATTCAACACCAGCAAGTATTGGAAGAACAAATACTGTCAATGTATACAGCCTTAACAACATCAACCTAGAGAAGTCGACTTGTGAAAGAAACTTAGGGGTACTTGTAAGCCCGGACCTACGGCCTAGAAAACAGTGCGTTAGTGTTCGAAATAAGGCAAACAGAGTATTAGGTTTTATATCTAGAAGTGGAAGTAATAAGAGTGCAGAGGTCTTATTGCAACTATATCTCGCGCTAGTCAGGCCGCACCTCGATTATGCTGTTCAGTTCTGGTGCCCCTATTATAGAATGGATATCAATTCACTGGAGTCGGTGCAGCGAAGAATGACGAAAATGATTCCGGGACTTAGAAATCTTCCATATCAAGATAGGTTAAAGAAACGAAATTTGCATTCCCTAGAAAGACGAAGAGTGCGGGAGATATGATAGAAGTATTTAAGTGGGTGAAAAGAATCAATAAAGGCGATACATATAAAGTTCTTATAATATCCGAGCAGGATAGGACTCGTAGCAACGGATTTAAGTTAGATAAGTTTAGGTTTAGGAGGGAGATAGGAAGGAACTGGTTCACAAATAGGGTGGTGGACGAGTGGAACAAGCTTAGCAGCTTTGTAGTAAGTGCTGGAACACTGGAGGCTAGCTAGATTCATGGATGATAGAGAGTGGTAATAACTCTCGACAGGAGCTGCCATGCACAGGCCAACAGGCCTATTGCAGACTCCTTATTTTCTTATGTTCTTATAAATGGAAGTCAGGGTTAAACAAAGGTGAAATAACAAAGGTACTTAAATTATCCAACCAGGAGCGGACTCGTAGCAAAGGTTTTAAATTAGAAAGAAAAAAAAAGAGTTAGGCGCGAGACAGGTAAACATTAGTTTGGAAATAGAATAGTGGATGAGTGGAACAAGTTACTGAACTTCATTAACTCGAGCACGCTGGGTAGCTTCAAATATAGGTTGGACGGATATATGAGCGATAGGGATTGGGAGTAAATGGGACTGCCTTGTATTCTTAGTTTGTATTAGCGTCACAACTCCCATAATGCAAAACATCTATACCTACATGATGGTGGACCGCGCAAAGGATTATGGGAATTGTGACGTCAATGCAAACTAAGAATTATTAGACAGAACACACACCCGTTAAGGTTGGGAAAATGAAACTTACATACAAATAAATTAAAAATTCCATCATAATTAAAGATTGTTTGAGCACGAGACTAACCACAGAAGTCATTTACTGATGTGGTCCCGACACGAATGTAAGCAGACCATACCAACGTGCTTGTATAATATTTTTAACATTATATTCGTGGTATTAGCCTCGAAGTTTTTGTGCTTACGATGCTGGTATTATTTGGAATCTAATTAGTAAAACGAATAGTCAATAAAGATATCGCAAAACAATATACAAATATTCTTAGTTTGCATTGATGTCACAAATCCCATAATCCTTTGCGCGGTTCACCATCTTGTAGGTATAAACGCATTGCATTATGGGAGTATGTGACGTCATGTGAAAACTAAGACTGGACCAACAGGTCAGCTGCAGTTTCCTCCATTCTTATCTTATGTCAACAGTTTACAGCAGTCTACCAAAATGCAAACAGTTTACAGCAGTCTACCATAATGCCGAGAGTTTACAAGTCTACCATAATGTCGACAGTTTACAGCAGTCTACCATAATGCCGAGAGTTTACAAGTCTACCATAATGTCGACAGTTTACAGCAGTCTACCATAATGTCGACAGTTTACAAATCTACCACAAAATGCCCACAGTTTACAACAGTCTACCATAATGTGGACAATAACCTGTCTCACACACACACATACCGCGTGGTGGGTGTGGGTTTGGTGGGTGTGGGTGGTGTGGGGTGGAGGGCGTGACCGTGGTAATGTACTCCCCTTAGCCACACCCATACCCGCCCATCCACTAACACCTCTCGACCCCCGACCCAGCGTGGCCGAACCTGAGAACGCTGGTGGTCCCACTGACGAGGCCAACACCGAGGTACCGTGACTGGCCGACGAAGGAGTGAGGATTGATGACGAAGTTGAGGGTAAGTTAATCCCTCCTTCCTTGATTTCAATCTGGTGGAGCAGCGGGTGTTAGTGGGTTAGTGGAAGAGACAGACAGAGACACACACACACACACACACACACACACACACACACACACACACACACACACACACACACATATACACGGGGTTAATCTCAAAGGAAAGTCATAACCTGAAAATACACAGAAAATAAAGTGTCTACTGCAGATTATAGGTGAGGTTAGGTTAAGTTAGGTTAGGTTAGCGTTAGGATGTTGAATCAACACCAGGTAGAAAAAAACTATGTTGTCTAATCCCCAGGTGATAATTATATGCTGTATAGTGATGATTACACACTTTCCACTGCCACTACTACCACTGCCACTACTACCACCACCACTACTACTAACACTATCAATGAACCGTTTTCGTGGTTTAGAAAAAAAATATTTGCCACACTGGTGATACTGCTGTGTTTTTTATCCAAGATTATTGAGAGAGAGAGAGAGAGAGAGAGAGAGAGAGAGAGAGAGAGAGAGAGAGTCAAAGTTATCAATACTGGAAGATGGAATTAATGTTGTGAATAATGTAAATTGTAAATATATATTAAAATAGTAGAAAGCCTTAAACGCTTTATACCAAGTCATGGTATATAAAAAACAAACAAGGTAAAGAATAAATCCGAACTTAACCTAACCAAGCTTTCATCTCTATATAGTTCGTTAAAATAATATTTCACATTCTAACGAACCCTCGATATAATGGACGTCCCTCTATATCAGTGGTTCTCAACCTGGGGGCCATGGCCCCCAAGGGAGCCACGGCAAGAATTTAGGGGAGCCACGGCGAGCTGTTATAAATTGTGCGTTTCCAAATAATGTTGGGAATCTGAATTAAACAAAATTTGTATGACTTATTTTGACTTGGCAGAAGAGAATTTTCATTCTTTTTTTGTCATTTTGTTTAATCATAACGACAATACAATTTTAATATTACAGACTCTGGTGGTATTTGTTTTAATTTTTACGGATTATTTAAGATTTCACAGGTCCAGTCCCTGTCTGTGTGACAGGCGCTGGACCGAGCTGCTGAACTGACTTGTTCAGTACGTGTCCGTGTGTCATCCCTTTGCAAGTGGTGATAGGACCGAATGATCTCAGTCTGGCCTGGGATACCATCACGAAAACAGTGGAGTGTATTGTCTCTGAACCATATATTGTGTTTGAGCTTGACTCAAGCATAATATACTCCGTAATTGGTGTTACTTATTTTGTTTCATAATTCATGTGGTCGCTGCTTTACGTGGGTGAAATATTTGTACACTTCCTTTATTAATTATTTCCTTATTTATCGGTGCCATTGTTGTTCATACTCATTCTTTACTTATATAATCCTACCATTTTTAGTGATAAATTGGTATGACTCACTATTCTTCTCATTCTTCCAAGTTGGGCAGTGCTTGTCAAAGGAGGCGTGTTCTTGCTTACAGGAAGTACACTTCAGCTTGCTAGCTTGAGTGTGAATGTTTACCTGTGTGCATGTTTGTGTATGGCTGTATGTGTGCTTTATGTGTGAGAGCATGGGCGTGTTATGTATGTGAATGTGTGTGTGTGTGTGTGTGTGTGTTTGCCATTCTAACTCTTGTCCTATTTATCTGTCCTTCTTTATCATTCTTTAGTCTTTATCACTTGTCTGTTTGTCTGTTCTGACATTCTGTCTTCTTTATTCTCTAGATTTGTGATGGCTACTAGTGATGCTAAGAAGCGGAAGTACATCGATGGATACATTAACTACGGATTTACGTCAATCCTCGCTGATGGCATTGAGAAACCTCAGTGTGTGCTGTTTCAAAAGTGCCGGGGAACGATTGTATGAGGCTGAAGCATCATCTGATGACGATTCATCCACAGTATGCGGAAAGAGAAACCGATTTCTTCAGGCGCCATGAACGGAGTTTGGGAAAACAGAAACTGGACGAGAGTGGTGCCTTCCAACAACAGACCGTAAGTGTAGTTGAGGCATCATACGAGGTTTCCCTCGAAATAGCAAAGCAAAAGAAGCCCCATACAATTGGTGAAACTTTAATTAAGCCATGTGCTTTAAAAATGGTCAAACGGGTTCTTGAAGAGGCAAGTGAACGTAAAATTCAACAAATTTCCTTGTCAAACGATACAGTGAAACGGAGAATTAATGAAATGTCAGATGACATAAAGGAAAAAGTGATACAGATCAAATTATCTCCAACTGGTGTTTGCAACACAGCTGGATGAGTCAACGGACGGAGTTCTTGTGCACAGCTACTAGTGTTTGTTAGGTATGTTTTCTTGTGTGACATCAAGGAGGAATATCTGTTCTGTACACAGCTTGAGACCACCACAACAGCTGTAGATGTGATGGAAAAGCTGTGTTCTTTCTTCACAGCTAACAGGATCAGCTGGGAAAATTGTTGTGGAGTCTGTACGGATGGGGCTCCGGCGATGATGGGATCAAAATCGGGGTTCCAGAAGCGTGTCAAGGAAGTAGCTCCGAATGCCAAGGGGATCCATTGTATGATCCATCGTTTTGCATGGCGTCGAAAACCCTCCCTGAAGAACTTTGCAAGATCCTGGAGGCAGTGGTCAAATGTGTCAACTTTGTGAAAGCTGGAGACCTGAACTCTCGCTTTTTCCAGAACCTTTATAGAGACATGGATTCAGAGCATGAAGCCCTCCTCTTTTACTCCAAAGTGCGGTGGCTTTCCAAGGGCAATGTTGTGAATCGAGTGTTTGAACTTCGGGGAGAGCTTAAGTTGTTCCTGGAAGTGCAAGGGAAGGATGATCTATTAAGTCACTTCAATGAGGTGTTGTGGAAGCCACGTCTTGCATATTTAGCAGATACATTTGAGCAGCTAAACAGGCTGAATCTCAAGCTGCAGGGCAAGGACAGAAATGTGTTTCACCTCATGGATTGTCTTCGTGCATTTCTTGCCAAGCTCCAGAATTGACAAAGGAAAGTAAATGGAGGAAATGTTGCCATGTTGAGAATCTTTCAACTGTTCTTGATGAGAAAAATGAAGATCATCTGCTTGACCCATCACTCAAAACTGAAATCACTCAGCACCTGAAATCCTTGGAAAGTGAGCTCAAAAAATATTTCCCAGAATTCGAGGAGGAAGATGGGAAATTGGTGAGGAATCCTTTCTCTGGCACTCTTGATATTGCTACCATTCCCAATGTTGTTCAGGACTAATTTCTTGATCTCAAGAATGATTCTGCTGCCAAAGATCTCTATGAAGAAAGATCTCTTGACTGTATTCTGGTGCTCAATGTATCAGTCATATCCAAAAGTTAGCGAGATTGCACTTCGCGTCCTCTTGCCTTTTTCAACTACCTATTTATGCGAATCTGGTTTCTCCACCCTTCTACATATAAAGAGTAAAAGCCGGAACCGACTGGATGTGGACCCGGACATGAGATGTGCGTTGTCAGTGACACAACCTCGGATCAGTCACCTGACTGAAAGGAAACAATGTCAGCCTTCCCATTGAGCTGTGACAAAATTTGCAGAGGTCATATGAACTTTTTCCCAACCAAATTCAAGTTTGCTGTGAGGCTTGTCTAGTTGTCACTCTAGTCTAGTGACGTCAGTTATGTAAATCATGTAAGTCTATCAAAATATAAGATAATGATGACTGTCAACCTTGAGATAAAATAAGGGTATTCTCTTCATCTGCATTTTATTTTTCAATATTATTTGTAGGGGGGAGAAAAATGAAGGAGGCCACGAGGATGTTGAAAATTCCTCAAGGGGGAATGGAGTGAATAAGGTTGAGAACCACTGCTCTGTATAGACCGTTAGAGCTTTCACATCTCAAACCCCCGATATAACGGACTTTTATCTTTACATAATCCGTTAAATCGAGGTTTCTCTAAACATAATTATCCGCATAGTAAAACTTAATAGTACACATACAGACAAAACAAAAAAATAGACTTTGGTTTGGTTATGTTAGGTTTAATGAACATTACAACATCAGTAATAGTCTGTCTCCATTATAAGTTGTGGAATTAAGTAAAAGTATTCACAAACATCATTTATATCAAGTCTGATTATTTGTATTGAAGAAAGTGAACGACTGGCTTCCATTATTTCATGGAAAGGAGCAGCCTGGACCTTGTGTATTTTGAACTAATATGTCTGTCACTTGAACTAATGTGTATTTTGAACTCTGCATATTAAAGGTTTTGAAGAAAAACAGTGTTTTTTAATTTTATTAATTTTATTCATTTTATTTATTCATTTTCACACCATAGAGAATGCCTCCACATCATCCTCTTGGATGTCCATGACATCTAAGAGAATCTGAAGGTATATGTGTCCTTGTATCGTCGTTTTGAGGACATTGAGAACCATTAACTCGTCCGGTGACCAACGTTCACTTATAAATTTTTCGCACTCCACATACTGACCGCCAATACTGACCCACCTACGTCTGTTGATGGGGAGGATTTTACAGAAATTTACAACAACGGAGAAGAACGAAAAAATGACCATAAAAATAAAATAAATGAGCAACATGATCACAATTTTTTCGTAATAAAAATTCAGGGGCAAGAAACACCCATAGTTCTCGGTATTTAGTACAGCTAACCCCATCTTGGGGGTGATTGAGCATTTTACAAAGGAGGGGAACACCGTATTGTGGGAAAAGAAGGAGTCCGTATAGCGGGTGTAGGGGCCGTGTGTGAGGACGTGAGAAAAGGAATGATGGGCGGCCACATCCAAAAGCAAAATCGATACGACATCACAAATTAAACAAACAAAAGAAATTTTTAACCCCGCTGCCATTTGACCAGCGTGGGAGCCGATGTTTTCAAAGGCATATTTTCGGATTTCTTCATCAGTATAGTGGTTGACGTTTTTCAAAAAGACCTCCAAGCGCTCGTGTCGGAGTAATTTTTTGGTTATTTGCGGGATATAATTAATCGCCGCCAGAACGAGGAGGAGAAGAGGTATCCATCGATAACTGAGGGTGGCCTTGTGTTGGCCATCCTCCAGCTCGACGGTTCCAAATGACATACAAATTTCTAGAATGTTTTCTTCCCTCTTATCTTCACCAGTCACCTCCCTCAGACCGCCTCCCTGGCTGGTGCATTTTATTTGGTTATCAACATATAAACCGTTAAAAATTATCCCAAAAATACCCAAAAAAACGTAAAATCCCCATGGGTAGTGCAGGTAAGCGGCCCAAACGTCCAGCGGACCATCGCGCTTTGTTACGTGTCTTCTATATTTCTTATAAATTTTTTTCCCTTGTCCGTAGACAGGAAGAAGGTTAATATTTTGCTTCACCATAATTTAATATATAATATCAATCAGTTGAACAACTCCTGTAGGTTTAAGAGATGCCACTAACAAATAATGTAGTAAGAGGTAGCAGCAGCAATTATAGTGGTGGTGGTAGTAGTACTTATAATGGTAGTAGGAGTAGTAGTAGTACTAGTTACAGTCGTGATAGTAATTGTAGTTATATGGGTGATAGTAATAGTGAAGCTATACTGTAGTTTGGTAGTAAAATTATAGTGTGGTAGTGAAGTTATATATAGTGTGGTAGTGAAGGTATATATAGGGTGGTAGTGAAGTTATATATAGTGTGGTAGTGAAGGTATAGTGTGGTAGTGAAGGTATATATAGTGTGGTAGTGGTATAGTGTAGTGTGGTGAAGTGTATAGGTGGTAGTGAAGGTATATAGTGTGGTAGTGAAGGTATATATAGTGTGGTAGTGAAGGTATAGTGTGGTAGTGAAGGTATAGTGTGGTAGTGAAGGTATATATAGTGTGGTAGTGAAGGTATAGTGTTGTAGTGAAGGTATAGTGTGGTAGTGAAGGTATATATAGTGTGGTAGTAAAGGTATAGTGTTGTAGTGAAGGTATATAGTGTGGTAGTGAAGGTATAGTGTGGTACTGAAGGTTAGGTTAGGTTATTGCTCCATAAATACGTTTTGTGTTGTGTCAATTGATATAATCCTTAAAAAAATCCGATTTGCATAATTTAATTTCAGTAATATTATCGTCAACACATAATTCTTACTATTTCCCTCCATAAATACGTTTTGTGTTGTGTCAATTGATATAATCCTTAAAAAAATCCGATTTGCATAATTTAATTTCAGTAATATTATCGTCAACACATAATTCTTACTATTTCCCATTGACTATTCCTTGTTGCTAGTGTAACAGGTTATTAAAGAAACATTGTATTTTCTTTCTGTTGTTAAAACCTATCCATACTAACGTGTTTGGGGTGGTAAGCCATGACTGACCTTGACTGACTACCGATTACAGTAATTGCCTGGTTTGTGTGTTTCAGGAGGTGGCAGGAAGGATGGAACCAGCCAAGTTGCCGGTTAGGAATTGCGAGGCCACCAGTCTGTGTCCTGTAACTGGCTTGGACTGTACATACACTCGCTCCAAAAAAAAGTATGATTACAATTTTGTAAAAGAAAATTTACGACAATACGTAGGAAAGCTTTTGACAACACTATCGAGGCAACAGGAGTAGCAGTATTCATTTTAAAATTCATTACGTCCCTCTAGAAAGATATTTTTTTGGCGCGAGTATACAATCATAACAACAAGCGTACACCGACATGAAAAATGCCAACGTATACATACACGCACATAGAAAATGACACCTTCCACACACACACACAAACACACATGACACTTAACAAAGCAGTACAGTACTTACAGGGAACTTGGTAGAATGGGTGTGAAAGTGTCCCTGGTCAGTGACAAGGATGTGTGGCAGCAGGGGCGGAGGAGGACCACTCTGTATCGTGGCGCCTGTACACAAACAAAAGACAATCAATCCTACACCTGTACACAAACAAAAGACAATCAATCCTACACCTGTACACAAACAAAAGACAATCAATCCTACACCTGTACACAAACAAAAGACAATCAATCCTACACCTGTACACAAACAAAAGACAATCAATCCTACACCTGTACACAAACAAAAGACAATCAATCCTACACCTGTACACAAACAAAAGACAATCAATCCTACACCTGTACACAAACAAAAGACAATCAATCCTACACCTGTACACAAACAAAAGACAATCAATCCTACACCTGTACACAAACAAAAGACAATCAATCCTACACCTGTACACAAACAAAAGACAATCAATCCTACACCTGTACACAAACAAAAGACAATCAATCCTACACCTGTACACAAACAAAAGACAGTCAATCCTACACCTGTACACAAACAAAAGACAGTCAATCCTACACCTGTACACAAACAAAAGACAGTCAATCCTACACCTGTACACAAACAAAAGACAGTCAATCCTACACCTGTACACAAACAAAAGACAATCAATCCTACACCTGTACAAACAAAGACAGTCAAAAACACAAACAAAAGACAATCAATCCTACACCTGTACACAAACAAAAGACAATCAATCCAGACAATCAATCCTACACCTGTACACAAACAAAAGACAGTCAATCCTACACCTGTACACAAACAAAAGACAATCAATCCTACACCTGTACACAAACAAAAGACACATCAATCCTACACCTGTAAAAAAAAGACAATCAATCCTACACCTGTACACAAACAAAAGACAATCAATCCTACACCTGTACACAAACAAAAGACAATCAATCCTACACCTGTACACAAACAAAAGACAATCAATCCTACACCTGTACACAAACAAAAGACAATCAATCCTACACCTGTACACAAACAAAAGACAATCAATCCTACACCTGTACACAAACAAAAAGACAGTCAATCCTACACCTGTACACAAACAAAACAGAGTCAATCCTACACCTGTACACAAACAAAAGACAATCAATCCTACACCTGTACACAAACAAAACACAAACAAAAGACAATCAATCCTACACCTGTACACAAACAAAAGACAATCAATCCTACACCTGTACACAAACAAAAGACAATCAATCCTACACCTGTACACAAACAAAAGACAGTCAATCCTACACCTGTACACAAACAAATGACAGTCAATCCTACACCTGTACACAAACAAAAGACAGTCAATCCTACACCTGTACACAAACAAAAGACAGTCAATCCTACACCTGTACACAAACAAATGACAGTCAATCCTACATCTGTACACAAACAAAAGACAATCAATCCTACACCTGTACACAAACAAAAGACAATCAATCCTACACCTGTACACAAACAAAAGACAATCAATCCTATACCTGTACACAAACAAAAGACAGTCAATCCTACACCTGTACACAAACAAAAGACAATCAATCCTACACCTACAGACCCTACTGAAATATTTGGTTCACGACACACACACACACACACACAAAAAACATCGCTATATTATTAACCCTATAAATTGCTTCCATGGACCGGAAGTGCAGTAAAATATCGTAAAGTGATGTAAAGTGTCATAAAGTGTCATAAAGTGTTGTAAACTGTCGTAAAGTGTCGATTGAAGTGAGATATTAATATACAGCACTTTACTTGTGGTGGCCAGATAGTGTCCACAAAAATTAAGTGTGTTTGATAAGTATGGACAGTGTCAGTGTGTTTGATAAGTATGGACAGTGTCAGTGTGTTTGATAAGTACGAGATCTGTCCGGAAAGTATCCAGCCATTTGCTATGAAAAAAAATATTGCTTACCTAGGACAATGGAGCCTTAGTCTCCTTCAAAGTACTCCCCCTGGGACCTCACACACTTCTCCCAGCGTCCCTTCCACTTTTCTAAACAATTCTGCAAAGTCCTCTTTCAGGATCTCCATCAGCTGCCTCGTCGCATTCTCCTTGATCTCGTCCAGGCCAAACAATAACGAAGGAGTACTACATCGAAGTTTTTCGCCGGCTGAGGGATGCGGTAAGAAGAAAATGACCGCAGCTGTGGGCAAGTGGTGACTGGCAGCTTCAACATGACAACGCGCCTGCCCATTCTTCACGTCTCGTGCAGGGTTTTTTTTTTGGCAAAACATAGCATCACCCAGGTCTCTCAGCCCCCCTACAGCCCAGATTTGGCTCCCTCCGACTTCTGGCTTTTCTCAAAGCTAAAATCGCCGTTGAAAGGGAGGAGAATGAGACGAGGCAGCTGATGGAGATCCTGAAAGAGGACTTTGCAGAATTGTTTTGAAAAGTGGAAGGGACGCTGGGAGAAGTGTGTGAGGTCCCAGGGGGAGTACTTTGAAGGGGACTAAGGCTCCATTGTCCTAGGTAAGCAATATTTTTTTTCATAGTAAATGGCTGGATACTTTCCGGACAGACCTCGTATGGACAGTGTCAGTGTGATTGATATGTTAAGGATATTTTATGTGTTTAATTAGTTTTGTATTTGTGGTTTTTGTTGTTGTTTCTTTAATACACTACAATTATGTTTACTAGGATACCCTCAGCTGGTACTTTGTGGTGTACGTTCAGTGTAACTCAGAGACGAGTGTGTGTGTGTGTGTGTGTGTGTGTGTGTATACCTGTTATGGCAGCCAGCTGATCTTTGAGAGAGGGTATTGCTTGTTGCTGTAGTTGGTCTTCGCCTGAATTACCACTGTTACTGCTGTTACCTGCTGCTGCTGCTGGTGGTGCGCCGCTGAAGGGTTTGGGCGGAGGAACGGGCTTATAAACACTGTGCACGCTGCTGCCACCTGCACCAAGAAAAATAAACACAAATTTCGTTAAACACAACATAACAAGATGAAAGAGTTTGAATAATGTTAACACGATATTATATCTAACCTAACCTAACCCAACCTAGCCTAACCTAACCTAATCTAACCTCCTTCTCACTTTTAATGGGCAATAGATAAGAGAATTTATAATTTTGAAATAAAGAGAGAGACAGAGGTAATGGATGCGAGGTAGTTTATAAAATTGGAATAGTTATGGAGGTAATGGTGGAGGAGGTCAGGGGGAAGGTAACCTAACCTAACCCTAACGTAACCTAAACCTAGCCTAACCAAAACCTCTAACCTAACCTAAATCAACCTAAACTAACCTCTAACCTTATCTAACCCAAATTAACCAAATTTAAACTAACTTAAACCAAACCGTATCTCACCTAAACCTAACCTATGGACTCAGAACTAACACTAGATGGCTGTCACTCCTACCATTACTATTTACACTCACTACTACCACCATCACCACCACTACTACCACCACCACCACTACTAGTATTACCTACCACTATCACTAAACATCAACACCACCTTCAAAATTATTACCCACACCATTAATTCCAATATTATCGCCACCATCATTACTAATCATTACTATTGTCACCACTACCACCATTAACAACAGAAGCAGCACAACTATTACTACTACTATCTACCACCACTACCACCATCCATCATCAACACTACCACCACTATTACTATTACCTACCACCATCCATCAACACTACCACCACTATTACTATTACCTACCACCATCCATCATCAACACTACCACCACTACCACCATCCATCATCAACACTACCACCACTACCACCATCCATCAACATTATCGACAAAACACACGTGATGGGAGAGTGACCAAATGTATAAAGTAAACACAGTGCCATGGTCAATCTTCCTCCGTTACACCTCACTCTCTTCTGTAATACCTCTAGACCCATCCCTGAAACACCTGCTTCTACTGAGGTAAAAATAAACATTAATTCGTATATAAACAAAGGTAATATATTGTCTTTATCGCTATATAAACACGCATAATGTGATCAAAACCCATTCAACAATTTAAATCGTTTTCTGTGTTTGCGGCGCGAAATTAAGAAGGGGTAACTCAACTAAAACAAATACGCCATGTTATTTGTCGCATCTATCTGACTATAACTCCCCACAAGATGACAGCTCGCGGTGTGCGACTCGTGATTCCGTAGCGCCTCAATATGTCTTAATTATATCATCATTATAAGACTTTCAACATGATTTACGGTAGGTTGGACGTGGTGTTATAAATGGGTATTGGAATAGTTCACACAAGGCTGCTTCCCCTGTGTCAATATTCTTACGATCTGAGAGAGAGAGAGAGAGAGAGAGAGAGAGAGAGAGAGAGAGAGAGAGAGAGAGAGAGAGACCTGATCAGATCCGTCCTATGATTAAAAGACACAAGTAATAAACTTCACTCTGTGTGTGTGTAGGGCCGACAACACACTCCGCCACACTCACCTGCCCTCCCTACCTCCTACCGCTCCTCCATGACGCTGTAGTGAAGGAGTTTCTTGATGAATGATTCGTGTAATTACTCAAGTTGAAGAAGAAAGGAAAGAAAAATAACATATCTTGCTTTATAACCTTTGTAATTTGTACGAGGCAAGTTTTATTAGTTTAACTGGAAATGAATGTTGGTTTTCCTGCCAGTTCCTTTATCATTGTGGAACATAACAACGTATATTTCATTACAAGTGCGTCCCTAACCACCAATTTAAGCTACATACCACACTGCTACAACCTGTTCCTCGCACCGCAGTTGAAATTAATTTGTACTAGTGTATTTCTTGCCGGCTCACTGCTGTTAATATATGATTAACCACAGCGCCTTAGTCATGGTGGATGTGCCCCCTGGGGAGGTATGTTGGGGGCCACCGGGGTTCACGTCGGCAGCGGCTGGACAACGTGATGAAGTGACCGGACGCACACCACCACCCCACTACCACCACCACTACCACCTCACCACCACCATAGGACACAAAGGCGACTCCTGCCAGGGTGGTGAACGAACTCACGGGATTTAAGGAACCTCAACTCTCTTCAAGGCATCGATAGTAACAAGACAGGACCCCAGTGGTGATCCGACCTTGGCTATACCTATGATCAACACTCTCCCTACGGCCAACCTGATAAACCAACAAGCTTGACATCGTCTCTCATCAACAGCATAATTACATGAGGTTAACGCACAAGAACACGTATTAAAGTCTGTTAAGGATCGTGGCGGATGTCCCTGGGAAGAAGTACCTGAAGTCTACCGAGAGTCGATTCAAAAGTGAACCTGGAGTTGCCTTGGAGTTGACGTAAAACTGAATTATCTGAAACCTACATAAAGTTATTCGTTTAAGTAGACTCTCTCAGGGTGGGACGTCCTTAAGTCTACCCAACATTAATCACCACCAGGGAAAAAAAAAAGGTTTCTCTCCGGCCACAATAGCTGACCCAACACAACAACAAAACTCGACTACACATTTATATTAAGTGACGTGTTCCGCTCAGACTCGGGTCGTTATCAATATCATTAAGTTAGTCCTCGAAATGTTCCCAAAAAGATACCGATTGTGTTATTATCTCCTGTTACCGTAACAAAGATGTTGTTCTGGTTATCACATTATATCGTCAAGGTGTTGGAGTGTGAGGTGTGTGTGTGTGTGTGTGTGTGTGTGTGTGTGTGTGTGTGTGTGTGTGCGTGTGGTGGTTATGTGGCGCCATCTACGGGGAAAAACGTTAACAGACTCTATCATTATCTGGTCATATTCTCACGAGTACTTCCCATATGATGCCTTTCTCTGGTCACACAACACAGCGCTCCTCCCTCACGATCTCTCTCACAACACAACACAACCCAACAGACACCCTACGTCAGGACGCTGCTTGACAATCCCTAACCTTAGTTCCGGGTGCACTTGGTCACCGCCTCCTGACTACTTGATCACATCTAAACAGCTATATTGTTGACTCCCTCTCCCTCCTCCCACCCCACTGTCCTACCCACGACGTTTCCTATAACTTACCGGCAAATCGCTGAACAATTTCCACCAGTAACTGCCTCTGGGGATCCTCTACACTACATCATGTATCGTGACCTCACACCATCACTGTCCACAAGAACCAAACACTGGTCCGCTCCATCGCCAAATCACCACAATATTACAATGGTCAGAAAATATGAGCAATACTTCATTACCACAGGAGTAATCAATCTTGTTTCACCCTCATTGACTCCCTACAGCCACAACACCCCCCTCCCTCCCCCCTCCTCTCCCCCACCCTTTCTTCCTCCCCGTCCTGCACTCTGATTTATCCACCCCCCTCCCCCTCCGTCCTGTATATGATCCAAGTGATGGACTGCTACAGGCTGGACCATAGGTGAAACAGAAGGGCGAATCGACACCCCCGCAGAAGACCTCGCATTCAACATTAAGTCTATACCTGTCCAAGAATCTGATTTCCAGGTGTTGTGTTGAATTTACCGGAGTCTAGCGGACACTAAACCAAACCTAACCTAACACGAAGCAAAAATTAAAATTGAGTTTATTTAACCAGAATAATACAAAGTGAACAACAACAACAACAACAGCACTGATATGACTACAGCTCTCTTGAAAAAAACACTTAATAAATACTGTGCATTAATCCCTAGCAAATTATTCAGCAACTAGGCATCTGAATTATACATTTATACAATACCATACACCCAGATCATACCAAAACGCAAATAAAACCTGAAATATACACTAGTGTTTGTAGTGTAAGTAGTCTCTAGAGCCTTGACACACTACACCCAGCCACGACAAGATCCTCACTACACTATCATTATATATTTAACTCTTAATTACAGAGTCTAACACACCTAATGACCCTGAACGTCTATTGAGCTAATGTTGAAATATATAACTGGAATGTTTTATACTCTGTTTACCTTAACACACACACACACACACACACACACACACACACACACACACACACACAGGACTCCAACACCAGGAAGAACGTGAGAGAGGAGGAGGAGAGGGAGGAAGGGAGGAAAAAGAGAGGAGGGGTGAGGCATGAGGGGTGAGAGAGAGGGGGGGGAAGGGAAGAGGAAAGGGGGGCGTCTAAAGCACAGCTGTCTCCCTCCCCCCACCAGGTTATAAACAATTACACACAAGTTCTCAGCCTTAACACACACGCACTCCCACATTACCTCACAAAAATGTTCTCCAAAAATTTCAATCCGCCAATGAAGTATAACACGACTGCACCTGCGGCTTCTGTGCGGTTATTAGGTCAGACTCATATATGTTAAAGAGATTGTGTAATATGTTATGCGGCTTCTGTGCGGTTAGGTGCGTTTTTTGTGCGGTTATGTGCGGTTTTGTGCGGTTATATACGGTCCTATGAGGCTGTATGCGGCATGATTAGGTTTGATTTAGGTTTGGGTTCGGTTCGGTTCGGTTCGGTTCGGTTCGGTTCGGTTAGGTTAGGTTAGATTAGATTTGAGTTGCATTGACATTAATTTTTTTCCACTTATAGAATTTACTGTTAGGTGAGACAAAAACCTCGCCAGGGCAGGTGAGGCAAGACAGACAGGTGACCACGTGAACACCTGTAATCTATCTGATACCGGGAGTTGAACACCTCGGGCACCAGCACCCAGCTGATGACGGGTGAAGTGGACGACCCTCTGTTGCCAGCTGGTGATGTGGACGACCTTCTGTTGCCAACTGTTGATGAGGACGACCCTGTGTTGCCAACTGGTGAAGTGAATGACCCTCTGTTGCCAGCTGGTGAAGTGAATGACCCTCTCTTGCCAGCTGGTGAAGTGAACAACCCTCTGTTGCCAGCTGAAGTGAACGACCTTCTGTTGCCAGCTGTTGATGTGGACGACCCTCTGTTGCCAGCTGTTGATGAGGACGACCCTGTGGTGCCAACTGGTGAAGTGAAC